CTTTTTATCCCTCGTCAAATCGACATTACCAAGAGGTTTTTGCTGGAATCAGCTTTTTATGCCTTGCACATCATACATCGAAGAGGTTTATATTTTTATCCTCACCTATATCAAAGAGGTTTATATTTTTATCCTCGCCCCATAACTATCACCAGAGGTTTTTACATTTTATCCTCAACACACATTCAGCATCATAAGAGCTCGCATAGAACAGTACGACTCACTCTTCCATGGGAGGGGAGCCGTGTGGCATATAGCCCATTTTACACGCTGTATCTGTGTTCGATAGCTAGACTGAGTCCAGATATTAACTTAAACCACTGAGCAATAAGTAATTGCTCAGTCGCTGTAATTAAAGATCCCTCTCTTGTTCTCATTGACTCTCTGGACAGTTATATTTCTCAGGTGGTGAGAGTGCTGGAGGAGGGTTCGGGGGTAGTTGAAGTGGTGATGGAGTCAGTTGGGGCCGAGAATGAGGGTGAATGAGGAGAGGGTGAAGATGGTGCAATAGGTGGAAATGATGGAAGGGTGCGTGCTGTCGAAGGTGGTGGGTTGTGAGGTAAGGGTGAGGGCAGAGGCGATTTATAAGGAAAAGCATTGTCGGCTTTATTTTGAAGTTTGTGATTCTGCTTTGTACTATCGCCGCGCCCCTGAGTGTCCAGGGCTCGGGTGCTAGGCTTGATGAAGGCGAGACTGGCCTGGTTCAGTTCTCGCCCTCGTCTTTTCCCGAGTCGGCGGTGGTCGTAGGTGTCTCGAAATTATTGAAGGCTTGCTCACCGCGGCAATTCTCAGCGATGTGACCGAATCGGCGGCAGCGGTAACAACGACCTTCGCGGAAGCAACGGGACTTCTCTGCTTGATCGAGCTTGGGAACGGAGCGGCGACGGGGACTGGCTACATTGGTAGTGTTAGAACCGTGATTGGCGGATCGGACGCGCATGGCGTCTACTTCCATGGGTTCGGCAACAGGCGTGGCCGAGAGTGAGGCGGCTGAAGTCGCGGTCGGTGTCTGGGAGGGGATGTAAGTTGGCTTGGCTTTGGACTGTGCTCGGGCGTAGACGCCATTGATTCGCTCAGCGACCTTCACGGCCTGTTGCCACGTGGAGGGGTTCGCGATTTCGACCTGAAGTTGAGTTTGAGTGACCAGTCCAGAAATAAAGTACTCGCGGAGCATGTCATCGGCGGGATTGCTCAACTGAAGGGCCAGGTCGCGGAAGCGTGTGATATAAGATGCGATATCTTTGACAGAGGTCTGTTTAAGGTCTCGGAGCTCCATAAGGATAGCGCGCTCATGGTCTGATGGTTTAAATTCGTTGGTGAAGGCAGTTTTGAACTCCTCCCATGGTGTGTCGTCGGTGAGGGTTGACATACGGTACCAGGTAAGAGCAGTACCCCGCAGGTGGTCAGCAGCGGCGGAGGTCCACTCCATCGGGGTGAGCTTGGTACGTCTGCAGTATCGCTCGAGCTCCTCCAACCAGTCGCGCGTAGCCAGAGCGTTGCGACCGCCATGGAAGAGCTGTGGTTTGGGGGGTTTGTAGGCAGAAACGGAGCGAGATGAGTCTTGGATGACCGATTGGATTTGGTGGTAGGCGCGCTGCCTGTCAATGGCATTCGAAAGGTTTAGGCTGCTAAGGCCGTTGACGAGAGAATCGATGGAGTCCATGATGCTGGTTCGAGTGGTAGGTAATGAGGTGTCTGGGGGTGTCTGGGGGTGTCTGGGGGTGTCTGGGGGTGTCTGGGGGCGTCTGGGGTGTCTGGGGTGTCTGAGGTGTCTGGGGTGTCTGGTGTCTGAGATATCTGGGGTGGATCGAAAGGCACCTTTGCTACCAATGCAAACGGTCAAATCAGGTGGAAGTGGATCTAGGGTGGAAAGGAGGCTTTATTCGTATCAATGCTGCTGTCTAGTTCTACGTGTGGATGGGGTTTATATAAACTGGCTGGATAGATAGCAACAGTGTTCTAGAAAGTCGTAGAAAGATGGGCGAAGCGCTGATGACATCATAATGCACTTAACCGAGCATAAACCTGTTGCACAATTGCCCATAAGTTCGGCGTATCTCAGTCGTCCGTGAGCAAGCTAGCCAAGCAAATGGACCCAAACATGGTGCGACCAAGAGCAGGGCGACCAGGCCGAGTTTCGATGGCGACAAGACGACTGATGGTGCGTAATGTAACGAACGGGGAATTGGAAAATGCAGTTCAGGTGCAGCGGTACCTCGAGCAGGAACTGGACGTCCATATCTCTGTTTGTAGGGTGCGGCAGATCCTTCGAGAGGAAGATTTAACCGCTCAACACAAGATTAAGAGGCCAAAGTTGACACCTAACCAGATCAAGAAGCGCATGGAATTTGTGGCCCGATATGAGCATTGGACGGTGGAGGACTGGAAACGAGTTCTGTGGACGGACGAGACAAAAATCAACCGTTATGGCTCCGATGGGACCAAGTGGGTCTGGAAAAACAACAAGGTCGGTGTGGCATATAGCCCATTTTACACGCTGTATCTGTGTTCGATAGCTAGACTGAGTCCAGATATTAACTTAAGCCACTGAGCAATAAGTAATTGCTCAGTCGCTGTAATTAAAGATCCTCTCTTGTTCTCATTGACTCTCTGGACAGTTATATTTCTCAGTCGGCATGCAGGCGCGATTGATTGATGAGACACTCAAGCATGGAGGAGGGTCCCTTATGATGTGGGGTTGCATGGCTTGGGACGGGCCAGGTTTCATCTCTCATATCGAGGCTGGGCTGGATGCAAAACTATACGTTGAGATCCTAGAAGAGTGTGTTCCTTTGACCCAAGAGTACTACGGGATCGATCCAGAGGAGATGATTTTTCAGCAGGATAACGACCCCAAGCATACCGCCAAAATTACACGCCAATTCTTTGGGGACAATGATTACGTGGTTCTCATGTGGCCACCCAACTCTCCGGACTTGAATCCTATCAAGCATCTCTGGGGGCACCTAAAGAGGCTTCTTGCGAAGTATGAACACCCTCCTGGCGGTATCCCGAAGCTCTGGGAGCGTGTCCAAGAAGTTTGGAATAAAATTGATCCGTCGCTGATCCAGGCGCTCATATCCAGTATGCCGCGACGCATCCAAGCGGTCAAAGCGGTCGGCGGACGACACACCAAGTACTAGGAATAGAAAGTGAAGGGTTATCATTAGATTTGAGCGAGAATTAGAGAATACTATATTTTTTAGCACGTGCTGGAGGAATTGAGTCAATACACCGCTACCGCAAGATGTGTGATAAAGGAAGATAGAGATATCCATTACGCCTGAAACGCCTAAATGATATTCCTAGATGACTTCGCCATCTTTGAAAAGCATTATAGCATCCTACGGCACGTACAGGCGAAGAAATTAAAAAAATTATGCCGAGATAAAAAACATTGACTCAAATATTATTGTCACTGTACAAGACCATACCATGACGCTTCCGCCGCCAAACTTGACTGTTCCCTGGACTGTACGACTTGTCAGTCGCCCCGGAGCGTCGTCCCAGACCCACCTAATGCCATCAGAACAGATCCTATTGATTTTGCACTCGTCTGACCATACAACTGTGGCCCAGTCCTCTTCCGTCCACTCTTTGTATTTCTTGACAAACTGCATCCGACCTCTAATGTGCTTTGTTTTGAGTGCTGGTCGCTTGACAATCTTTTTGGCCACTAGTCCAGCTTCCCGAAGTCGCCGTCGAACTGTCCACACCGATACAGGTCGTGCCAACATCCTGTTGGCCTCGCTCTTGGCCTCCACGGCAGTCCTAAGAAGTCCGCGCTTCATGTTCAGCTTGAAGTGCTCCACGGTTTCTTGACCAATCTTTCCCGGACGGCCTCCCTTGTTGCTCGGTATGTTTTCTTTGTAACCTGAACGTATTCTGCTAGCCGTTGCCTGAGAGATGGTAAGACGTTGGGCTGTCTCACGAGTGGAAATACCCTCAGACATGAGGCTTATTGCTTCCTTAACAGTGGATGGAGGTACGGGCTTCATTTTTTGCAGATAGATAGAGTAGAATAAGGCAAACAGGAAAACGAAACACAAAATGGGTTCATTTATAATGAATCTGATGAAAATGACGATGGTATTTAAAATTACATAAAAATGAGGTTAAGGTGCAAGACTGATTCAATGATGACGGATGGCACAATCGTCATGCAGCAATGGGTGTGCATACTTCTGGCTCCAAAGCAAGCAGCCCTGTTCGTCATTGGATGGGCTACATTTGTGGTGAATATGACGATGGCTGAGGTATTGGTTCCTTGTAGGCGAGTGCCAACGCAAAAATCATCGCATCATTGAATCAGTTTTGCACCATACTGTAAGAGCCCTTCAAACGTAGGATTAGACAGCAATCAATCATCGAATAAACCTCTGATTCCACCCTAGAACCCCTCCGACTCCTGACTATTTGCATGGTAGCAAAGGAAACCTCGAACCACCCCTCGAAACCACTGAACCATTGAACCATTGAACCATAAGCTTTTTCATCCAGCCTGTCAAACCATGGAACAACTCTCTCGAACACTCTCCACCCTGAACATCTCAGAAGAAGCCCAACAAGCTGTTGCCAACGCGTTTCGCGCCGCCGTCGCCTCCGCCTCCGAGTCCACTGCCAACGATACAGCCCGTACACTTGCCACGGTCCTTAAACCTCAAAAACCGAGTCCATACGATGGTGCTATCGACGCTGTCGCGTCCCTTAACTTCATCGAGAGCCAGGAAGAGTATTTCGCTATTGTCGAGCTTATCCCAACCAAATGGGTCCGATACGCCGTCCTGAGCCTCGCGGGAGACGCCAAAGCCTGGTGGCGTTCTTCTGGTCTCACTATCGAGACCTCTTGGAATGACTTTCGCAAGGCCTTCCTGGAAGCCTTCACGCCGCCGGACTCCGCTAATGCCGCCCGCCGAGAACTGACCAGGCTTCGCCAGAAAAACCTTACCGTGGCAGAGTATACGAGCCGCTTCAAGCGTCACTTGCGGCTCATCCCGAACATGGATGCGGGTACAGCGCTGTACAATTACATGAACGGGCTGGAATCCGAAACCAGCAAGGAGGTGCGGCTTCGACAACCCACGACGTTGGATGCCGCTATCCAGCAAGCTACCATCGTCCACAGTATCTTACACCCCACCAACCCAAACAATGCCACTACGACCTCTGTCCCAACCGCCTCCTCAACCGCCGAGCCCATGGACGTGGATGCAATGAATGTCCTCCTTGCCAACCTTGCCTCTCTAGCCAAAACGACCACCGTCGCCAGCATCCGCCAATCCTCTCACCACACCGCTCGCTCGTCCTCACGCCCCTCTCTTCCCAAGCTTGACGCTGCCTCACGCGAATACAATATGCGACATGGTCTTTGTCATCGATGCCGTCTCCCAGGTCATATTGCCAAGAATTGCAGAGGCGATAGAGCATTCCATAATATCGAAACGGACTCCCAAGCCGCTGACGAATCGGGAAAAGACCAGGGCGAGCTGTGAGCCAGGCCAGCTTCGCCCGATCGCCATGCCTACAAACCCTGGATAGACATGGACGCGGTCGCTACTCTGAGCAAAATGAAACAAATAAAGACAACGATTTTCACCATGCTCACGATAGAACTTCGTCCCTGACAACCAAACCAGTTGCCCCCTCACCCCTTCTCCTGACTCCACCTCTAACCTCGACCTCACCCCTTGTCTCACCCTCCCCCCAGTCCTCGACCTCCTCCCTTTCCTCGACCTCATTCCTTTCCTCGACCTCATCCCTTCCCTCGACCTCATCCCATTCCTCGACCTCACCCCATTCCTCGCCTCACCCCTTTCCTCGACCTCATCCCTTTCCTCGACCTCATCCCTTCCCTCCACCAAGAACAGCAACAAACGCCGCCGTCGCAACGCCACCCGCCTTCAGTCTTTTAACACCACCTACAAACATTCTCGCCGCCTCCTTACTTTTATTGCTGCTGTCGATGGCCGCCCCGCACGAATCCTGATCGATGGAGGGGCCGAAGGGAACGTTATTAGCTCTTCCTTCTGTAGTACCAACAAGACACCCTTGCAAGACAGCACACCTATCCCAATTGTTCTTCCTAACGGTTCCGCTTCCCTTGCCCACCACACTGCGAACCCTGTTCTAGAAAGGGATGCTTACAAGGACAATATTCATGCAATCGTATATCCGCTCCAGAAGTATGATCTTATCCTTGGCAAGCCTTGGTTGACCGAGGTAAACCCCAATATTAATTGGCGCACAAACGATCTCCACTTCGAACGCCATGGCACCCCTATCCTCTGGTCATGTCGTGGGTTCGCATCACCCTCACCCTCTTCTGGCTCGACCCTCTCTGCTCTCAATTTTGTCACTGTCGCATCCGAACCCGATGCGGCTGTCTTCCTAGCTCAAGTCAAAGTTCCACAACCCACTGCAACCATGGCTCAGAGCCTTCCCGAACCCATTCGTCAGATTGTCAAGGTTGAGTTTCCTGACGTGTTTCCGCCAGAGCTCCCAGACGGACTACCGCCAGATCGCGGAGACAGTATGAGGATTGAAACGGACCCGACAGCAGACCCCCCTGTTCGCCCGGTTATTCGTTTATCAATTGCAGAACTCGACGAACTGAAGAAGCAACTCACAGATCTCCTGAAAAAGGGCTTCATATCCCCCAGCACCTCACCATACGGCGCGCCTGTTCTGTTCGTAAAGAAGAAGGATGGATCTCTTAGGATGTGTGTCGATTACAGAGGACTCAACAAGATAACAAGGAAGAATCGACATCCACTACCGCGAATTGACGAACTCATTGATCGCTTCAGAACAGCACGCCACTTCACCAAGCTGGATCTTTTGTCAGGATACCATCAGATGCGTGTTCACCCGGACGACAAACACAAGACGGCGTTCAGGACACGATACGGTCACTATGAATTCAACGTCGTTCCATTTGGTTTAACCAACGCCCCGGCCGCTTTTTCTACCATGATGCGCAATGTGCTAGACCCTGTCTTGGATAAGTGTGTCGTAGTATATCTGGACGACATATTGATTTACTCTAACAGCGAGAAGGAACACTTGCAGCACATCCGGCAAGTCTTAGCCCTCCTGCGCGAGGCAGGCCTCTATTGCAAGTTGTCCAAGTGCTCTTTCATGCAGGACGAGACCGAATTCCTGGGCCATGTTATCTCGAAGGACGGACTCAAGACTAATGCTGGACTCGTGAAGGCGATCAGGGAATGGCCAGTTCCCTCGACTCAGCGCCAAGTTATGCAGTTTCTGGGCTTGACAAACTTCTACCATCAATACATTGACCGCTACGCAGATATTGCTCTCCCTCTCACCACGTTACTAGGCTCCACGACTCCGTTCACTTGGGACAAGCCCCAGCAGGATGCCTTCGACGCTCTGAAAAACGCTGTGACTACAGCCCCAGTCCTCCGCATCTTCGACCCAGCCCTCTCCACAGCTGTCGAAACTGATGCCTCCGGCTTTGCCATCGGTGCTGTTTTATTTCAGACGGATAGCAACGGTGAATCTCGACCCGTCGCATTCACTTCACGCAAATTGTGCCCAGCAGAACGGAATTATCCGACACATGAGCAAGAATTGCTGGCTGTGGTGCACGCCCTCAAGACATGGCGGTATTATTTGGACGGATCGCACTTCATCGTCTACACGGATCATGCGACTCTACAACACTTTCCAACCCAGCCTAATTTGACGCGGAGACAGGCTAGATGGATGGAGCTCCTCCAGGAATACGATTTCGACTTCAGATACAAGCGAGGCAAAGACAACATCGTTCCCGATGCACTTTCAAGAAGACCCGACCACAAGGACGAGAACCCTGCCGGCACAGCATTTAATTCCATGGACGTTCAGGTGGACCTCAACTTACGGAAACGCCTGATCGAGAGCTACCCTTCAGACTGCACCTTAGGCCCAGTATACAACAAGTCGTCCAGCGCAGGCCCAACGGACCGCTACTTTGTTGCAGATGGACTACTCTGGATCAATGCTGGTGGCGAGCCACGCCTATGCATCCCAAACGACAACAAGCTCCGAGCAACCCTCCTCCATGACGCACACGACTCGCCCATTGCTGGCCACCTGGGTTTCGAGAAAACATACGAGAACATGAGACGAACCTTTTTCTGGCCACGAATGGCTCGTGACACAAAAGCATATGTGGGATCATGCGAGCAATGCCAACGCAACAAACCATTGCTTCAGCACCCTGCCGGTCTATTCAAGCCTCTGGACATACTGTGGTGTAGTAAATGAGAATCAGTTGGTTGTTCTTGCAAAGTTAATATTAGATCACGGGGAAGAGCACCGCCCCCAGAATAAAAGAATAAACGGTCTGGTACCTGAACCAGAGTCTTCTTTCACCAAAATCATTTGTATCACACATTGTATTCGTCCAGATTGTCCGGATAACACCGCATCAACGACAGGTACTGACTACCACCGTCAGCAACCCATGCAACGAGATACAATCAACAGGGAATGCCGATCCTGATCATTCGCCACCTTTGCGCCGTCAATCGCTCTTATTTAGACATTGTACTTGCCCCGCAGCGCTTCCCGATTACCGATCGTCTCATTGAGCATCCGTCATCGGCCCACCCTCGTGAAACGGCATTATAAAGGTACAACGGAGGCCTGATCAGCAACTATTGGCATACAACGACTCCAGAGGGTGGACTTCATTGTCACGACTCCTCACCTCATCGGACATCACAATATGCGAACTCCTTGCAACTACCCCAGTCATTCCCAAAGGAATATAGTCCTAGCTCGCACCATTTAGCTAAACAGATCCCCATATTTATTCCTTTCCATTTACGTCTAGTCTATTTTACCTTTGTGTTCTTACATTCCGATCTAAAGGAGGACCTGCACCACGAACCAGTAAGTGACCGAAGCACAGCCTTGCCGAAGTCCTATTCGCGTGGTAACTCCTGTTGTAAATAGAACTAATGGTAGAAGTTATAGAACCGTTAGTAGACCCCTACACCGCAATACCGAGCCAGCGATTGGATACAGTCTCCATGGATTTCATCGTGTCACTTCCCAAAACAAGCCGTGGAGTCGATGCGATCACGGTCATTGTAGATAAGTTGTCCAAGCAGGTCCATTTTTGTGCTAGCCATACCACGGACTCCGCCACCGACGTCGCCCGATTATTTTTCGAGCAAGTCTTCCGCTTGCATGGTATGCCGCGCGCCATCGTCTCGGACCGCGACTCTCGCTTCACAGGCAAATTCTGGACGGCATTAATGAAGATGATGGGGACCAAATTAAACATGTCAACGGCATATCACCCTCAGACGGACGGCCAAACGGAACGTGCCAATCGAACGCTCGAAGAGATGCTGCGCTCTTACATTTCGTATAACCAAAAGGACTGGGATCTGTTCTTGCCGATGCTCGAGTTTGCATACAACAATTCGGTAAACCCAACGACAGGATTTTCGCCCTTTTTTCTCAATCATGGTCACCACCCTCTCGTGCCTGCATCACTTCTGAAGCCGTCCACCACCAACGTGCCATCAGTCTCAGACTTCGTGGCTGCTCAGTCGGCTGCTCTCGCTAGCGCCCAGGATGCCATCGTCGCTGCTCAGGACCGCCAGAAGCAGCAAGCAGATAAATTCCGCAGTAACGTGCCGTTCGGCGTCGGAGACAGGGTACTTCTCAGCACAGAACACCTCTCGGTCGCAGCACATGCCAATCGACCCTCAAGAAAGCTGGAACCGCGATATATCGGCCCTTACAGGATTGTCGAGCAGGTCAATGACAACGCATTCAAGATCGACCTGCCACCCAATATGCACCAACATCCTGTGTTCAATGCCGATTTGCTCCGTCTTTACACCGAGTCACCAACTGAGTTCGGCGATCGCATACCGCCTCGACCTTCACCGGAGCTCATTGATGGAGAAGAAGAGTTCGAAGTAGAACGCATTCTGGATCACAAAATATTTGATAGGACACCTAAATGGCTCGTTCAATGGAAAGGATACCCACTGGAAGAGGCAACCTGGGAGCCAAAGGCGTCATTGGTCAATGCTAAGGAGGCCCTAGCAGAGTTCGAGGCCAAGCGTGAAAAGGAGTAACGTTTTTTTTTAAGATGGGGAGGTGCAACAGGTACAACTGTTTATTCGAGAATGATGTCATGGTCATAACCATGCTGCGCCTAGTTTATAGAGCATTCCAACACAACTGTGTCTAGTATATAAGAGCCCTTCAAACGTAGGATTAGACAGCAATCAATCATCGAATAAACCTCTGATTCCACCCTAGAACCCCTCCGACTCCTGACTATTTGCAATGTCGGAGACATGGACGTTGATGAGGATTGTATTCCTTCTCGTCTACCCTCGTTCAAGAAGAGGACCGCTATCAACGCTGATGAATCCGTCCCAGGTTATGATGCTTCGATCGATGAAAGCCTTACCGAAGAAGACACGGACAACGAAAGCGAACTAGAAATGGCCAGAAGCACGCTCGAAAACATGCGGCTGAATCTGAAGCGAATGGACAAGAACATTTTGCGACTCCAATCGCGCGCTGCCAGAGACTGTGGCATTCCCAATGCGCAGCTTACCCAAGAATTGTCAGACTTCAAAATGCAACGTAGCATCACGTTCGGCAGCTACGGCGAGCTCAAGCAAGCTTATGAAAACTTGGCCGAGTCCATGACGCCCCTAAAGCCCAGAATCGTGGCGAAAGAAAGCACCGTGTATGAGGCGAGCGATGACTACCAGTCCCTGCCCATCCGTCGAAACCAGAAGTCCTTCATTGGAGGATTGCCGATTAAGCTACAGAGCAACTGGCCAAGGTACAACGGAAAGGCTGATGAAACCGCATACGAATTCTTTGACAAGTTCATTCGTCAAGTCCGTCCCATCCTAGGGGAAGAAATATTCAGGCAATATGGTCATACATACCTGAGCCTACTGGTCAGCGATAACAACTTTCAAGACCAATTGCAAACCGCGTTCGACAAGCTCGAAGGAAATGTCATCACTCGAGACATCATGGAGCGAACATTCCTGGACGTCTGTCTCACGAAAGAACAGCGAGAAAAGAGCGTGGCCAAGGTCACCAAAATCGGCCGTCACAAAGGAGAATCCTACCGCTTATTTGCCACTCGAATTGCGCGCATCGTGAAACAGTATCGCATCCAAGAGGACAACGGTGTCATCTTGACCCTACTCAGACAAGCCATCCCAGCCAAGGATATGACCAATGTCAACCTGCATTACCTCTACACTAATCAAGGTACCACTCGCGATACGCCTGAGACGATCGATGATTTTTGCACCGCCCTTGGCAAGATCGTTGGACCCGATGATGCTAGAGATGATTTTGAGCTCCCAAGCAGCTCCCTCCGTGATCAAGGAGACGTCAAAGCACAAAGCCGTAATGGCAGAAACAGTAAGGAGAAAGCTGGCAGCATGTCTTACTGTACCAAGTGCAAGGACTACAGACACCACTCCAGTGAGGAGCACATCGAGTGCGAGCACTGTGGACGAGCTGGTCACCAGAAGCATACCTGTCGCAAGCTCGACAACCAGCGTGGCCCTTCCCGTAATAATGGTCGCAGTGACCGCGGTCGAGACAGCTACAGTCGGTACAACAGTCGTGACAACAATCGTGACCACAGCGTTCGTGACAGCAGTAACCGAGATAATAACGGTCGTCACCATCCCTACAATCGGGACGGCTACCGCCCGCGCAATGATCGTAGCCCTCATGGTGACAAAGGTGTGTATCATGCCACCCGCACTCCAAATGCAAACGAAAATAAGAGATACATCTCACTGAACGAATTATCATCTTCCTGCTCTTCAAAGACAAATAGCTCGGAGCAAGACCAGTACCAGCAAATAGCTGACGATGAATTTGTGAACATCGCGCACTTGACAGACTCGGTATCAGAAGATAAAGATAATAAAATTGAGCAATTCGATATAAATCTCGAGAGCATGACCCTAGAAAATTCATCACTCAACGACTTTGAAACCATTGCATATACTGCTATGTCTACCCATGACACGAACGAACGCAGAATTATCATGCCCATCTACTTCGATAACAACGAGTATGAGGCGCTTATCGACACAGGAGCATCAAGGTCGTTTATTGACCGCTCAATCGTGGACGATGCTCGTATCAAAGTCATCAATGCACAAGGAATATATATCTAGGGCATAAAGAGATGCATGTCGCACGTATCGGAAGCACCGAAGACATCGAAATCGAGTGCAATAACCACTGCTTAACATCAGCGTTTGAGGTGTTTGATTTGCAGCACTCATTTGTCATTGGGATGGATTTATTCCACAAACTTGGTTTCTCTATGGGAGGTATCTCCGACGGACGCGAGTCAGCCCAAAGCCTGCCTCGACCAGTCGACGATGAACGACCTTCCATTTTGCCTCTAAAAATACCGGCGATAGAACTGACCGAAGAATACAAAAAAGAGAAGACAGCCTTCTTGACCACAATAACGGCTGCACTCAAGCAAAACGATGAGATCCCACGTTCGAGCCATTGTCCATTACCAGAGATGAGAGTTTCTCTTCGAGTTCCCAGAGGCACAACGCTTTTTAGACGACCGCGCGTGTTCGCCGAGCAGCAACAACAAATCTTTAATGAGCAGGTCGAAAAATGGCTAAAGGATGGCGTGATCACCACGGCCCCAGCTGGAAACCCTCATAATAATACTTTGACATTAGCTGCAAAGAAAGACTTGCTGGGCAACAAAACAAAATGGCGTGTCTGTCTTGATCCGCGTCCACTGAACAAATTACTACCAGACGATAATCATCCAGTGCCATTGATATCCGATATTTTGCAACAAATCGGAGGCCATGCAGTATACTCCACAATTGATTTAACGCAAGCGTATCACCGTCTGCCAGTGGACAAAGATGATCAACCTTTAACTGCATTCATGCATAGAGGAACGCAATATATGTTCTGCAGAGCACCATTCGGGCTCAAACCGCTATCAAGTATCTTCCAAAGAGGAATGACTAGAATCCTGGGCGACCTGCCTTTTGTCCTTATATTTATTGATGACATTGTCATATTCTCAAAAACGCGGGAAGAACACGCAGAACAAGTGAAATGCGTAATTGAACGATTAACTAGAGCAAAGCTCATTATCAACCAGGAGAAGTCTCATTTCTATGCCACCCAAATTGTACTCCTTGGGTTCGTCATCGACTTGAAAGGCAAGCGTATCGATCCAATGAAATTAGCAAATATTGATCAGTGGGTTCCTCCTACCACCAACACACAAATTCAATCCTATATGGGAACGTTCAATTTTTTCCGCGAGTACATTCCGCTATTTAGCACACTAGCTGCTCCATTAGACAAACTGCGCAACGTAACAAAGCCGTTCCAGCTGAATAGAGAAGAACTAGAAGCCTTCAACACCTTCAAGAAACTCCTTGCTGGTGCACCTATCTTACACTTTCCGGACTTCTCGAAGCCATTTTATGTCGCAACAGACGCATCCAACGTTGGCATTGGCGCTGTCCTCTATCAGCAAACTCGGAACGAGAAAAAGAATAAATGGGAAAAGCAATACATATCATTCATGGCGAGATCTCTTCAAGAGCGCGAACGCCGATATTCTGCAACACAAAAAGAATACTAGGCATTGTGTTTGCTCTAACAAAATTCCATTACTATCTGTGGAGTAGGTCATTCACTCTATTTACAGACCATCGTGCACTCACATTCATTCATACTCAAAAAGAAATGAACTCGATGCTGACTGGATGGCATGAAACAATCCTCAGCTATGACTTCAAAGTCGAGTATAGACCTGGTGTCATGAACGTCCTACCTGATCACTTATCACGATTGTTCCCCGCATCCATGCATAACCGATACGAGTCCAGTAAAGGACATATCATCAACGCATACATGCATGTCCTGCAAAATGAGGATAATCCTTACAAGGTCATAAGCGATGAAAAACAACGTGAAGAGATATTGGACAAAGCCCATTCTCTTGGTCACTTTGGTACGAACGTCATGGTGAAAAACATTCATGCCGATCATATTACATGGCCTCGTCTAGCAGATGATTGCCTGACTTGGGTTAAGAAATGCCCGGAATGTCAACGTTACAATATTGCTCAAAAAGGTTATCACCCTCTGAAAGCCATCCACGCACAATTGCCTGGTGAACATATGGCAATAGACCTAGCAGGGAAACTTCCCACTTCAGTTAATGGTCATCAATACCTGCTGATTCTAGTCGATGTGTGCACACGCTTCGTGTTCCTGAAACCAATACGCGATAAGCAAGCGATCACCATCGGACGTGCCCTTTTTGACATATTCTGTCTCATTGGTTTTCCCCGTGTTTTGCAATCTGACAACGGTACTGAGTTTGTTAACGCTCTCATGAATACTATCAGCACTGAAATGGGCACCCAACACCGTTTGGTCACTCCGTATCATCCCCGCGGCAATGGCGTTGCTGAAAGGCATGTCAAGGTTGCTGTGGACATTATAAAGAAAGAGTTCAAACAAAAAAGCGATACCCGGGACGAACACGTACCCATGGCGCAATTAGCAATGAACACACGCATAGTTGCTTTGCACAACCCATCGCCGTTCTCTTTATTTTTTGCACGCAAATTTAATGGATTCCATAACTTTTCGAATGACAAAGATCAAATGCTTACCCACGACGAACTCTGCAAACGTCTTGAATATATGACAACAATCGTCTTTCCTGCTATTGACAAGAAGTCTAAGGAAACACAACGAAAAATGATTGAGCGATTTAACGCTACCATTCTGCATAACGATTTCCCTGAAGGCGCGAAGGTCATGACCCTCGACCCTATCAGAGGCGACAAGCTATCCCCTCGTTACGAAGGACCTTATACCGTAATACGCCGATCAACTGGAGGCGCATACGAGCTAAAAGATGGCACAGGTGCCCTGCTTGGACGAAAGTACGCTCCTTCTCAACTGAAACTTGTTCTCGAAGATTTTGGTGAAACGAAAACCTACGAGGTTGAGAAAATTCTCCATCACCGTCCACATCCTACTAAAAAGGGGGAGTGGGAGTACAGAACCAAATGGAAGGGCTTTTCCGACAAGGAATGCACTTGGGAGCCTGCAGAACATTTCGTAGAAAAACAATGCATCCGAGAATACTGGAAAAAGCACGGCAATAAGCATGCATCACCAGAAGACAAGACAAAGAAGCAGAAAGATTCGCAATCAAAGTCGCAGAAGAAAACGCCAACACAGAGGCAAAGCCCCTATACAAGGCAACGACGTGCCCGTAATTGATGGCGCGTCATAACAAGAGGTTTTGCTCCAAGAGCTTTTTCCCTCACAACATAATTTAACAATCGAGGTTTTTTTTATATTTTCCCTCACAACATAATTCAACAATCGAGGTTTTGTACATTTTCCCTCAACCATAATATTCATTCACTACACATGAGGTTTTCCCTTTTCCCTCATCATATCTGTGGCATCATATAGAGTTCACACGACAGGTCTCACTCTTCCATAGGAGGGGAGTCGTGTGGCATATAGCCATATTACATGCTGCCACCGCGTGTATTTAATTAGATCCAGCGAGTCCTATCAATTTACTTAAGCCACCGAGTAACATATAATGTTCTCGGTGGATTAATATTAAAGATCCCTCTCTTGTTCTCATTGATTCCTGGTTCATATATACTTCGCAATGGTCATGGAAACCAGCAGGCCGGAACTCCACGCGGAAAGCTTTCTCGAAGTCGAGCCAGTCGGTACCGTCCGATCGATATTGGCCGTCCCACCATAGGAGGCCGGCTTCGCCCAGGTAGGCAATAGCGGTGACAGTGCGGTTTGCCTCAATAACTTGCGCACCGCGAAAAAAACGTCGAACCTGGGTGAGCCAAGTCTCGCACGCGAAACCATCGCGCACGCCTGTGAATGTCGGAGGAGGGGGATATCTGTAGGTGGGGAGGAGAATGGCGGTAGGGGCGACGACAGCGGTATCGCCAGCAGCGGGGGCTTGGAAGGAGGTAGGTAAAACGGGGGCGTTCATGGTTATAAAGGAGAAGAGATCGGCGAGGAAGTCAACGTCCAGATTGGGGAAAAAATTTGATTGGGCAATTGGTTAAGGTTAAAATCAGGAGTACAGGGGTAATTGGTGGAAAATAAAAATCAAAGGGTGCTTGGGACAATTGGACAATGGGTGGTGGTCGAAGGAACCTTTGCTACCATGCAACAGCAGCAGAGTCAGGGGATCAAGAGCAGTGATCAAGTGGGAATGCGTAGATATGAATACTGTTTAATGATCGTAAGTAGGGACTATATACATGTCTGGGGTCTATTGTACAGTGTCGTAGCGGTGTTGTCATGGTGCCAGGCTCCCATCCTGGCTCTGTGTGTCGTAACCGTGCAGCTTGGTAACCGAGTGGTAATCCTGTTGCACTACCTGATCCAGAAAGCTCCTTGTTGTTACTACCTTCACAGGCCATCAATTCCACAGAAATCAGCAATCTTGCCGCAAGAACTGAGCCCCAACAGGATCGGCGCAACGAGATTAGTCATGCGACTTCTCAAAGAACAAATAAAATATTTGTCAACAAAAATGATAACATGGTAGCAGAAAACAGCATTGATACGAAAAACAAAAGAAAGCGCCGGAAAAATATGGTGAAATATTCAGGAACAGAAAAGGAGACTGCCATTCCACTGAAAAGAATATTAGACCTGCTGCATGACCACACGTCGCGCAATGGTCCTGGCAATACTGCGCAACCTGAAATCATTTTCGACAAACAGCCGTATATCGCGATGAATCCCACTTTAGCACAGCTCGTAGTTGATGATGGTGGACAGTTGCACCATATGAATCCCTCTTGGCTTGCAGTCAACTCGTACGTTGATGATACTGTAACAACTGAGAAGTATATGGGACGATAAGTCTGTGAAAAACGATATGCCCTTTTAATAGTGGCAGATCGTGCCTTATATACTAGAGAATAGCTATAAATGCATCTAGTATAGGGGACTAGAAACATAGGGGAAAGTCTCAGAGGCACAATGAGCTTCATAAAGGATCGGCACCGAGTGGTGGTAAATCCAAAGAAAATAGGGTGCTCTATATATAAGCAAGACAATGTGGTGAATACACCACAACAACAAGGGCTACTCGACCGCTTGCAATGCCTCATATCTTCCGCAGCGCTTTGATGTAAATCAATGTTTTTGCACTCAACCTCTGTTCTCACTTAATACAGACCTATTGGGTACGTAGTTTAGAGCTTTCCGGCAGCCCAAATCTCTCAATCCAGCATTTTCTCCTCGCTCCATCACCACCTTGGTCAATCAAGTCCTGCAGCCCCTCTCTTTTCAAGCAGCCCCTCTCTTTTCAAGCAGCCCCTCTCTTTTCAAGCAGCCCCTCTCTTTTCAAGCAGCCCCTCTCTTTTCAAGCAGCCCCTCTCTTTTCAAGCAGCCCCTCTCTTTTCAAGCAGCCCCTCTCTTTTCAAGCAGCCCCTCTCTTTTCAAGCAGCCCCTCTCTTTTCAAGCAGCCCTTCTCTTTTCAAGCAGCCCCTCATCCTCCAGCATCTACTTTTTTTACCTTCGCCGCATGATCATTCAGCGTCCCCTTGCTCCTGCAGCCTTGCCTCAAAGCTTTCAATTTATCGTGATCTGAATGCAAAATGTAGCAACGCTCTGGTCATTATAGCTGGTTACTCTTTCCTTTCTATTAGGCTAGTCAGTGGCGAGTATGGTCGTCTTCTCTACAGGTTTTTTTTCTACAGCGGGCCGTACACAATAGCCAACATCACCAGTGCTTGTAATGGCATCTACTCCTGTCTAAACATACGCTCAGAATTATTTTCGCAGTATATAAATACTCTGTCCTCCTCTTCATTCATCCACGGAGCACAGAAACCACTTCCTTTCCTCCATTCAAGCACACATGTTTCCATTCGTCGTATACCAAAGCCAAACAACGTACCTTCGAAGACACTTATCCAGTAAGTGATGAAAGGAGACAGCCATATGAAACGTTAGTTACAATTATCATCCACAAACTAACCACACATCATTTCGCCAAGTACAGTATTTACCTACATGTTGCTAGTGCTATGGACCGTACTCAGTGCGCTGCTTGGCTTTGCGACGGGCCAAGGATTAAGATTCGATAGATACCCGTCTATGAAATGGCAGTACGTGCCATACGAAATCTCCAGCGACTTCAACCAAGCCCAGAAACGGAAGATCGAGAACACCTTGAACAGGTGGAATCAACAAGTCGGCTGTATCAAGTTCAGTCCGCGGAGAAATAATGAGCTGGATTACGTTTTCATCTTTGGTGGTGATGGTTGCTGGAGCCATTTGGGCAAAATAGGTGGCCAACAAAGACTTTCATTGCAAAAAGACGGTTGCATCTATCGATCAACCATCTTGCGACAGTTGATGCATGTTGTTGGATTCGCATATGAACACAATCGTTGGGATAGAGACAATTATGTCGAATTACTCTGGGACAACATACCTGAAGTGTGGGAATCGCTGTATCAAAAAACCGATCCAGCCGATTTTGGCTTGCAAGGGATGTACGATTACTACTCACTCATGCACAGCGACTACAATGCTCCAGGCACCAACAAACCAGCATTTCGAGTAAAACAGACCGGTGTCGACAATAATCGAATAGGAAATGGCATTAATGGTGACTTGACGAATATGGATCTACAAAAAATTCGTGAGCAGTATTGTTAAGGTAAGGCAGATAAAGGTCCCTAAACGAAAGAGATAGTCTATGAGCTTTGTAGGGAAGAAGCGTATCTAATGACATCAATCTGTTGCGCATAGCAGACAAGCACGGAATAAATGTAGTTTATCGTAACACGTGAAACAAATACTGAAGAATGTGTGGGCGTCAGGGACGACGTACTGGAAGGGGAGAAGGAACTTGGTTTCCTGGCGTGCTGGTGGTTTGGTCGAGGGCGTCAACTTGGTCAGCCATCAATAACTGCTGAAAAAGAGTGTCGATAATGTAGTCTTCTCAGCAATATCCACAACACGATATGTTCACAGTTCTGCAAGCAATGCAAAAAGAAGCCTAGCTTCCTCCACAAGCTGCAGGACAATCCAAAATATGTAGTCTCGCATCTAGACCTTAGTCTCGCATCTAGACCTTAGTCTCGCAACCAGGCCCTTTCATTTTACGAGGGTTGGAATCGAATCCCTTCCGCCACTCAGATGAAGGTCTGGTTGCGAGACTAAAGGAATGCCATGAACGAACCTTATTCAAGTTTAGCATACGATAGGCGCGTTTGTCCTTACAATGCGCACCAACGCGCTTCGGATAGTTGCACAGCACCAACTCCGCTAAAAAAAAAAAAAAAACTTCATATAGACTACCTTACATAGACTCCAATTACATGTCATACGTGGCTTTTCAGTTTATTCACCGCCTAGACTACTATAAAGTCCCGGGCTTAAAAAAAAAAGTTTGTCCTTACAATGCACTGAAATTTTTGCTGTGCTGGCATGCTATATAACTGTGTATGTGATTGGGTAACCATGCATTGTGCAAAAATGCACACATTATATAGTTGCATTCCAGCCAATAATGACTCGAAATTATAGAAAAAGGCCGCCGTGGTCATGAGGATGACAACCACCAAAGTTAACCCACTTAGATCGACGCCGCTAAGTCAGGCAATGACCCGCTCCAAATCCCTTCTGGATAAGAGGACTCTTCAAGGCTGCATTTCACTCCGGCGTCCCGAGGGTCGGGAAAGGAGTTTCTTGCAACGGCTTCTCGCATTTCTTCTTGAGACAATCCTTGGCTATATTGACCAGGGTCTGGACTTGCAAGACATGGAAAAAAATCCGTGATCCAGATTCACTTCAGTCAAAAGTGATGGCAGCTTGGCAGTCAACAAGCGCACATGTATAATAGTTTTGTTGACTTTGGCACCTAGGAAAAAGATAACATCACAACCCACATTTTGAAAGGTCAAGAGTGGTAGTCCTTGCTCCAAGGTGTTGTGCAGCACATCAAGGGAATCCTTGGAGAAGATACGTGGCGAGGTGGAGAATATCCGTGTTGACTGCCTCTGATTTTGGGTGAAGTCCTTTGAGTTCGCCATAAAACACCTCCTTCTTGTCCTCCATCTGGCCTATGACATCGGGCGGACGGGACTGGCCATCCTGTTGGAGTTTGGTATTCCTGCTCTTACCTACAAATGTGCAGGCGTTGGCACTAAATGATGAACCAGATAATCAGATGGCCGTAAAAATGAATATTACCTAATATTTAAGATGAATGCATTACTATGTAAACTTGATCGTGTGTTGGATAGCCATGATCTCCTGCAAGATCGGACCAACTACTGCCATCATACAGTCCGACTCAGAAGCCAGAGAAGCCCAATTGTTGTATTGACGGAACACGTGCAAAGCAATAAAAAAGATTGATGCGATCCTTTTGCTTTTGCAGTCGGCATAAGATGGCAATATTGCTTCGATCACTACCTTCGTATTAACATCGACTGGATCCCAGCTTTTCCTTTGCGCCGCTGTGGTGTAGTAGCTCTATATCAGGTAAAAAGTACTAGCTATGAATACGTTGCTCAATAAAGGTCTCTTCTGCTTAACGAAGTCTCTACATAATAATTGTCTTACTGTGTGAGAACAAAGCTTCAGAAGTGGGGGCACTGATAGAGAGATATTTCAACGGGTGGGGATAATATAGACAGCAAATATTATTTACAAGAATAGGAAAGGCGACAACACATTCGGGTTAGGGATCTGCAAGGTCAAAGGGACTCTGTCTCGACTCCTGTGTCCAGACATCGACATCGAGGGGTACTGTTCTTGATCCTCCGCTCTTGCTCATTATGAGACCATGATCGTTATCTGTCGAGGGGTGGGCAGGTAATGGGAGCGGACTTGCAGGAACACTTGGGGCACTAGAGGTGCAGCAGTTCAGACGTACGGGTCCCGTTTCTACTCTTGCTGGGCGATATGCTATGAAGGCCAGCTGTGGCAGAGTATACCAATCTTAGGGTACAGTGTGATGGGACAAGGGTGCGTGGAGCGACTTTGAGTGTCGTGCAGGGTAAATGTTGTGCAAAAGTATAGTGAGAAAACAGACCAGGAACCATTCGGCGCTGTCGTTCTGTGTTATTTATTGACCAAAGAAAATCTACAAATGCAAATCCTATTGACTCTTGTCTAAATGCATGTCCTTCTAAAAATATGCAATTCCGCATACCCCGCATTGATAATGACAGCGATAGCGATATCTTCGGCAACCACCCTACTTAAAATGACAGCCACACCGACAGAGAGACATGTTACGCTGGTCGTCGTTTGTTGCCACTAAAAAAAAAATTAGCGCGAACCTTACCGAACTTCGGTCCGAAGTTTGAGTTTCGCAAGCTGGCTAATCACCCATCGCTCTTCCCTCTTGCTCCATTCATTCACAAACACTATACCTCAGAAAAATGGCAACCACGCACACTCTACTCTATCTCATCAGCGGCGAGCCGGCATCAAATGCATTCAAAGTTAAGCTTCGGATGTCAGCGATCTTAAGGCAGCAATCATGGAGGAGATAAGGGCGGAGTCAGATGCATTCAAATCCAAGGACCTTATTCCTTTCTTAAGACTTTGTAAGTTGGGCCCCATGGTCCGTGCGCGGATGCAAGCAACTCACATTATCTTTTTCTATCTTTTTGTCTCTATTTTCTTTAGCTGCAAAAATACAAACTCATGAGTCAGAAACCAGGATAGCTGAATTGCTGGATGAGCGTGGCGGTAAGAACATCATCGTGCTGAACGTCGTTGTGCGACCAAATAGAAACTAGTGTTTTTCTTGGACAACAGACGCTGAGCAAGCAAGCAAGCTTCTAATCATACTTTTTCACAGACACCATCCACAGGACTTGCGTTATTGAGGTAAGCACTTCTATATTTTATGACAAAACATCGACCTGGGCTGAAGAAAATGTGTGGTTGTGAACTCACCATTTTCGGATGCTTTTGTATTCGCTATGGATGAAAGAGCGTTGATTGTGGATGCGGATGGTGGGCTTCTTTCTTGGAAGGGGCTGCATCATCAACCAACTGTGATCCGTTTTAGCGAGGGTCATGGAAGGCGTGTGTGCACATTCACTGGACTTCGCACAGTCGCAAGATGTCTCCTAGCTGGGGGTGTGTTGCTTGATAGCGCTTTAAGAGCGACTTTTTCTTTCTTTCTTTTCTGCGATTCGTCGTACTCTCAACGTCTTTCAATATATACTTACTAGCTTCTCGAGTTTTTCGAGATTTCACCGATTATGAAAGATTAGATCTGTTCCTCGGTTTGAGACGGTGACTATATTCTTGCACGAAATGTTCCCCACTTTCATGATCATTGGGACTTTGACCATGCGCAGAGACAAGGCCAACACGTCAGGTAGCAAACAACAAGCAACAGAAACTGTGGGCCAACCATATAAACCATGGACAAGATGAGATTACTCCTCCCATCTCACGTTTATTAGAACCGACGGGTATAATCGTAGGGTTTCTACCACCAGTCCGTTTAATAAAATCATTCATCCGTTTAAAAAAGTCGGATTTCGGCCAGCTTCTGTGTTGCGAACTCGATAAGGCCGAAGTAGTAGATGCATGGGATGTGAGGAAATGTTTTTTTAGCCAGTCGCCTCCATATAATTCAGCAGACAATTTTGAGTGAAATGCACAATACTGCATAGATATTCAAGCCGTTTTGTCAAAATCCATGAAGCGGTTCCTGAGTTCTTTGCAGTAATACCTTGCAAAAGTCGCCTTTTTTTCCTTGTCTGACGACTTTTGAATAAGAAAACTCATATTTTTCATTATGTACATTGTAGCGCGTTGGTGTTCATCGGATTCACCATTGAAAATTGCATATGATAAGGATGTTCTGTGAGGTTTGATCAAGTGTCTATTGTGCTTTATCGTTTTTACAAAAGTTTGCGGAGCAATTTGGAGAAGTGGTATCGACACAAGCTCTTTGACGCGTCTTTTTACATCTAGCATTACCTACGGTTATCAAATTCTACCAGAAACCATTGAAGCCAGCTGGAGACATCCATGTCGATATTTGCAATCGACTGAAAAAGAATGGATTCGATTGGACTTGAATCGAGGCATCTTTAATTACACCATTGTGCCGTCTCTTGTTGAGACTGCATCCGCTTCATCAATTCCCTTTACCTCAAAAATTGCAAATCTAAGAGTCGCCGTAACGCCTTGCATATGCTCCAGTGCGCATTTTCTACTCTTCCGGTTTGTCTGGTGATGGACAACGTTACCCAGTTCCACCCACAAGGTCTCTAGATCACGTTGGTACTTTTCGAATCCCTCAGCAATGGCTTCCTCTCGCGCTCTTTTCTTCGCTATCTCCATCTGAGCTCTTGCCGCCTGTTCCCCTGCCCTTGATGCTTGTAATTGAATGGCTAAGTGTTGGGAAATAGTCTGTTGCGGAGGAGGGCCAAACCCATCAATATTTTCCATGTCGTCCGTATTGTGGTGGGCTAGCTTAGGCGAAAGCGTACAGTTGTAGTTGATTTTGAAGACGTTGCATATTCTTTTCACCAAATATAAATGCTTGCAAGGGATCCTGTGCTTTTCATAATCGTCACAGGAACAAGAAGGAAGGAAGCTTCTTTTGATGGAAAGTTCCTTTGTAGTGCTCCCAACCCATTTCCTTGTGGGCGATCTCGACAATCGCTGGTGGAAACCCTTATGTTTGTTTGCAAACCTGTACAGTAGACAATGAGCCTAGAAGTGTGCATGGAAGCGAAGCAAGCTTTGGAGCTGAGGGCGACTATCTCTTGTTCGTGTGAACATTTCCCAGCAAACACTAGTTTTGCCACCACTTTGAGCCGAGAAACGCCTTCTGGCCAACCACTGCGAAGATGGAAATAACAATCGTTTTAAAACGAATATTCATCTTTCCAAAAAAAAAAAAAAAAAAGACGCAGACGCAGCGTCTTACAATGCTCTGTAATCTCTATGCTTTGACATCGAAGTTAATGAACAATGCTTTTTAACACGCTGTTAAGATCTGGGCAGGCAAGTAGATAGGAACGAGAGTAGCGTGCAAATAAAGGGCAAGAGTAGGTTCAAGATAAGGAGGTATTGTATCGCAACAGGTACAACGGTTTATTCGAGAATGATGTCATAGTCATAAAAATGCTGTGCCCAGTTTCTAGGCATTCCAGCGCTATTTTGCTTAGCCATATCCTTCGTATATAATGGCTCTTCGAACGTAGGATTGGATAGCAATCAGTCATCGAATAAACCACTGATTCAACCCTAGAACTCCTCCGACTGCCGATTGTTTGCATGGTAGCAAAGAAAGCCTCGAAACCACCCCTCGAAACCGCTCCTCGAAACCGCCCCTCGAAACCACCCCTCGAAACCACTGAACCATTGAACCATTGAACCATCAGCACTTTTATTCGATCTATCAAGAATATATACGTGCACCATGGAACAACACTCACGAACACTCTCGGCGCTAAACATCTCGAACGATGCCCAATAAACCGTTGCACCTGTTGCACTGAGGAGCTATGGCTATGATCTATGAGGCTATGTATACGTTCTACGGGGACTGGGACTCGGAGCAAGACTGGAAGCACGCGTGTAGTACAAGGTTTATATCATAGGCATGCGTGCGTAGCTGGACGCATCCTATAGAGTTACTTGATCAGACAAGAGAGCAACCATGACTTTCATGCCGATGCATCCATCTAGAAACCGTAGACGGTGCTAGCGCGAGAGTTCATGTAATAGCTTTAGGCAACTGAGGGCAGAGGGTAGGGGTGGACAGGATGGAATGCGTACTGTATTTGGGTGGTAACTAGCTGGTCTATTTATCAATGTCTACGGACTGGTTCCGGTCCGGTCGGTGGTCTATAGCCGGGGCCCCAGTCCTTTCAGAGTCGGGGCTATATTCGGGGTTATCCTGTTACAGTTCACTTCCATACTTTGTCTTTCCTGGGCCAATACTTCTCTACCTTTTAAGCTGTTGACTAGAATGGCATGGTAATCCTCGGCTGTTTTCAGATCCGCGGCGAGCTGACGGTGTTGTTCCTCGTATTGCTGTCGCGACTGATCCGCCATGGTCGTCCTGGTGTTGTCATTCGGAAGTCGATCGAGAGACTCTCCGCAAAGGAGGGCGAGACGAGAACGTTGATTCTCGATCTTCTCTCGGGCGGCGATATTAGCGAGTATCCTGTCCCTAAGACGCCGGATAATATCCTCCATGTCGTCCTCGCCAGTCTGATAGTCTGCATTGGAATTTGAGATTCTTCCGAACGCGAAGGGGCCAGAGCTGGCAGAGGCGGAGAATGTGAGCGATGAATGTTGTTGATGGCCGTTGAACTGGATAGGCTGACCAGCGTGGCCAGACTCGTGCGGGTTGTCGTCGTTAGTGTCGACCTGTGGCGTCCTCGACATAGGTAGGACGAGATCGGTGTCCGATGGTTGGAATGAAGACATTGTCGCGAGGAATGGGAATAGTGAATGCGAGAATGAGGAATGAGATTCGATGAATCGTGGTTTTGAGAGAATGGGTGTTCAGATCCGTGAAGATGATTGGGATAAACCCCCTCTCCTCGAATCGTCAAAAAAAGCGCGACGGTTAGGCAGTACTTGAGAGGGTAGGTTGACGAGAAAGAAAGGTGGTGTTTATTGATCTGGGGTTTCTGGGTTTCTTTGTTAAATAAAAACAGGAGGCAACCGAGTGCCCGGTGTGGTGTGGTAAATCCAAGGATCAGGCACACCACTTGGAATGATACGGACTGTACATGCAGTTACGGGATGTGCATAGGAACTTCTTGGTCAATCAATAGCACAGAACAACAGGGCCGAAAGGTTCCTGGTCTGTTTCTTCCCAATACTTTTGCACAACACTTGCCCTGTACGACTCCCTAAGTCGCTCCACACGCCCACTGTACCCTAATTGGCATACTCGTATACTCTGCCATAGCTGGTTATCATAGCGCATCGCCTAGCAAGCGTAGAGACTGGACCCGTGTGTCTGAACTGCTGTACCTCTAGTGCAACCAAGTGTTCCTGCGGGTCCGCTCGCGTAGCCTGGAAGTCCTTCGACCAGGTAACAATCATGGTCTTATAACGAACGAGAGTGGAGGATAAAGAACAGGAGTCAAGGCAGAGCCCCTTTGGCCTTGCTGGTCTCTAACCCGACACAGGCGCTCACAGTCCGGAAAAGCTCTCTCAATTCCCCAGGATCTCTCAAAAGTCAGGGATATGTATTTTGTGGATAGCCTTTGTTACTTTATTGACCTCATCCGCTTACTTTGCAGACCACTCAGTCTACTTCCTGGATGCCCGTACTTGGAGCTGAACGTGTCACAGGATCGCCCAATCACATAGATATTCGCGTCTCATAGCGTTCCTTTATTTCTCTTCTCTGTTCTTCTTAAAGCCAGCAATAAACCTCATACGCACATCCTAGCTATCCATCTCCATTCTTGACAGGACGGTAGCTACTTTTGTCTCTGTCGTAGCCGAAGTTGCTCTGCATACGTTTTCAATGGCAACCAGTGCATCGTCTGGGGAATTGAGTCGAATGACCAAACCCGCCCCTTGTTTCTATTCTTCCTCGATACAACTCATACGAACCTATGACTGAGCATGTAACCGCAAATATCCCCAGCAAGTAGGCTTCTACCAAAATCCGACCTTGACTCCTAGCAATCTAGGAGTCCAGTTCATAGGAGTAGATACTTGAGTTTCTAATCGCGACAACACGCGTGTACTCTCCCCGCCTCCATAAAAATAAATCTTTGGAGAGTGGATTCATGAAAATCAAAAGTCAGTTGGTACCCTTCCACTCTTTTTATTCTCCTCCATCATCACCATTCACTCTACCACTACGATCCACCTGAATAGCCACGATCCTGGATGACAAGATCATGTGGACAAAAACTCTAGACGTTTTTACAACACTAAACGATGTGAACATCCAAACCCGCTTTTTCGCCTATTTTTTTTCTTTGTTGAAATCCACTCTGTGATGGAAGGAAAAGGAGCAAGGGTCGTGGTGTGGGGGACACGGGGGCGAGAGAGATAGTATCTGCAGTTCCGGGAAAGTGGGACGGATACCGAGGAAAGTCATGACAGGTCGAGGGTTCCAAAGGTGGTGTTGATGGGTCTCTCGGACCAAGTCCAAGGACGAGTCGTGGCAACTGTTGGACGAGTCGTTGTACAGACGCAAGGCTGAGTTGCAGTTTGTATCCAGGTAGCAGTCCTGGTCCTGGCCCAAGTAAGCCAAGGACCAGTAGGCCAAGGTCCAGTGGGCAAAACGGTCGTAGTAGCGGGCCTCGTGGTAACGGCAGTTCTGGTCCTGGTTCTGGTCTCGGTCTCAGTCCTGGTCACGATGACGGTGGCAGGGATGGCTCCAATGTCACTGACCGATGGGAGCTGAGTAGTCTCTGAATCAATAGTATGTTACACGAGACAACGCTCATGGTTTTTCTTTACTCGCCACTTCTTCTGAAGAGGAATGAGTTGCTACGCCAGAGCCGTTGACCATGTTACATACTAGCCGCTTTTTCATCCAAATACCTCCGTTATTCGATTTATTCGATCATTTCAGCTGCTTCATAAAGTTTGCTATGCAACATCATTCAGATTCTAGGGTGTGCTTTTGCTGGTTTTTTTTTTTTTTTTTTTTTTTTTTTTTTGGTGAATGGCTAGGCTACATCATCTTTAAAGCTTCTTTTTTTCTGCCAAACTTGTTGATGCTGTTGATACTGCTGCTGTTGTTGCTGCTTCCGTTCCAGCTGGGCCTTGGTGGGTGTGTTGATAATAGCACTAGAATCTGTTTTTTCAATGCTTTTGCCCATCATCTTAGCTTGTGCGGCTACTTTTTTAACCACAGACACTCCTTTCTTAACGATTTCAATGAACTGAAGGCTGTGTCTCTATGGTAAAAGAGAAACAGTGGTTGTTTAGGTAAGAGAAGAAGGCCAAGGACAAAAGGTTGATATCGAGTGGATTCTCATTATACCTTGATACAAAGCAACGCGGACAGATGGCCATCATCGAGAAAATTAGCGATGTCATCCACGGTCTGTGGGAGGTATATCATTTGTCCTGCTTCGGTGACAGTTCCTGCGCCGAACACGCCTGGTTGCACCTTCCGAATGACATATGGCAAGGCGCTAAGGCCTTCAATATCAAGTATCACTGGGCTGGGATGTGGAAATGTAGCTTCAGAGCTCGTAAACCCTGCTATCATTGACGTTGTGCTGGCAATGCAGTCGGCGCGTCTTGCCAATGCATTCGTCGTTGATAAGTTTCCTGTAGTCGTGGTGCGCCTGTACTTTGTCGGTGTAATTGAAACTCTTGACGAACGTCTCAATGTCTATGTGGCCCTTTGTGTTTATTGCCCAATTGCGGTGGTTGATGAAAGTAGAGCTGGACGACATTGCTGGGACTGACCGAGGTGGAGTGGAGAACACAAAGGTACTGCTGGAAATGTGCGAGGCATCTCTATTCTTCCCATCTATGTTACTGGCTCGATAGGTCTCTGCCCACTCTTCCCTCTGGAAGCAAGGATTTGCTTTTCCAAACAACAGGTACGAATCAACTCTCATTTCTTCAGTCGGCTGATGGAACGCCTGGGTTCCGCTCGCTGTACATGAAGACTCTACTGCACGAGGTAGAGCTCAGTGTTCACGGGCGCCGGGCGGTATGGTGGCACTAGTCGGCACACGCGTTGTCAAAACCTTGGGCATGGTTCAGCCTGTGCTTGCTCCACTGTCTTGCATGTTGGATACATGTCCGAGGTAGCTGCTAGTGTTCATTGATGCATCCATTGGTCTTTTGGCAGAGCACGCTTGGGCCTTATCATTTACCATTGGGTATTTAGATTGAGCTTGACGCCTCCTTTCGCTAAGCCGTGCTTACGAGGCGGACATGTGGAGAGATCCGTCAGGTAGCCCTTGCGCGCAAGATGCCCTCACTCGCACGCTCTCCGAGTCAAGCCCTACGGTGGTTCATACTTAACTACTGTAGTGGTAGTGGAGTGTGAGGCGTTTTGCCTGCAATCCTTAATATCGTCGAGCTTTTGCGACTCTGAAGAACAATGTATAGCCACTTTTTTCTCTTTTCTCTTTGCTAGCTGAAGGTCGTTCAACAACAGCATCTTCCATCGGAGGAGGCAACGGACGCAAGGAAGCACGGTACTAGAGAGGATATTCATTCGGATGACAACAATCGCTCAAAGCTTGTATGACGGACCATTGGAAACGAGCCTAACGAGGACAGTTTCAACGACACCTTTTTTCTCGCGTGGACTCGGCCTTCAAAGCAATGGAAGCCAAAGCAATGGCCAAAGTGGCAACGATGACAGCCCAAGCTGCTTGTGCTACCACAGCCCATGACCTACAGCCGAGGAAGGAGTTTTTGTGAAAGGGACCATATCTATAGACCCATGCCGCTTCTCACACAATGTTCACGTCGATGTACAAACAAATAAGTCATAAAATAAATGAGCCTTCTTGACCGGACATAAAGCATCACATGAGGTGCTTCGACTTAGATAGAATGAAAACGCCATTACGGATGAACCAAAGGAGAAAATGACGAGCCTTCAGTTATACGAACAGAGCATGATACACAGCAAAGTTGAAAGGTGGATCCTCCGCAACTTTGATGCGTAGATGGTCTTTACTTCCGTAAAAATTTATCTACGAGCTGAACACTCTGTTGGGCTTTGCGTTTTCCAGTAGCAGCTCCTCATGAGCTTCTTCTGCTGAAACGCCTCTTTCCTCTGACGCAAAATCCCTCACTCCAACTAAAATCGATTGAAGCATTCTCTAGAACTCGTTTATTTCGATCGTCTATATTACAGTCCAGCGATCACTCGTCGCTCTCAATAGTCTTCCCATTCTGATACTGCTTAGATTCGTCGACTTGTTTGTCAGCTCTTTTCAACCTATTTGAAGGCTCGAATCCTCGGCAACGATAGGCTCTGGTGAGTAACCCTGGTATACGCCTTTACGAGAACAAACAATCCCTGAATGATGTATTAAAGACAGCATCAGGTCTCAGGGTGTTCTCCATTCATAGAGATTGCGCTTCACTAAGACGGCCGATGACTGACCATCAGGATACATCCACAGCTGCACAGGTGACTCAACCTGACTCATAAATTGCCCACGTCGAGAGGTGAATGCATCCTTGCATCCTTGCTTTACTGTATCCTTGCTTCCTCTTCTGTAGGCACCAGTTCTTTCACATACTCTCCTAATGAGACTGAGTAAAAAAAATATGCTGTAATGGTTAGCACCAACGAAGAACATACAAGAATGTGGAGTCCTTCAGGTGACCAAGTGCCCCAGAGATGACTTTAATCGGAATGTCATCGGCAACAGTCTGCTAAAGCATGAGTGCACCTCAAGCTAATTCCAACCCGATGAAGCTGCGATGTCGTGCTTACAGTTTTCCCAAGGGAAAAGTTGCGAGAACTACAACTCCGACCGATCATCTCCACAGTCTGGCCGAACAAGAAAGGGTGCTAAAGGGTGGCCACGAGCGCGGCCGGGGAAGACATTGCTGGGCCACCGTAGCTAAAACCAGAGGCTGCACTCTCCATAGTTACTACCATTATCTTGTCTACTAGAGATGTTTCTGGCTGATTTTGTTTCCGATGCGAAGAGGCGGCATGTTGTGGCTGGTCGATCAAGCGTGTAAAGAGCAGGAAGGAAGAGGGAATGAAGCGAGGGGAGTGAAGAGGTAAAATGAGAGATGGCAATGAATTGGTGCAACAGCTATTATTGAGTGGACGCGACTTTTCAGTGATTGCTGCGTCTTATTCGTCAATAGCTTAAGAGTCTCAGGAACCTCTCTCTCTCGGTCTTCCGTTGGAATGGTGAAAGGGTGCGCATGGGCCACCTCTGCACTGTTTCCCCTCATCGTTCTTCCATGGCTAGCCCTACTACCATTGCCCCACTGCCATTGCTCTTGTTTTCATTGCATTCCCTCTGGACATCGATCTTTTTTTATTTCTCCTTTCTAACGAGGCATAACCTTTTCAACATCGCATCACTCTCACCTGGTATTTCTCTCTTTTATTTTCTTAATCATTCTTCATTCCAAACGACAAACTTCTTTCAGGCGGCTTCTCGCTGGCAACAATGTCGATTTATGTTATGTTCCCAATAGCTACCTATATTGTTTCCTTTGATATCCCCGCCTGCCATTGATATCGCTGCACTCCTCACCCTCCTCGCCCGCTTGTTTATTTGCTTTCATGAGAACGGCGCAAACCTTGAGTCCCTCATCCTGGGGTACTTGAAGGGTGTTAAGCACATGATCTAGCAGTATAAATATTACCTTCATTATGTAATAAAGAAGGCTCGACACGCCAGCAGCCCTCTCAGCGAAGGACTCTCAGGACCTGCAGACCGTCCAGTGCGAGCAAAACGCACGCGCGTTGCAGGTTCGTCACTGACCCCATCCTCATCACAATCTGTGTCGACCCCGCGCTCGTCAACCTCCTCCACAAGCACACTGAGCACTGGAGCCATTCAGAGGATGGACGACGAGTTTATGCAACACTATGAGGAGTTTGAAGGAGTGGAGTGGACGCTGTCTTCAGAGACTATTGTCGATCAGGTTCTTTGCGACTACGTTAGGACCCTCTGTAAAGAGTCGACTCTCCACTCGTTTGTGATCTATCAGACCCGGTCTCTCATAGCGACCTTTATTGAGCAACGTATTTACAGCCTGTTTTTTTACCTGATTAGGAGCCACTACATCACACCGGACCCCAACCGCCATGACCGGCCCGATACATAACAAAAAGGTATTTTGTCAATACATGGGCGGCATCGTGTCAAGCCGTGAACTCGGCACCTCATTCTTAATGCTAGTTGTCAGAGTTTAGCTCTGATTGGTATTGTCATGTGACGCTAGACGCGTCTAAGATTGGATCAACGTCGCCCTCATCACATGATGTAAAGATGAGCAAAGGCGGCACCGAAACGTCTAGAACCATGGATTGAAATCCTGCGAGAGGTGATAGGGCCCCTCACGGAGACCGAGGACAGACAAGCGAGGCGTACTGCTGAGAATGCTTTGCATACGTACAATATCGCGGTCCGACTCAAGGAATATAGACAGCGACAGCGACGTGAAAAATATAATGGGATGGATGAGGACCAGAAGGTACATGAAATGGAAAAAGCAGCACTCAAGGACATGGATTCACAGCCAACTACCATTCAGGATGCGGCAGCGCTCGCGTCCTTGGCTCCGCCAGCACAAATGATCGATTTCCCATGGGTTGATATTGACCAGGAGACATGGCAAACGATCCGTGAGACTCGATGGAGGATCCCGCCTGGGCTGGAGGAAATTGTCCTTTATTCGGATGGATCAGTGAAGAACGCTGGCTCGGACACAGTCAGCCAATCGTTCGGTAGTGTCTATAGATGCGTCGACGGCTCATTTCAGAAGGCTATCTGTGGTACAACGACGGATTACGCATCATCCACCAAAGCAGAACTGGTGGGTCTGCTCGCGACAATTCTGTGCTGTCCCCGGGATCGCAACGCCATTATTCATATCGACAATAGAGCAGTGGTCCAACAGTTTGCGGCGTTAGTTAAGAATCGACATACAACTACTCCACGACGGCGGTTGAGAGCAGCATATGCCAACTGGTGGGCTGTGATCTACGAGGCGTACGCGCAGCAGGGCAGCAAAGTAAATGTTCAGTGGGTTAAAGGACACAGTGGCGATACTGGAAATGAGGCCGCCGACGAACTGGCGGACAACGCACACGACAGTGGGCGACGGCCATGGCAACTGAACACACAATATTTCACGAGCATGAAGACACATACGACTTTCTGTGGTCAGTCAGCGGAGGACGACATTCGCCAATTGATCAAGCATCAGTCTGCAGCCAGAAACCATCATGCATGGACTTGTCAACAACGAACGAAACAATTTATTCAGCAGTGGGAAGAAGTGGAGTGGCGATCCAGCCTTGCTATAATACATGAGAAAAATCCGCCAGGGGGTTTTTTCACCAGCCTTGCGGATTGCAACCATCGATCCCACAGGATCAAGAAAATCCATGGTATGCTGCCAACCATGCAGTACATGCACAGGTGGAAGCCGAATCTGTATACCACTGACAGATGCCAAGTGTGCCTTACCATGGTGGAGGATGCCCAGCACCTCTGGGTCTGCAGAGTCACACAGAACAGACGACAGGAAGAATGGAGAAAGACACTTGATGGGGTTCTAAGTCTTGGACGCACCTTGGTAGATAAGGCGAGGAAAAAGTGGTTGTGCGACATGGAGGAGGCAATCAAGGATGGTCGACAATTCACACGCACCGAACCGAGTTTTACCCCGTGCGAGTTAGACACCCTTTGGTGGAGTCTGCGTGATATCCGGGGAGTGGAAACGATGGTGGATACGCGAGATGATGACTGGATAAGGCTGCTGGAGGAGCGGCGAGACAGGGACAATGGTGGCGAGGACAGAGAGAATGTCCATGAGGAAGAAGGAGAAGGAGTGAGCAGTCAAGAAAACGTACAGCAGGCAGCACCGCCTACCAGGCTATGGACAACGACAGACATATACCACGGGCTCGTACCAAAGTTCCTGACAACGGATTGGGCGCTACTCTTGAAGACGTCGAAGAGCATCGCGGCTTACCTGGTTGGACGTTTTGTAGAACGAGTTGAGGCTTTTGGCCGAGAGGAGTTATGGAAGGAGCGATGTAGTGCCACAGTGGCATGGGAAAAGTCCGAGGGCATATGCACGAGGATGAAGAAAGCCGGGGTCCAGGTAGGAGGTGAGACCCAGGGCTTTGTGAGACAACAGCCCCAAGAGGAGGTTACGACAGCGGCGAGGAGGAGAGCAGACAGCCGCTTGGTGGACCATCTCCAGGGAAAGGTGGTGTTGAACGAGATGGAGAGAGGAAGGAGGATAAAATTCATATTGGCCCGTGATCTTGACTAGGAGAGGACCCATCGGACCCGACAGGTTGCGTAGCGGTTTTGGGCCCCGGCTCAAGTATTAGAAACCATACGACTCAGAATGTGCACCATAGGTATTTGGTTCCTCATTTTACATTAGTTTAGTGGGGGCCTCTTGATAGCTATCTTTAGGTAACTATCGGCCGGCTGACAGTCCAAGCCGAGGCTTGGACAATGCAGCCTGTGGCACGCCTGCACGCCTGGGGGGATCTGGCGTCAATAAAAAAAAAAAAAAAAAAACGTCTAGAACCATGGATTCTAATCAGGACCTTTATTCGTCTGATATATATAAGGAAGGACAGACTATGTAGGCCCCAGTTCATATACTCACAACAGTCTAGCGTCTTTGTTCACTCGCCTTGTTCACTCGTTTCCCTCGTTCACCCACAAGTCTTACACAAACCAAAGACTAATATGCCAGAAACAAACAACAACGCAAAAAAAGTAGCTCCCTTCTCTACTCGGATCTGTGAGGCATCAGATGTGTGACAGTGAACATAGCCAGATGCAGAGAATTCATGGACAGAGGCTAAAAGTCCGCACCCGTATTGACGGACAGCCAAAATGGTTGCCGATCCCACCTTCGTAGACGCGTAGAAGCAAAAAAATATATAGATTTATATTAACATGGCAAAATGAACAAATTACCTACCCCGCGCATTCACAACACCAATGACGTTGATATCGCCCCAAATGGTCGAGGACATTGTCGTCAAGGATGACGCTCCGTTTGTCATTGACCACTGGCACAAGCATTCCACATGGGAGAGCAAGCTCTCCACCATTCCTTCTCTCAAGAGAAAAGCATGCCTGGGAGAGTACAGTGTGACTCACTGCTGCCAAATGCTAGTAACCTACTTGCTGTCGCTTTTCTCAAATGGCCGAACAAGTCCTGTACTTCAATTGAAACTACCTGCCGGGATCACCGCAACATGGTGGACGTTGACATTTTTAATGCAAGACTACCTTGCGACAGTGCTTCGTTCCACTGTTAAGAGTCAATTGATGTCCGACTATCCTCTTTATGCGAAAGATTTGTCTTGTTCCGCTAAGAGTGGCAGGAGTTTCTTATGGATAAGATCATGCCCCAATGTCAAAGATGATTGTATTGAACAAAAGAGATATTGAAACTATTTGGTATTCAAGACACATGCCCGCCTTCCGTACTTGAACCTCAGTCTTTATTCAATAAAACCCAGCACGCCCAGCTTCGCGCTTTTTTTTTTTTTTTTTTTTTTTTTTTTTTTTTTTTCAATGCTACTCCCCCATCCTAGTGCCGCCAGCACCACTATCACGGCCAGTCAGCAAGCATTGGGAGACAAATATGGAAATATGCTGTTTCAGTGCTCTTGTATTACATATTGCAGGTCAGGAGATTCTAGTTGTTATAAACTATTAATTTGGATGCGGAATATCATTTTAGAGAGAGCATGAATCAAGGCACAAACCAGTCTAGTCTACCCTTCAATTTGTATCAAAGGCATGGGAAATTGTGTAGAAAAAAAAAGTTACGAACGAAAAGACATGTAAAATTCTGAACACCAGTGTTCCGGAAAAAGACGAAGGGACAAGGTCTTTAGTTCTGTTTCGCGTTTAATTTCTAAACAGCATTCGAGAGAAAAAATAAAGATTTGTTCTCGTTTCGCTGCATATCCCCCCCTCTCCTCCTCCTCTCCTAATGGCAACAACAAAGTGGGACCGTGTGGCCATGCCTCTCTCCTCCCCCCCAAGATTCCGTCGGAGTAACAAGGTTTCTTCTTTCTCTCACACGACACGACTCAGTTTCTCAAAAAGGAACAAAGGTAGGCCCGCGCAAAAAAAAAGAAAGAGAGATGTCCGTTGGATTATTTTTGTAGAAAGTTCTTTTCCTTCCATAGTCTGCAGATAGTCTAAGTGTACTCTTTGAACGCTGAGATATTTTTTTTTTTTTTTTGCTATATGGGCTACTCGTCGCCAAGAGTGAGATGGCGGTTGAGCCATCAAAGGCTAAAAAAACCCGTTTTCCGCCCAATTGAATATTTGTGCACACAGCGATCGAGGGAACATGGAACCAAACCCCAGGAAGTTCTGGCCTTTGAAAGCAAAAAGGGCATGAAGGGGGAGGAAGAGAGTTTTTTTTTTTTTTTTTTGTGCGTGCGCATACAAGTTTTATAACTTGTCTAGTCTATTTTCCCTTGTTGAAACAAAAAATGTCGTTGCGACCTTCTTTCCCCCCTCCCTCCCCCACGCACACGACCTGCAGTTGTGGGCAACAAACAACAACAACAAATGAAGAACAGGTTCAGAAACAAATAAACTTGCACAAACATTGGATTATGCGCTTTTTTTTTGTTGTTGTTGTTGTTTGATGTTATGCGCAGCTCCAACAACAAATTCCTTTCCCTCCCCTCCTTTCCTCTCTCCTCATGAAAGGGGGATCCTTTTGCAGCAGATGATCAACTTTGCAGTAGGATTTAAGGGGGGGGGAGATGTCCAGTCAGCAATCAAGGACAAGGTTACCGTGGGTTGAGACGGACGGTTTTGTCGAAACCAAATCTCATCTTATCTCTTTTTTTCTGTCTGGTCCCCCACCCTCTCGGTTACCAGATTGGATATGTGTCGATGTGTCTCCCCGACTTCGTCGAATTAGGGATGATATGTATTATAGTAGGAGCTTCTTTGCCATACGTATGCGGTCTGATACGGTGTACGTGAGGTTGTTTTCTTAAACTCCCCCAACTTTCGCGGATGTTGCATTGGTCCGATGCTCCGCCCGTTTTGTCCGGCGGGGACTTTTTCTCCCCCCATTCTCCCCCCGAGGGGTTAATTCAGTCTCAGCTCCAGCTAAAGTAAGCTCTTTTTAAGTACTTCCCTCTCTTTTCTTTTCACGAGGGGGGAAAGAGATGAAAGGGAAAAAAAAAAGGGTAAAGTCAGATCCGTGGTCGCGTGTGAACAGAAACAACAGAACTGTGTGGTATCTAATCTAATGCACAATAAGACAACGACGAGCAGCAGAGACCGAGGAAAAAAAGAGCAAAGTGATATAAAGAGCAGCCTATTTTTCTGGATCGTCTTTTTTATTTTTCTCATTATTCGTTGGGGCCCACCATGAGGAAGAGTGTGAGCGAATGTAGGTTGAGACAGAAATAGGGCAGGGACGACATGGAATTTTCGTCAGGGAGAGAGAGAATAGACCGATCAAGGGGGGAGAGACCCCGAGAGAGAGAGAGAGATGATGAGCTGCATGGATTATATGCATGCGAGCCAAGCGGGAACATGGACTAGTCTAACGTGCGCAGACACGCAATTGATGACCATGACCTATGATGGCCCATGGCATGATATATGTGAGATATATATACATATGTGGGTGTGTAAATATAGAATAGACAATGGACAATGGACAACGGGCAATGGGGATAAGAATGAGGTATGTAGCCTGTCAGCGAGGAGAGGGGATTGATGGGGGCCCAATGTCATTCTCGCGACAAGTCAAGGAAGGGGCCGTTGCGCGGTTAGATGGAGCGTGGCCAGGATGGACATATATGGAAGACCCTGTGCATGGTCACATCATGCATCCTGCGCGCGCAGTTGGGTTGAAAGAGGGCATGGATTCTGGGTAAACCGCAGAAGAAAAAAGAAGAAAAAAAGACTCAGACTCCGTCGGGAGAGGGATTGGTTCGTCATCCGCATCGGGCAAATAGGCAAACAAACAAAACAAACACGCAAGCGAGCAAAGCAGGTTTTGAGTGTGTGTGTGCGCACTCTGAGCGTGTACACCGACGCAGACTAGACTAGACTAGACTAGACTACAGCAGGTTAGGTCGTGTGCTAGCCCCGGTTTGTCAGTCGCAGTCCCTTTCCGCTCACCGGCATAAAAAACACCCTTTTATTCCTCCGGCGCCCCCCTCTCCCGTGCTTCCAGCACAGGGTATTCACTTGCGATTCAGTCGCGGTGGAGGTGCGATGGCGTGAGTGGGCCCTATATAACAGGCCAGGTCGCAAAGGGGTCCCCCTCTTTTTCTTCTGCTATCACCGTTTCGCTGTTTGCTGCCTTTTGCTCGTCTGCTGTCTGTTGCCGCTCTGCTTACATATACACCCATCCTACTCATCCACTCACTCACTCAGACCCTTTCCCTCCACTCCCTTCACACCCCACTTGCGTCATTCCCATCCTCCTCCGCCTCCGCCTCCACCTCCACCTCCACTCTCTCTCCCGCAGCTGAGGATCGTCTTGAACACCGATGCATCCTCCCCACCAACACTCACTCCTACACTGACCAGCTCGCTCTCGACCCCATCCCATCCAATATATACCTTAATCCTTAATCTCTAATCCCCTTATCACTCCCTCAATCGTCGCACAATGCCCTCGATCACAAACCTCTCTCTGCGGTGTCGCAGGGCCCATTCCGGCCTCAAGGCCGCCGCCCTCTCCACCATCGCCCCCCTCCGGAACCACCGCTACACCCTCTATGACCTCCAGTACCTCTTCCTCGCCACCCTCTTCTCCTTCTGCTACTACATCATGGACAAACCCATCTGGTTCAAGCTCCCAATTGCCCTCACCGCCCTCGGTCTCCTCATCCCCAGAAGAACCCGCCAGTTCATGCTGCCCTTCTCCGCTATTGCGGCCTGGCTGGTCCTCTTCTATTGCTGTCGGTTTATCCCCGCAGCCTGGAGACCTCACATCTTCACCTCTGTCCTGCCTGCACTTGAAAACATCCTCTACGGCGGCAACATCTCCGAGCTGCTTGCACAGGAGACCACTCCCCTGAAGGATCTTCTGGCCTGGATGCCCTACGGTGTGCTCCACTTTGCGTTGCCCTTCATCACCGCTGCCATGATCGCTTACTTTGCTCGTCCCGGTACCCTGCCTGTCTTTGCCCGTACCTTTGGCTACATGAACCTCGCCGGTGTGCTCACGCAAATCCTCTTTCCCTGTGCTCCACCATGTAAGTGTTACACTTTTTTCTCAAATCGGTCCTTTGTTTAGCCAGAATAGAGTCTGGACTAGTGGTTTCTTTATATGTATATATATCCTCCTTGGCAGCAGGGCTCTCACACGCAGCACCCATTCTTTTTCTTTTTCTTTTTCGTTTATTTTACCAGGGTACGAGACAAACTACGGAAGCTTCAAGCCGGCGACATACTCGATGCCCGGCAGTCCCGGTGGACTCGCACGCGTCGATGATATCCTCGGCACAAACATGTACAAGTCCACGTTCACGGCCTCGCCCCTCGTCTTTGGCGCCTTCCCCTCGCTCCACTCGGCCTGTGCTTGGCAGCTGGCCTTCTTCCTCGTCTACATCTTTGGCCCACGCTCTATCCCCTTCGTGGTCGGATACGTCTTCTGGATCTGGTGGGCGACCATGTACCTCGGACACCATTACGTCGTCGATTTGGTCGGAGGTGCGGGATACGCGGTCGTTGCGTTCTGGATCGGATCCTTTTTCTTGCCCTCGGTCCTGCCTCAGCACCACAACGCCAAGGCTTCTCATGTGATCCACGATTTGGGCGATGCTATGAATCATCAGGAGAAACAGACCCTCTTTGATAGCGCACATGATGACGACTTTGTGGGATTCAAGCAGGACACGGACTGGGGTCAGGATGGTGACAACATTGAGGAGTCAACCGAGGAGAGGGGGATGGAGATGGCCAAGGTCGTTGTGGTCTCTATCGAGCCCGAGATGGAGGAGCACAAGCTGTTACAGTCGTCCGCCCCGTCCTCGCCGACCTCGGGATCTGCGGCACCAAAGAAGAAGAATGCTTCGTACCGTCAGAGCTGGAATGGTTGGCAAGGATACGAGTCCTTGGTCGAGGTCTTGGTCACCGTCAACTCCCCCCGCACCTCCCCTCGCCCCTCGCCCACGTCCTCGCCTCGCGATTCGGTCACTCATGTTCGCCATGGTCGTATGAGTCGTGAATCAGTGCACTCTGTTGCTGGATCTGTCGTGACATTGGATCTGGATCAGGAGACCAACGTCGCTATGGTGCAAGGCTTATCTTATTCGTCGTCGTCGTCGTCGTCGTCTTCATCCTCGGGATCGTCCTCGAAACGCAGCTCCTTGTTGAACATGACATCGCTGACGATCATCGAGGAGGATGCTACTGCTGGGATGAGCCTCAGTGGGGTGGCGGCGAAGGGACGATCTCGCCCGAGTCGTCTGGTGCTTGAGGAGTTGAGGGGTGCGTCGTCTGGATCGTCGCCAAACAGCCCCAGTCCCTTGGCTGAGCACTACTCCGCGGAGATGGTCGAGACAGAGTCCATGCACTCTGGTTCGTCCTCGCGCCCAACCTCGCCCCGGTCCTTTGTCTCTGGTGCTTCCTCACCCGCCCTTGGCAAGCGCTTTAAGGACGATTGAGTTTTTTATTCCTATTTCTTTCTTTAATCCTGCTCATCCTATCCATCTATCTACTCTTACCTATCTACCCATCTACCTACCTACGTATATTCGCTTTACCTGTATCATAATCCACTAGAACCTCCGTCCTGTATTTCTAACGCCTGTAATCCACCTAATCTAATAAAAAGAACCCGACTCTTTTAATATCATGCAGAAACCGACTCTCTTAATGTCATGCTCTTTAATATCATGCACGGCCACACCGGCAGCTCCGACAGCTTCGACATCTCCGCAGCACAGCAGAAAGGCGACTCTTTTGTCTCTGGGATGAGAGAGGAGGGGAGGAGGAGGGGGGCGAAGCAGTTGGGGGGCGAAGCAGTTGGGGGAAGGCGCTGTGTCCATTCCTCATTCCGCATCCCTCATCCCCCATCCCATTCCCCTTTTCCCTCCTTCCCTCCTTCCTTCTTCCTCAACGCACCCACAGCCTTTCCCTTCGCTGTTTCCCCTCGTGCGGCTGACTGCGCCGACCATCCCGCCGCCGCCCCTTTTTTTTTCTTTCTTTCTTCCCCATCGCCTTTTTTTTTTTTTTTTTTTTTTTTTTTTTTTTTTTTTTCCAGTGCCTTCGCCCTCGTTTTTATACCGCCCGCCCACGTTTCTTCTCTGTTCTCTTTTCTCTTTCGCTCACCCACCCACTCTCACCCACTCGTCCACCCAGCCCCACCTCGGCACTCAGCTCTCGCTATACAACACTCGTCTTCACGCCCCGTCCGAGCTCCTGGCGCGTCTTTCTTCTTTCTCTCTCTCTTTCTCTCTCTTTCTCGTAGAGAGTGATTCCCCCTCACAGGACCTCTCTCTCAATCTCACTCTCGACACCAAGCACCCCCCTCCCTATCCACCCAACCACACAGCTACCAAAAACCAACCAGACCTAAACCAAAAAAAAACCCCCCCTTCCCCCCCAAAGAACTAGACAAATGCCGCTCATCCAGACTTGCTCCACCGAGTTCTCGGACCTGTTCCGCCCCTTCTTCGAGAACTGTCCACCCGAAATCGAAAGGACCCAGGCCATCCCAGTCGAACGTCCAACCAACCCAACGACCATGTCCTCCTTCCCCCAGGTCCTGCAACAGCAACCCGCCCCTATGGCCCAAGGGTTTTCACAGCCGGGCCAAGGATCTTCTCAGCCATTGCAGAACCTCCTGCTGAATTTGGACCCGGTGCTCCATCCAGACCCGTGTGGGAAGATCGCGAAGGAGTTTTATAGCCATGCGCACGACAAGACGGACTATCAAATCAAGAGCGTGCACCTGCTCAGGAACCCGGTGATCTGGATGAGGTACCAGGCCGAGAAGCAGCTCCGACGACAGATTGCGGCCCAACAGGCTCAAGCTCATGCTCAGACTAGGATGTCGATGGCGATGTCAACCTCAACCTCAACCTCGACAGGAACAGGAACAGGAACAGGAACAGGATTACGGGCGACGACGGCGGCAACAGTGGGAAAGGGGGTAAATGATGTGGACCCGCAGTGGCTGTTTCGGGACGAGGTATTGTTCCATGGGACGCGTCAAGACCGGGTCGGGTCCATACTGTTGAACGGACTGGACCCTCGAATGACGGTCCGGGCGAATTACGGCAAGGGCGTTTACTTCTCGGATTCGATTGAGAAGTGTATGCAGTATGTGGACCCACAGACGAGCTTCGACCAAGAGTTCTCGATCGTGTTGTGCTGTGTGTTGCTGGGCAGGTTGATGGTCGAGCCCCATGAGAGGGAGGAGAGGAAGTTGGGGCACTATACGATGTTTGTGCCGGAGGGCTTTGAATCTGCGGTCGCGTATGATGCTTACAAGGAGTGGATTGTGTATGTCGTTTTTTTATTATTTTTTTTATTTGCTTTTTTCTAGGGAATTTGTATATCGACTCTATATATCAGCTCTTTCAAATAACTAACCAACTTTCTACCTCTTTCCCCCCATTCTCTTTCTTTCTTTTTTTTTTTTTTTTTTAAAAAAAAAAAAACGACATCCATAGGTTCGAAAAGTCGCAGATCCTGCCGCTATGTGTGATCAACTTCACGGCGACGAACCGGGCCGATAGTTTCTACCGATTGGGCGCCCACTATGTCCTCTCCCGCGGCATCGCGCATCAAACTGCCAACATCCACGATACCCCGCCCCTGATTACCGTCACCGTCCCAAAGGACCCTGCTGAATGCCAGCAGGAACAGGGTGCGATGGAGAAACTGCGGACGTGGCACGATCCGGATGGTCCGCTTTCGAGTCTGCTCTACAACGTCCTAGGGATAACGCCGAATTCGGCCAAGGTGTGCGAGATCCAGTTTACAGAGTCCATGGAGTGCGCCGTTTGGTTCAGGCAGACTCTGACCCAGGGTCAGTTCCAGTTTCTGGCTCAGGCTCAGGCTCAGGCTCAGACTCTGACGTCGACGACGACGGATTGTTATTGCTATGTGAAGGACACGAATCTCGCGATGCTGCTGTTGGCGGCAAAGAATGTGGAGGTGCTCGAGCAACGACTGAGGGATGCTCAGCAGAGGACCCTACAAACGATGCGTGTGGACCGGAACCTGATTGAGGCCAGGCTCTCAGGGGTGAGGGATGCGAATAGGCTGTTGGAGACCATGGCAATATTGGAACCAGAATTACAGCGAATCAATGCGGAGGGAGTGACCTATCATCAAGAGCTGCTGCAGCTGCGACAGCTCGAGGCGAGCCTGCAACAGGCCAGCTGGCAAGAGCGTAATGAGCGTCAGCAAAGGATTCGTCTGTATGATCAACGGCTGAAGGAGTTGGTCACGAGGAATAGCGAGTTAACAAAGCCACTTTATGAGACGTGGACCCAAGGTCAAATTGATAGCGCATACGCAGCGTTGGAGATGAAGAAGGGGATGGAGAGGAAGGTACAGGGGGATTTGCAGAGCCAAACGAGACAGCAGGAGGCGATTGACGCTGAGAAATCAAGGTTGAGGAATCAAGCGAATGGGTTGTTTGTGCGTGCTACGAAACAGGAGCTAGATTTAAGGCTCTTGCTGGCGAAGCGGGCTCGCGATGCGAATGAACGGGCCGCGAGCGCGAACAACACCGGGAACAGACAGCAGCAGCAGCAACAAGGATTTCAGACCAAGGAGGTGAAGGTACGCACAGAGACCGCAAGGGTGTGGCCGCAGATCGTGGCCGAGTTCCTGTTGCCGCAGGCAATGTTCAACCAGCTGGGGCGGACGAACAAGACCTTGAACTTCACGAACTGTTCCAAACCCTGGGGCCACATTCCGGACGAGGGCGAGGCCTGGTGGGAATATGCAGCAAAGAAGTTGTTCCAGGCCGAGGTTGCGTCTGCGGAGTTCTGGCCGCTCTGTCCGAGACAGAGGTTGCCGAACCGGCGGATGTTCTATATGACGGATTATGTGGAGTGGTTGTTTCTGGAGAAGGAGAATCGGATCCGGAAGCGGGATTGGAGGCTCAATCGACTCTCTGGGCAGACTCAGGGTCAAGCTCAGGGCCAGGGTCGGACGGACATGGTGCCGCCGCAGAATCTGTTGCAGGACATGGATTTGGGGGCATTTTTTCGGGAACAGTGGGGTCAGCTAGACCCAAGCATTCCAAGCTCGATCCAGGACCTGTCGAGCCGGTCCGGAACAGTGGTTTTCAAGAGGGAGGAGCGGCAGAAGGAGTTGGATCAGCGGAGCACGGGTCTGCTGAGCTTATTCGTTGCGGCAGATCCGGATATGCTCTCGTCTCTATCGTCAGGGACGTCCGAAGCTCCGAACTGTCCGATCTGTAAGGAAGCGCTCGAGCTCCCCGAACCCGGTAGCACAGCCGCTTCCGAGACGGTGGTAAAGCTGAAGAGTTGTCGGCACTGCTTCCATTTAGAGGGATGTATTCAGCCGTGGTTCGAGTTCGAGAATTCACAGCTCAGGTGTCCGATGTGTAGTGTGATGTGCACGACCGAAACCTGGGACGGATTGACTAAGAGTACGATGCAAAGGAACCAACTGCTGAAGCTGGGACCAATGCCGGATAGTACGATGGGCTACTTCTTTGATGTCCGACTTGGGTGCTATTTCATCTACGTGATGACACCTTCGCATAAGATCCCGAACCCGGACCCCCAGGCCCCGCCTGGGTCGAAGGTCGAGGTCAGGGCGGATACCCGCTACGCGGTCGTTCCTTTCTCGGCACGGATGGGCCCCTTGTTAATGATCCGATTGATCTGTTTGTTTTATTATGGACATCTATTCGCTGTTGGACGGTCGGTGACGAGGGGGGTCGATAATGTTGTAGTGTGGAATGGAGTCCATTTGAGGACAGCCATGACGGGGGCGTATGGGTTCCCAGCACCGCATTTTGAGAAGACATGTTGGGAGGAGATCAATAAGAAGGGCATCGCCAAGGGGTTGGAGGAGCTTTTGTTGGGGATGCCGTTACCGGATGGGACGGATGTGCCTGTGCCTGAGGGTGGAGTTTTAGGAGGAGAGGTGTTGCTGCCGGCGGAGGTTGTGGAGGAGCTGGCGGAGGATGAGAGGCTGAGACGGATATTCCATAAGGATCAGCCATTGCTCTTTCGCGTGTGAGAGACACAGCATAAACCAATGCACGGATTTCAAAAGCAGCAGCCAAAAGTAGTAGCCAAAAAGTAGTAGCCAAAAGTAACTAAAGAGGCAGTAAAGAAGCAGTAAAGGAAAAGAGTCCCTCTGAGCTGCTTATGCAAGTTTTTTTTATGTAAATAACCCATTATATTTATGTCCTGCGAAGTGGGGGTTTTTTTTGTTAGTGGTTCGACATCAGGTCCCCCGTATGCGCTGAAGAGTGCGTTCGAGAGTCATGGACATGGCCGATAGTCTGTCGAGCATGGTCTGGATGTCTGGTTCATCCGACGAGGTGCGGAGCAAATCCTTTCTTGCGTGGGCAAGGGTCTGGTGGAGTCCCGACGGTAAAGATGGATCGGTTAAGGCCATGAAGGAGCGTTTCAGGGTCTGGAGGCTGTTCAACATCTGGAGGAGGGAGTCTTGTGTCGAGACTAGTGAGCGTGCCTCTTCACCGAGGCCTATATAAATATACATAGACATACGAAAGAAGCGATATTTTAGCAGATCAATTAGAAGAGTTTTGTTTTTTTTTTGTTAAAAAAAAAAAAAAAAAAGGCCAGGGCCAAGGCCTTTACCTGGGATGGTATCCTGTTCGTGTAGGGCCCCAGAATGGAGACGATGACGACGCTGGTATTCTATGAGATGGGGCGAGAGGTCTCGAGCAAACATGGTTTCGAAATCGGTCAGGGCTTCGAGGAGATGTGCGGTTGTTTTGTCAAAGGCATCCAAGGTCGTGGGATCGAGCGTGAGTGATTTGTTTGATGAGGACGCGGTCTTCCAGGTCGGGGTCTATTCGTACGACAAAAAAGGACCCAGAAACAAAAAAAAAAAAAAAAAAAAAAAACCTCCCCCAAGAGGAGAGGGCCAAGATAGAGAAGACAGTATCGGCAGTGAGAAAAAATAAAGAAAAAGAGAAGAAAGATAGACAATCCGTGTTCGAGCGGTACATTCTGTCCATGTGTGCTTGTTTTTTGTTTACCTCAGTAGCCACAAGAGCGAGAGCTTGTTGAGCCTGGTAGAACGCCTGTTGTAGCTTGGAGTGTATCTCTTTGAGCGGTTTTTGAGTGCGATGACTTCCTTGTTGTGGTCTCTGAGAAGAGCTGCAGCGGGCGTAGGCGTAGGCGTGGGCGTTGTGGAGGACGGCGTCGGGGAAGAGGTCGATGGTGTCTGTGAAGATGGCCTGGTTGATTTCGGGAGTGGAGATCACGGTGTCCATCCATCGGCAGGCGGCCACTGCTTCGGTGTGGGAGTTGGTGTTGTTATTGTTGCTGATGTCTCCGGGGTTGGTCATGGTTGGAGGTGTGATGTGTGTGTTGAATGGAGATTCTGGCGTGGGGGAGGGGAGGAGTAAGGGTTGGTTGCCACCAAATTATGAAAAAGCGCCACCAAAACACGTCCCCGCCCAGTCAAAAAAACGCCCGTTCTCGGAATAAAAAAATTCAAACTATTTACGCGACGCGACTGAGACGTATGGAAAAGAATAGTAAACTACACGAGAGATAGCTGCGCTGTGCTGCAGCTTCTGGGATATATCACGATGACTATCACAAAAAAGAGAGAAAAGAGAGAGAAACAGGTTGATCCGTCGCCATTCTTTTTTTTTTTTTTTTTTTTTTTTCCACGCACTGTTGAAAAAAAGACTCCATAAAGTGAGCTCCTCATCAACACTTTTCTTTATTGCTGATAGATTGCATTTCAATATAGCGATAAACGAATGTAAAATAGCATCAGAGGCAAAGACTCGACCATTCCCTCTTTTTATTTGCTTGCTTCTTTCCTTCACCTCTTTGCACGCACACTCAGGGCTCGTTTCCCTTCCACATACCGTCTGTTGAAACAACGAACAAACAAAACGATGATACCAACCACCAGGGTCTTCGCGCTTCTGGCAACGGTGCTACTACTCCTGACGCCTTTTCTCGCATCGCCACACAGTCCTCTCGGTAGCAACAGCAACATTGGCATCCATTACCCGGACGTTTCAGATCTGGATTCCAAGGCCGTCGTCCGGTTTTCACTTCATCGTACTGAGCTCTCGCCTTCAGCTCTCTCCAGACGCGCAACAATGTCGGTTGAACACACAGAGCCCGTGGTCCAGGTTTCGCTGACGACGGTCCCCAAGGAATACGGCTACACGGCCACCTTCTCTCTCGGCACCTTCCGCTCCACTACACAACCCGGGCAACAACAGCATCAGCAAGAGCATTTCAACCTGTTGGTCGACACAGGTTCAGACCTGGTGGTAGTCGTGTCTTCAGAATGCAAATACCCAGAATGTGTGTCAATGAGCCATCGGTATAACGCCTCGGCGTCGATCACGGCCAGGCCGACCCAGAATCGGTTGACGGGTACCTATAGGTGGGCGCAGCTCTACGGGGATGGGACGGTCGCGAATGGGTCATTGGTCAGTGATACGATCCGGTTTGTTTCTAGTTCCGGGACCGCAACTTTGGCAGGTACAGATACTAAGATCAGAACCGGGATGGGGATGGAGATGGAAACTATGTTGGAGGTGAAGGACCAAACGGTGCTGGTAGTTGACCAACCGGGATTACGACTGTTCAAGTCCTATGGCGCAGGAGTCGATGGGATCATTGGGTTGAATCTTCAGAGTCCGATTATTGCGGCGACTGTGGTCCAGAATCTTCAAGAGGCCGAGCATCTGGCTTCCTCGACGCTGTCGAGAGAGGCATACCCTGCCTCGAGTGGGTTGAGGATTTGGGATGATGGGACGAAAGGGATGGGGTTTATGAGTCTTTGGTTGAGTGGATCGATGGAGCGAGGAAAAGGTGGAGAGCTGCTGTTGAATGCGGTGGATAGGGCAAAGTTCCGAGGAGAGATCCGGTGGTCGGATCGAGGGCCGAGTCCGTATGATTGGGCAGTACAGCTTGATCGAGGGTTGCTGTTGCGCGATGCCGGTACCTCTGCGAGCGTGGTGGGGACGACGTGGACAGTGCCGGGGTCGGATGGATCGTATGCGGTGATCGATTCAGGGTCTGATGGGATCTATCTCCCACGAGAGATGTATGATGCACTGTTCAAGCAGGTTCCGGGGTCAAAGCAGCTCGCGAATGGGTATTGGAGAGTTCCCTGTGAGGGGACTTTGGAGTTTTGTATGGGGATCGGAGGGGCCGTGTATCGGATTCCGTATGAGGAATGGGTGAAGAAGTCGGATTTGGGGACGAGCGGTGGTTTGCCTGGGATGTGTCAGGCAAAGGTGTTTGGGAGCTCACCCGGACCCGTGCTGCTGGGGACGGCATTCTTGAGGAGCGTTTACACGGTATTTGATTTTTCGAGGCCAGGGTATGAGCGGGTCGGGTTTGCGGCCCTGGCTTGAGAGGTATAGAGGAAGGGACATGGGGGAGGAGACTGGCAGGACGTAGCTTGGTGGTGGTACCTGTTCCGCTGGTGCTCGAGGCAGATATGAGGACAAAAGAGAATAAACAAAATCTGAGTGGACTGCGGTGCGCTTGAGCTGGTGGACAGACATGGCCATGCATCCCTAGCCAGGGGAGCCGTGTTCCGTAAAGATGACGGACTGGAGCACTTTGGCCGCGAGGGGGTAGGCACTAAAGCCTGGGGGGTCAGGTGGGCCTGATTGGCTGGAAGACAGGACAAGGTTCTCGCCTGGTCACATGGCTCAGGCACTGAACAATGGATGTAATTCGTTTCTCCCCCCACATCCACAGGGGGGAGCACCAGCATTGGGGGCCTGGATGCGCGTAGACACCGGGCTACAGGACAGACCCACTGGCGTATGCTGGTGCCTGGCGGAGTGGAGCAAGTCCTTCCCCTACATGTCCTGGCTCCTTTGTCTGCCACTTCCTCAATTGGGGGTGTGGGAAGAAGGAGCGAAGCGAGTTTTTTTTTATATTTTGCCATGGTACCATGCACGACGTACTCTCACATGAACCTTAAACGGGGTGATGCCGAAAAAGGAAGGAGCCTCGTTTTTTTCACACGGGTGCTTTTTCGTCCTCTGTGCCCCTCGGTGTCATCTCTGCCCCAGGGCAATGTTCCATTGATGCCGATGCACACACACACACACCCTGGATGGTTCCTGGAAGAGGAGAGACAAGGACGAATGCCAGCGACGATGCCGATGAATGGTGAAAAAGGAAGACTATGGGGAAGGTGTGGCAATGTGGGGAAGAGGTGATCCGCTACTGGTTTATTGAGGTGGAGAGGCAGCACGCATGTCCCCCGCCTTCTTCGCCCCTCCCTTCCGCTTTAAAAGGTGTCCTCTGCTCGTTTCCTTCTACTTTTCTTCTTCTTCTTTTGTTTCCTCATCCCTCCTCTCTCTACTCGCCATTCCTCATTCCGTCTCATTCGCCACGCTTCTCATTCCTCACCCATAGTCTTTCTGTGTATTATCTTTCGAGTCGAGTCCAGTCGAGTCGCGTGTATCCAATTCCCCATCCCATTTTCCCTTGTACGATAATAAAGAAAGCCATGTCATCGCAAGCATCTCTGGCTTCGAAGGTCCTGCCTCGTCTTAGCGCCACCGCCCGCCATCTCTCCTCCCACATCCGTCGATCCTCCTCTTCCTCCGCAAGACGCCATCTGTCGTCATCTTCAGTCGCCTCCGACAAGACCTACTTCCCACAGTCGATCCCAACAATCCAGCAGCATGGCCAAGCGCCCCTGAAGCATCAGCATCAGCAATACCAAAAGCACACCACTTCCCTGAACCCATACAAGTCCATTGCAATCCGTCGAGAAGGCAAGAATCGCTGGGAACGACGTGCGGCCCTGACACCCGAGGCCGTTGAAAAACTAATCAAGGAGACGGGCATCAAGGTCTATGTTCAACCGAGCACAAAGCGCATCTTTTCAGATGACAAGTATCGTGCTGCAGGAGCGATTGTCCAGGAGGACCTTTCGCCTGCGGATATCATCTTGGGAATCAAAGAGGTCCCCATCAAGGATCTGCTCCCCGGCAAGACTTATGTCTATTTTTCACACACGCATAAGGGTCAAGAGTACAACATGCCCATGTTGCAGGATGTCCTCGACAAAGTATGTCTATAGTTCATTTCGATGTCTGTCCGTGATCGTCTTATGCATTGGAGAAAAGTGCTGAACACATTCCATTAACGATTACTTTGTACATTGATGGTTATAGAATATCCGCCTCATCGACTATGAGCTGATGGCTAATGAAAGGAAGCAGCGTTTGGTGTTGTTTGGAAAGCATGCCGGCTACGCTGGCATGATCGATGGAGTCCATGGTCTGGGTCAAAGACTGCTCGGTCTCGGCTACAGCAGCCCCTTCCTGGTATGTTGCTACAATTAGGTGTCATGCCATGCCCGCTCCCTGGTTTTATTTTTATTTTTGTGATTGTGATCTGCAAAAGTAGTTACTGACAACCCCTCCTCATCGTGATCTGACAGCATGTGGGTATGGCACACAACTACAAGTCCCTGGCCTCTGCGAAGCTTGCGCTCCAATCTCTGGGTAACACCATCGCAGACGAGGGCACTCCCAAGGAATTCGGACCCATGATCTTTACATTCACTGGAAGCGGAAATGTTTCCCAGGGAGCCCAGGCCGTCTTCAAGTCACTCCCCCACGAGTTTGTCGATCCCAAGGATCTCGCCAAGATTGCTACCAGCAAGAGTAAGCTGCTCAAAATGGACAGGGCCTGCGTTATATTTGCAAGAGATGCATGTCGTTAACGCTTTCACCTAATATTCACTCCAATAGATGCCCGCTTGGATCGCATTTATGCTGCAGAGGTCAATATCCAAGACCATATTCGCCACAAGACCAAGAATGAGTTCACAACTGCTGAAGAGTACTTTGCCCATCCTGAGCAGTTCACCTCTGTCTTCCACAAGGAGATTGCGCCTTACTCGTCCATGGTCATCAACGGCGCGTATTGGGATCACCGGTACCCTCGCCTGATGACCACAGAGCAATTGAAGACTGTCCAGAGCGATCCTGCCAACAAGTTCAGGATGTTGAGCATTGCTGACATCTCATGCGACATCAATGTAAGGGGCCACGAATGCTGCTTGTGCCACAGTTCCCTGTCCCTTCTGTCCCCTCTCCTCTTGCACCACACAGATGAGACATGCTCATACTGACATATATTCTGTATCTGTTCATCCTCTCTGCATCCTCAGGGTTCTTTCGAATTCATGTCCCACGCCACCTCGATCGAGGATCCATTCTTCTATGTGGATGCAGTGAACGGAAGAGAGCACAAGGATACTGAGGCTATCGGAGTCCAGATTATGTCCGTCGACATTCTTCCTTCGGAGCTCCCCTTGGAGAGCAGCCAGCACTTTAGCGAGTCGCTCTACCCCTTCATCAAGGAATTGGTATGTCTCCTTGAACTCTCTCTTTGAACGCTTTGTACAAAGAGAGCCGACAAACTGACTCATCTGTCGCCCTTTTTTTTTTTTTTTTTTTTTTTTTTTTTAGATCCGCGACAACCACGATCACCCTGTCCTCGCTGGAGCAACCATTGCAGATAGCGGATCCCTCAAGCCTGCGCACAAGGGCTTGAGCGAGGTCTTGAAGAACGCGCACGCCAAGGAGACGCTGGCCAAGCTCAAGTCTTCCCTCGGCACTACTGGTGAGACCAGCGTGGGAATGGGCATCAAGCCCAAGAAGGTTCTCCTGTGCGGCTCTGGTTTCGTGGCTGGACCTCTTGTTGACTACCTGCTGAGGGATCCCAACGTCAGCATCACGATTGCCAGTAACTCTCAGACTGAGGCCACATCTCTTGCTTTGGGCAAGCCCAACACCACGGTAGTCCCATTGGATGTAAAGGACAACGCAAAAATGGCCTCGTTGGTCAAGGACTCTGATATCGTTGTCAGCTTTGTCCCCGCACCCTTCCACCCCATCATTGCGGAGCACTGCATTCAGGAGAAGAAGAACATGGTCACAGCCAGCTATATCAGCCCAGCCATGAAGGATCTGGATGAGCGTGCGCAGCGTGCTGGCATTACGATCATGAACGAGATCGGATTGGACCCTGGTATCGATCACTTGAGCGCCATGAAGATGATTGACGAGGTCAAGAGCGAGGGCGGAAAAGTCACATCCTTTGTGTCTTGGTGCGGAGGTTTGCCTGCTCCTGAAGCCTCAAACGTCCCCCTGAGCTACAAGTTTAGCTGGTCCCCTCGAGGTGTGTTGACGGCTGGACTGAACGATGCCAAGTTCAGGATGCACAATGGGTTCCACGAGATCTCTGGCAAGGATTTGATGAGGAAGCACTTCCCTGATGTGCCCATCTATCCAGGATTTAACCTCGAGGGTGTTGCTAACCGCGACTCCTTGAGCTATGCCCAGACATATGGATTGGGCCCCGTTGAGAAGCTGGACACCATGTTCCGAGGAACCCTGCGCTACAAGGTATGCAAGCGGACCAGCGATGTTTTTCTTTAATCTCCTTCAGAATATGACATGGCACTCACATCGGTTTTATTATGTGAACGACAAATAGGGATATGCTGATTTGATGTATTCGTTCAACAGGCTGGGACTCTTGAACGCTGAAAACAGCCAGCAGAACTTCAGCTCATGGGTATGTCATCAAACTAAAGGAAGAAGGAGCGATTCGGAGAATTTTGAGAACGATTGCTAACTAGTTCTTTTCTTTGGAATTAGTCTGAATTCATGGACAGTGTCCTGTTTGGTAACGGTTCCCATCACGACAACGAGTCCCGCAGGGCTGCGATTGCCGATCGCCTCGACCTCCCCAAGAACCACGGCAGTGTCGACAAGGCTGTTGATGCCCTCCAATGGCTTAATTTGATGCCCACCTTCAATAACAGTCAAGTGGCACCTTTCACTGCCAAGAACTCACCGACAGTCCTCGACAGCTTCTGCAGCCTGTTGATGCAAAAGCTCAAGTACAATCCTCTGGAACGCGACATGGTGATTCTGCACCATGAGTTTGGAGTACAGCTGAAGGACGGATCGGAGCAGACACGTACCTCGACCTTGGTTTCGTACGGTACCTTCGAGACCTACACGGCCATGGCCAAGACTGTGGGACTTCCAGCAGCAATGGCGACGGAGATGCTGCTGAAGGGCGAGATCCCGGAGAAGGGAGTGTTGGCACCAACGATGCCACATGTGTACAACACTATTCTGGAGAAGCTGGATCGTGAGGGCGTCTCTGTGCTGGAGCAGATTGTGCACAAGGGCATGAGACCCTCGTTGAGGTGGGGCGGCAGCGGAGTCTTCAAGTAAAAGACGAGCGGATAGATTCACATACTAGATAGACCTTTCATTCAAGCATTTGCTCATGTAGACCACCACCGTATCATTAAAACCCGTTATGTTCTTTTTTTTCGATGCACAATATTCTCTGCGCACAAACACACCGCACATTACATGCCAGCGGGCACAGCCCCGACCTCCCCCCGCCTCTGGCCCTTCAGCCCTCTGTAACGCCAAGCCACGGCGCCCCACTATTCCCAATGGGTGGTTCCTGAGGTTCTTCCTTTTGTCTTTTTTCTCCACATAGCACTCATCCTTTCCATTAATTCCTTGACCACAGCATTCATTCGTCATGGCCATCGCTGTAAGTTGGTGTCATTCATCAGTTGTTGCAAGGTATGAGCTAGTCATCTCATTTTCACATGGTCTCCTGTCTCCTCACCGTTCTCTTTTGTCCAAATACGCCCGCCCTAGAATCTTTTCGGACTCTCAACGCCTATCGACATTGATATCCACCTCAACGGACAGGAGGAGCGGAAGCTGATCGAGGCCAAGGTGGACAAGGATAGGAAGGAGAAGTTCCCGTTGTACTTTGATGGAGAGACCGTTGCAGGAAAGGTATGCCAAAAACCCCCCCGCGAATGGGGGCTTGACATATCGGCTCGCGTCGCGACACAGGGAACCTGTCCAAGGGACTGGAAATCTATCGGCTGTTCTCTCTGACGACACGACACTTTTTCTTTCTTCTTTCTTTCTATACAGATCAATATCCGAGTCAGAGATGGCAAGAAGGTCGAGCACAACGGAATCAAGGTCGAGTTTGTCGGAAGCATAGGTAACCAACCATTCTTACCGACCGCTATTGACTCGCCCTTCTTTTGGTCCCAAAGAACAGAACTTGAAATGATGTATTTACCTCTTCCTCCTTCCTCTGATAATAATTGCTTCGTCGTAGATTTGTTTTACGACCGCGGGAACCATTACGAGTTCAGGACGATGCAACAGGAACTGGCTATGCCGGGGGAACTGCGGAGCAACACTACACTGGATTTCGAATTCAAAAACGTGGAGAAGCAATATGAGAGCTATCATGGCATCAACGTCAAACTGAGGTACGAAGCGAAACCACCGGGATGTCAATGTAATTGGAAAAAGAAAAAAAAAAGTCATTGATGGGGTGTGACAAAACCTGCTAATATCCTTTTATTTTTTTGGTTCGAATGGGGGGAATAGATACTTTGTGCGGGTGACGATTCAACGCCGATTGGGAAATGTAGTCAAGGAACAGGATCTTTGGGTGCACTCGTATGTGATGCCCGCGGACGGGAATAACTCGATCAAGATGGAAGTCGGTATCGAGGATTGTCTTCATATCGAGTTTGAGTACAACAAGTCCAGGTACGGAATGAGGCCCATCTTTCTCTGAAAGTCACACTTGGTGTAGCTGTGTGAATCAATACCCCCCCCCCCCCCCCCCAAAAAAAGGCGTCTTTATTGACGAGCACGCTTATTTATTTTTTTCCTTCCTGGGATCACTATCTACTATACAGGTACCATCTGAAGGACGTGATTGTGGGCAAGATTTACTTCTTGTTGGTGCGGATCAAGATCAAACATATGGAGCTGTCGATTATCCGAAGGGAGACCACGGGGGCACCACCGAACCAGTACAACGAGAGCGAGACAATCACGAAGTTTGAGATAATGGATGGTGCGCCCGTTCGTGGAGAGACCATCCCAATCCGGTTGTTCTTGAGCGGATTTGAGCTTACGCCGACCTTCCGTGATGGTAACCCTTAGCAACACACAGAACATGAAAAGAAAGGAAAAGAAGGACGCGTAAAAATATGACTGAGTATGCTAACAGTTCTTTCTTTCCTTTTTTTTTTTTTTGTTGGATGGGGATGATATGTGAAACTAGTCAACATGAAGTTCTCGGCTCGCTACTATTTAAACCTGGTTCTTATTGACGAAGAGAATCGCCGGTATTTCAAACAGCAGGAGATCACTATCTTCCGTCGACAAGGTAAACGAAAGACCAAACGCCTTTGAGAGTAGCATGCCCATTTTCTTGAAAGGTGTGATGGAAGATGTTCTCTAATCTGTCTATGCTTGCTGTGTTCATACAATTTTTTTTTCCTTCCTTTGGCAATAGTTGATGATGAGGTTGTGGATGGGCCAGCGCAGATCCAGGCGGTGTAAAAGGATACATAGTAGATTTTTTACTTGGACCCATGTAATAAAAGTACTGGTAATTTGTGCAGGGAAAAGAAGTGTACGCACGAGTCAGGGGTGCACTAAGGCTGGTCTGGCACATGCAAAAACTCCCACGGCTCTGCCCTTGTTCTCCTTTTCTGGTCCCCAAGCAACTCCAGGTCGTCGAGAAGAAACAGAAAAAAAAAAAAAAAAAAAAAAAAGGGCTGCGCTCCTTTGTTGATGGAGAGAAATGAAAGAAAGAGCAAGGTACTTGTGAGTGAGCCATGTGGGGGGATAGACAGGATACTTTTGTCGTTTATGCGCAAAACCACACCAGCATTTGGGTTGGGGGAGATGCTCCGACCTTCGCTTCCTTCACATGAATGCTTCATCCCCCAGCCGAACAAGGACCCACACAACAGACAGACCGACAGATAAACAAATGGGCGGTGAGAGGAAAAAAGCAAAAGGACCCAAGCGAAGGAGCGCTTTGAAAAGTCCAGAAACACGCTTCGCGGCTCGTAGATATACACAATAGACTGCTCCTCCCTTTCATCGTGTGAAAAAAAAAAAAAAAAAAAAAAACAACCACATCAAAACAGCCCCTCATCCTCCTCTCCCCCCTCTTATCCTTCGCACTTCGCCAGCTCCCGTGAAATAGCAAAAAGCAGCAGTGGACGACTAGGGAAGCCGGAGAGGTTTTTTTTTTTACTTCCTGCCGTATTCCTCTCCTGCTCGGTCTCATTTTCTTCCTGCAAAACTGCAAGCCCTTTCACCGGACCCTCAAGCAAAGAAAAAAAAAAAGTCGAGCCACAAAATGGCACCGCTTCTCAAAACCACGACGGCGACGACGACGATGGCCACGACGACAGTAACATTCCTCGTCGAGTCCGACACCCTCTTCTCGAGCGATGACCTTCCTGCGGAGAACGAACCTCTCCTGCATGGGACGAACCTTCTTCCCCCACATCAATCGCCATCATCACACCTTCCCCTTGCTTCGACAAACAATGAACAGCAGCAGCAGCAGCAGCAGCAGCAGCAGCAGCAGACTGATACGCGGTTCCCGGGTCCGTCGTTCCTGCAACGCCTCTACCTCCGCGGGATCCTCTACAAACCCCAGGACGTATACTTCCTCCTCCGGGTCCTCGTCCTTGCGGCCTGGAGCATGATCCGACTACATTGCTTCGAACTCCCACTCTTAATCCTCACTGGGTTCCGGATCTCGACACGTCAGTATCCCTTCACGACGGCGGCCTCGGGTCTGAGGACCGGGGAAGGCGCGGGGTGGGTCTGGTGGTGGACAGTCCTGATGGCCTTGGTTCGGTGTGTGGGATCTGAATGCCGGACGGTGGGGCAGCTCAGGTTCTTGGGGTGGTTCATCGAGACGGCGATGCCGTTGCAGACGATGTTTCTGAAGAGTGTGGAGGTGCGGGACGTCGAAATAGGTGTTCGGATGGAGGAGTTGTTGGAAAGGGAGAGGGAGAGTCTAAAGGAGGTGAGACGACAGGTGCGAGAGCGAGGTGGTGGTGATGGTAGTGGTGAGGAGGGGACAATGAATCCAAGTAAGGAGTACTTTGAGTCGATGCATCGACCGATACAGAGTGGGATATCGAACCTTCCGGAGGAGGTTGGATCGATATCATCAAAGGACGGTACCCTCAACGTGCGTGGCGAATGGATCGAATGTACTTCCTCCTCCCCTACCCCCTTCCCTACAGCTGCTACCCGCAACCAGACCGTGATCCTGTACTTCCACGGGGGCGGCCACGCATTCCTTTCGCCAGCCTCGCACCGGGACTTTCTCTGCCGACTCGCGAAACAAATCGGTCCCGGAACGAGGATCCTCTCAGTCGATTACCGTATGGCGCCCGAGCATCCGTTCCCGGCCGCGATCCATGATGCCTACGCCGCCTACCTCTACTTGACGGATCCTGATCACAAGGCTTTGAACCTTGGGGAGAGGGCCAAGACTCTTCTGGGGAAAGAAAGGATCGAGCCAAGGGACGTGGTCATCGCAGGGGATTCGGCTGGTGGGAACTTGGCAACGGCGTTTGTGTTATATCTGGCAAAGTACGTGAAGCCAGAGCGGATGCCCCATGCAACGATACTCTTGTCGGTAAGCCGGGATGAGGAACAAAGGACTGTGAAGTTTGGCAATTGTGTGTCTTGTCGAGACGATGAATGATGAGCGATGATGAACTTATCTGAAGGTCTGGGGCGCATTTTTTTTATTTTTTTATGTCTGATAGCCATGGGTAGATCCGACGTCGTCTTTGCCGGCTGCGAAGAGCGACGATTGGTATTGTTACTGTCCCGGGCCCATCGGAACGAGTCCCTTTGATAAGGAGGCCTACATGTCGTTTAAAAAGGTAGTGCAACTCTCTCTCTCTTTCTCTGTTGTCTTGGTCACTCCTTCCTTCTTTTGCGCCAGAGAATATAAGCTTCTAATACGATCTACTAGTTTCATCTCGCAAGCAACTACGTCTGCGGCGACGTGAACACCGCGCCGAATGCTCGCAACGCCTTCGGGAAGGAGCGCGAATGGGCATGGTACTCGCACCTATCGCAGCACCCCTTGGTCTCGCCCGCCCATTGCGCCGACCTTTCCGGACATACAGACACGCTCTTAGTAAGATTATCACTCTCCTACCAACCTCTTTTTTTATTCATTTCTTCCGTAGTAGGTGAATCCAGTTGCTTTTACCCATCGTCCGTAGCACCTATCCAAAACTCAATTTTTTTTTCCCTTCATGATTGATCGTATGCACACAGCACACAGCAACACACGACCGACTCGTGGACGACGCACGCTTGTACGCCCATCGTCTCGGGCAAGAGAATCCCGAGAAGCTCATCCGGATCGAGGTCTATCAGGACATGGTTCATGTCCATCATGTCATGTCCGTCCTCCCCGCAGCCCGTATCGCCATCAAGAACATTGCGCACTTCATTGCCCGATCCAGACGCTTGCGCGATCTCCGTGAAGGTCTCGTTACAGCAGCCACATCGGAGGCGGAGGAGAAGAACGAGAAGGGCATGGTCAAGGCAAGGGGTTCGGATGATAATATCGAATGGGTCGCTGTCGGACCCAGGGGGAACGAAGAATCCAAGGATGAAGGCTGGCCGATAAGCGTCCTCCGAAACTGCTGGCCCCAGAATGTGGAGAAGGAGTTATAGGTGATCATCTGCAAAGATGTTATTTTATTGCTTCCTCGGTGTATTTACTGTTCATGATATTGTAAGATGCAACATAAAACAGAGAAAAAAAAAAAAAAAAAAAAAAAAAAGACTCGAACAATGTATTGGTGATGTGAAGTGTCTATATGCGCTGAGATTTTTTTTTTTTTTTTTTTTTTTTACGCCGCCTTGACAAGTTTGTAATTCGACTTCCCAGATCGAAGCACACACACGGCGCCATCGATCCAATCCTTGTCTGCGATGCGGTACGCGGGGTCTGTCACCTTGATATTGTTAATATAGAACCCGCCCGATTTCACCAGTTTCTTTGCTTCAGCTACTCGTCCAAAAAAAAAAAAAAAAAAAAAGAGATATTGTTGGATTAGGAAATGATCTCCACGGTTCTGTCTCCCTCATTCTCGCTTCAAACAGTCTCTGACTTACATTTTGATGAACAGAGCCCACACTCGAGTGCGATGCGATCGACACTCATCTCTCCAACTTGAGGCTTCGCCAATGAAACCATTCTCGAATCGTGTTCAAATGCATCGATCAGTTCCTGACCCTTAACCCTGTCCAGCGATGATCCGAACAGTACCTGAGTCGCCAGAAGCGCCTTTGGCACAGCCTCAGCTAGAAAAAAGAACGAAAAAAAAGGGAGAGCAAGAGGAAGATCGACATTAATATCAACTGTACAAGAAAACGTAGCATATCAAGCGGCCAATGTGTCTCTTACCACCGTGGACCAGCTCTGTGGTTTCCTTGGCAAGGGTATGTTGTGCAATACGCTTTTCCGGCTCAGCCTGGGAGAAAACATATATATATAGGGCTGCGTTAGTGACCTCTCACCAAAACCAACTAGCTTCTTTATGTGCATGCAATGATTCTTCGGCTTTACATTATGTTGCTCCATCACCGTATTAATTTGGTCCGCATTCAACAACGTAAAGTAATGAAGGTATCGTCCAACATCAGCATCCGCCGTCTTCACAAAGAACTATTTTTGATCAAAGATATTTCAAACAAGAAGGCCATCCGTTAGCTGACAAGATAACCGCCTAGTAAAAAGATTTCATTTCCCCTCCCACTGCAAAATCGTACCTGATAGAAATCAAACAAGCTGGTCATGGTCTCGTCCAACCAAACCGCATTTCCAGCACTCTTTCCAAACTTCTCTCCCGTAGCCGTGGTCAGCAGCGGGATCGTGAGTCCATAGGCGTTCATGGCCTTTTCGCTCGAAGAGTCGTCGCTGTTGTCAATAATGACTTGCTCCTCCGTCGTCTTTTTCTTCTTGTGAATCAGGTCAATTCCTGCAGTGATGTTTCCCCATTGATCACTTCCTCCCAACTAGTAAAGTTGATATGTTCAGCAAGTTCGGGCAATGAGTGAGCGATCGAGAATACAATTAAAAAGTTGAAAATCGTGACCCGAGAGATGCGTACCTGGATCCGACAGCCATCTTCGTGGAACAAGTGCCAGAAATCATACGCCTGAAGCAACTGATACGAGAACTCCGTGAAGCTGATTCCTTGTGGACTCTCCAACCTTGACTTGACACTAGAATAATACATAAGTTCATTAACAACAGACCCATTCTTCGCGCTACTAAAATGCAGCACGATCCATAGTGAAGCCTCAAAGGCCGTTCAACAATTAAAACCCTCTTGATGATCCATTACCTGTCCCTGGCAATCATGGTACCGACTCTAGCATAACGCCCAACGTCTCCCAAAAATTCTAATGCCGACAACTTGCCAAACCAAGTCTTGTTGTTAACGACCTTGACATGTCCTCCGCCGCCCTGAACAGCGTATCCTCGATTTTCCGCATAAGTACGTCCACGCTTAAAGAACCGTTGAAACTGAGCGTCGATGCCAGCGACGTTCCTGGCTAATGTGGTAGCAGACATAGGTTGCCTCTCGGCGCTCTTTCCTGAAGGGTCGCCGATCGTTCCGGTTGCGCCTCCTACCTATTTGGACCAGGAAGCGTTCGGTTAGTGGTTAGAAGGCGCTTTTGCGAACCGCCGGTTCATTTTGTTTCCGAACTATCCTTATGCAAGTATATATTTACCAGCCCAATGGTGGTGTGGCCCTTGATGTGGAAGTGAAGCAGACCGAGGAGGGTGACTAGATTTCCGAGGTGCAGACTGCTGGCTGTAGGGTCGACTCCACAATAGATAGCTGTTGGTCCCGCGTCCACATGGCTCACAAGATCAGGGCTACAGGCAATTGTAGAGTATAACACACGTTCGTAGATAGTAAGTATATCAGCATCATACAATGATGGGTTCCTGCTTTTGCTCTGTGTGTTGAGCAATGCTCTGCAGACCCGATATTTTCTTTGACAAAAAGGTGCCTCGGCCCGAAAAAAAAAAAAAAAAAAAAAAGCTGATCTACCTGGTCATGGCGGCGACCAATCCCCGCTGCTGCAATTCCAGAACTGGATTCCTATTGACATGGCTGGCGACCGTGGAAGAGAATCGAGTTCCGAGTGCGTGCCTGTAGACGGTCCTTGTTGACTGGACTCGCCAGGTCCTGGTGAATGCTGCGAATGAGTGCATGGTCAATTGTCGCTGCTCGCTCACTTTTTGTTGATCAGAGGGTTTATCTTCCGGGCGAAATAGGCCGTCTCGGCCGAGGCGTCATTAAAAAGAGCCCTACATTTTTTGGTGGCAAAAAAAAATCGCGTAGCGTTTTGTTTTTTCAGGGACACGACAAAAAATTAAGCCGGAATAAGCAGAGGGCACATACCAGAATGAAAATAATGGATTGTCTTCATTCCCAAGAATCGATTCGAGTAGCAGTGCGAGGATGGCCATGTAAAGGACGTCTTAATTGTACTCTGATACAGTCTAAAGTTCCTGGGTCGCGGGTTGCGGATGTGGATATTGTCTAGAACTGGCTATTGTTCAGAGGTGATTCTATGAATAAGCGGCGGCGAGGCTATATGACGCGCCGTCCTGGCGCTTTGGTTGTAATCCCAGTCCGATATATGCCATATCATTGATTTTGTTAATCGCTTCACTCAGTGCCTTCCAGACATCATCTTTCGGCACTTGCTATTGCTGACGATTGAGTAGATCCATACCATCAGCAGTTAACATTTTTTTCCTTTACTCTGGCAGTGCAGAAAATCGGAATTAAGGGCATTCGGAATCCTTTGATTGCCATTGAACGTCAAATATTATCTCTACATGTGCACAGCGGTGGCACGACTGTATACAAAGGACAGCTAACAAGGTCAAGGTGGTATAGAGCGCTTGGACGACGGAAGCATCCATTCGGATAATTGGTATTTGAGCCTGACTGAGCAGGCAATAACCCGAAGCTACCGTCTGTTGGGCTATGACTGAACGCCTCCAAGTCAGAATACGCTCTAGGGCACGACAAGTACTGCCTTTCGATTTGTATCATATTGTGCGGGGTCGTCTTGTGGAGCGGAAGGGGTTTGTACGGCGCCAATTAATACTAACGCCAAATATTAGAAGGAATAAATCCATGGAGGGACGACTTTTAAGTAAACTGGGCTACTATACATGGATAATAAAAGTCAAATATAGTACAGGTGCTATTGTCATGCCAATATGGAGGAGGGAAGAGGGGAAGTAAGGGCGTCTTCGAAGCTCCTACCGTTGAATTTTCTCATTCTAGGCTTCTAGGTGTTGGGTGCTTTATATCCTTCCAGCACCATAAGAACTGCTGCGCTTCTCAGCAAGCTCCGACCAGATCGATCGGTGCTCAAATACGGCTACACATACTATGTCACACAGGGATGAGATAGATGTTTGGCGTACTCTCCAGGAAGTTGATGAGCACGATTCCTTCCCTCAAGGAAAACCTCGGGTGGCATCCTATATATTTGTACAAGTAAAGACAGGCGCAAGAGACCAAGGTAAAGAATGTCGTATTTTGACATACCTGAGATACCACCCGTGTTGATACCAGGATCATCTTTCCTTATCTCCCCACTTCTTCTCAAGGGGCCTCCTCAAGCCCCTCGATGCCTTAAGAACAAGCTTATCTCTATGAATAGACACACATGGATGCGAAGCCGTCAAAAAACTTCGACTTTAAACTCATGACACCAGTTGTTTTTTTGAATACCTAACGAGTGCACGGTGGTTCTTGTGGATTAAAAGATTGAGATGACCATAGTCCATTGGCACACGCAGTCGGATTCTATGCACTGAGTGTCGTATGGAGGGGTTTCGATAAAATTGCGCCCAAGGCACAGGGTGACAAAGCCAAAGACAATAAAGCACTCGGTCGTTGGAAGCAGCTCTATCTACCTATTTCTTGTAGTGTGTAGTACAACCCGCGGTACACCATCGTCCAGATTGTCGTCAATTTAGGCCGGTCCCCCTAATAACTTCGCTACCATTTGACCACAAGTAGCAGTGACAGTCTTGCAGAGGCGATCGATTTCACTATATACTAGAGAAATGTCTATAGAAGCCAGTAACTGGTCTCAGTAAAAAATTGTGTAGTGGCAGATACAAGCAGTAAGACAGTATGGCTGAGATACAAGCAGTAAGACAGTATGGCTGATACACCACACCTCGAGTACACATCGTCGTGCTTTTTTAGGCTCAACAATGTCTTCACTCTGCTATAGTTGGCTATCGGCGGTAAGAAAGGTGAGTCGAGTGGTAAATGAGAGACCGAGTGGGACACCATGGCTACCAACCAGAATTACCCAGAGCCTTTGGTGATACACCATTGTTCTATCGTACCTGTGAAGGTGGGGTGTATCGTCTTCTGTGGCCATACACTCATACGAGTGCAGCTTGACTGCCATTGCTAGAACCATTCTACGCGATGGCCATGTTAGCAACCCTTCACCTGACGCCTCACAAGAGCCATGTAGAGAGGGAATCTTTTTTTTTTTTTTTTTTTTCAATTTATCTTTTTCTAGGAGGATACACCGTGTTATTGTATTTCACTAACATATCTAGGCCAAGAGGACCTTCTGACTACTAGAGCCTTCCGCAGGATGTGTGCCATTACGTCTAAAGACCCAACTCCACAAGGGGCGCCCTTGAACTTCATGGAGCGATTTTTTATCCAGAGGTTTTCTTTCTCGCTGGACGCGACGGAGAAAGCAGCCTCGGGCGGATGACTTAATCGCGAATAGCTAATACCCGTTCAAGCATGATCCATTCAGAGAACATGTAAGGGTGTCTTTTGAATAACAAGAAAGGATGCGTTCAAAATAGGACTCGTTCACAAGCATATACAAAGAGCAATAGACTCCTACCGATGATGAGTGGATTTGTTTTTTTAGTTCTTTTATTGTCCTTATTAATCTCAGTCAAGGCCATTACGCTCATATTCTTCGTCGCGATCCGCGTTCACGGAATCCCCATTTCGCTACCGATTTTGCTCCTGCAACTTGGGCGCAAACGCTTCGAACCCGAGACATGTCACATGATACATCATGGCGGGCTGTTCGCTATTTGTTTCTAAAGGTGTTTCGGTTCGGTCAAACAAACAGATGCATCAATCATCATCAACGCGCTGCTCAGGACAAGGAACACTTTAACTAAAACAACGACCACACCCGATATTTACTTCAGGCAGGACCATAAAAAAGACAAACCAAAAGAAAAAAAAGGAGTCGGCAGCAAACCCTCAACTTCATACATCACTCCCAATCTATTTTTACGGAGAAAAAAAAACGTCCAATGTCGTCCGTGGAAGAATCGCTTTTCATCTCGCAGTTTTTGGTCGCGTATGCTAGCCAGGCTACAAAGTACCCTGCCGACTTTATCTCGCCTGGTCTCGCCCCCAACTGGACTTCTAAGGTATATGGGATAGGAATAACAGAACAAGGCCAGGACCCTGGATATATAGAAGAAGGATGTGCGTTTAGCGGAGAAACACAATTGAGTGCCACTTTTTTCTTTTCTTTTTTTGTGTATGTGTGTGCTTTTTATCTGACCCCAACGCGCCCGCCCGACTCTTCAAACTGCCACGAATAGAGAGCTACCTTTGAAAGACCCGCCAAGCGCATCAAGGCTGGAGCTATCGAAGGAGGTAAAAAAAAAAAGACGCGCAAATTGTGTACACGTTGCATGGATGACAAGACGGAGGACAGTAACTAATTTAATCCGCTTACGCGTTCATCGTGGGGGGATTTGTCTCAATTTTAAATTCGATAGACATCCAGGTGACGATCAAGTCGCTTAAGTCTGGCCAATGGACAGTCGATGTCCCAGCCCAAGGCACTATTGCAGATCTTAAGAAGGCGTTGCAGGATAAGGCAGGAATCGATGTCGGGACTCAAAGACTGGTGCTCAAGGGCAAGGCTCTGGTGGACAACAAGAAATTGGAGGATTATGGTCTGATGTCAGGGTCGGTTATCCATTATTTCGCCAAGGCTGGAACTGCTGCTCCCGCATCTGCTGCTACATCTGAGGCGGCCAGTACCACCGCGCCTTCTGCTCAGGAACTAGAATCGGCAGGTACAGCAGGAGCGGCTGCGGTCGCAACATCGACAGCGTCGACCAGTGCGTCGGCGTCCAAGAAGCCCATTGTGACCTCCTATAGGGGCCTGTCAGAGGCGGGCACGGCGATTGCGAGGGAGAACGAGTTTTGGTACTGGCTGAATGATCAGTTGAAAGAGCGACTGGGGTCGAAAGAGGACGCGTCGTTGATGTTGAAGGGATTCTTGGGTCAGTACAGGGATCTGGTGGGCAATGCGAACACAAAGGATATTGAGAAGGAGATCAAGAAATGACTCTGACACGTCCAGGAGTACTCTGTCCATGGTACCGGAGAGATTCTAGGCTTCGAGGAACGTGGGCTGTATTGTGACAAAATAAAGCAGGTCGTTGAAGGACCCTGAACTCGGAAAAAGGATTACTCGATATCAGATTGGATAAGAGAGAGTATGGGCGTGCATCCAGGGTCCACCTTTAATGAACCCTGTTTTTCCATGGGCTGTTGTGTACAGTACGTTGTGTGTGCATGTACATCACGCATGGTTCGCGTTAATTTGGACACTCCATATCAAAAGGCCTATGCCAATTGCTGTGATCCTCGGGAACAGGAACAATGATGTTCACGAAAACAAACTTAAAAGGCAACAAAGAAAGAGCCAAATAAAACAAACAACACAACAACACGAGAGCTGACCCAATGACGCTCATTTTAGGAACAAAATTCCATCTCTGGAAAGACCAAAGACCACAAACGTCTCAAGGTGGATTCCATCTGTTCCCCCTATGTTTCTTAGAGTCTGCGCTCGTATCAACGGTAAATGAGGGTATGATGGGGATTGTTCATTTTCTTTTGAAGGAGAAAGAGGGCCCGAGTCGACTACAATTGCATTTGGGATTGCAATGCCATGTAATGTAATGTAATGCATCATCAAGTTAATATGATCGAAAGCAATGGGCTCGCAGAGTGCTAGAAAGGATACGGCTGCAGTATGAAGATAGGAGGTCTAGCAGTCGCGGAGCGACAATGGCGTCTGCCGGAGAGAAAGAGGAGCGATCGAGACGGAGGAGAGGGGATTTTCTGTTTCACGCTTCCAATGAAGCACACCTACACGATCAGATGCCGAATGCCAAGAAATTGCTGAGCTGAGATGAGCATGGTTTACGGAAGGTTGGCATCCAGATGGGGTACAGGAACTGAGAGCTATTCCAGGGAAAGAAAGACGAAAGAATGCAAAAGTGCCAAGGTGTAAAGTGGAACAATGGATAGCGTAGACAGAACTTTGTTCTGTTGATGTTGGAAGCTGTTTGACAAGTTTGGGTTTGTGTCCCCAAACAATTTCTGGAGAAGGAGAGGCGGAGAGAAATGACGGGCCAGGGTCAGAAGAGCATGCTCCAGCTGGACTTTATTGGATTGATTTGGATTTGAAGAAATTAATTGAAATGAAGGTGTCGAGGTGTACCTGCCGGTTGGGCTGTAGTCCAGATGTGCAGGGTGCAGCGCACTGTAATACGGATCTACACCCACACATCCAGCTTCTCAGCTCTTATCATAGTCGTATGTACCCATGGCTCATGGTATGTCTAGGTAAACCATGTACCTTTTTTTTAATTCTCCTTGTACGCGTATAGACCGATGGACCACTAGGCCTTGTTGCAGTAAAGCCCCTGTCCTATTTTTCCAGGTTTCTTGGGCGTACAACGACATCTGCGCATCTGACAATGACAATGTCCTCCGTGCCAAAAATACCGTTGACTGATCTGGACTGGACTGGACTGGACTGGCAGACGTCCAATGATGACGATGGATAAGCGAATGAGCAGACAGACGGTTTAGAATGAAGGAGGTGCACATGGCGTATACATAGCTTTAAAGAAGACGGCGGCGAAAAAAAAAGGACAAAAAAAAAAAAGGAAAAAGCGCGGTTTCGGGGAATGGTCCAAATGCTAAAATACCTCTTCATATATATCCCTTCTATCCCCCCCTCGTAATCTCTTTGTCTTCTTCACTCTTTCTTCTCGCTTGCAATCCGCACACACTTTCTTCTCTGTCTTTGCTCATCTCCTTCTCTCATCATCCCTTTTCCTCATCGCTCTCCCTCATCTCATCCCTCATCTCATCCCTCATCTCATCCCTCATCCCATCCCCCGCCCCCCTTCCTTCCTTTTGCATCCTGTCCTCTGTTCTCTCATCGCTTCTTCGCGCACTCGTTCTCCTCCTTGTCCCTCGTCTTCTTGTCCTCTGTCTCAACAATTTGCCACCACTGTATATTCCCTTGACAAGAACCCGCTATCACAAGCCCCACGGTTAGTATACCTTTCTACCCCTCAACTCGACTTGGAAACCCAATCCCTGCTCCCGTCTGGGTAATACTTCACCCATTCATCTCCTTTTTTGTACCCGTCCTTATCGTTTTTAAGGTGGTTCATCCACTGCTCTGTTTTATTCATTTTTTTTTGTTGCATGGTAACACCTTGTTCTCAAGAAACACCTCTTTCCTTCTCTCTCATCATCCTATTCTTTCTCAAATGATAAAGTGCCCATAAAAAACCTCCACTCAGACATTCCCACACTCGCAGTACCACCACACTGCACTTTCAGATCCTCTTTGATCGCTGGATTAATATAACCTCTTCGCCTCTGTTTCCTGTCAATTTAAACTCGACATTATCAGTTTCATAAAACACATATTGCGCGACCCGACCATCACCGCCATCATCAGCACCATGTCCAAAGACGAGCACAAAGAACGACAGAGGGTCACAAAAGGTACTTTTTTATTTTCTAAAAATGAACAATCCCCGCAATTGTCGTCTGATAACCCATGCCATCTGCATGGTGTGTCATGATCTATAACGCAACGTCCACTAACCTCTCCCCTTTTTCCATTTGCTGCTCTTTCTGGTTTCTCAGCCTGCGACAACTGTAGAAAGTAAGTTCTTTTGTTCTCGATCTGAACAAACGACCCTCTTCGCTATGGGTGTACAGTACTGTACATCGATGTGTGGCGTTGACCATCTTTTGCAATGGGGCTTTTATAGTCCACGCTACGGCGCACTTGTGCTTAATAATTTGCTCAGCAGTGCTCTCTGCGGAAGGACTATCCTTCGATCGGACGTCTAATGCCCTCATTATCTCATCTCGCCGCTTCTTTTTGGTTTCGTCCATTAGGAAAAAAATCAAATGCGGTATGTGTCCCCGCCATCTCGTCTCTGCTGCAGCAATAATGCACCGTGTCCAGATGGGCTGACTGGTCGCTTGATCTCTTGACCACTTTAGATGCCAAACCAGAGGTCTGCACCAGCTGCGAGCTCCTTCAGATCCCATGTAGGTATCCTCATGGCCATGTACACTTGTATGGATAGTGGAATGCTCAGCAATATTCCCTAACATAACGTCCTTTTATTGTGCTTTACGTCTCATAGGCCAGTACTTGGACCCCACAAAGAAGAGAGGACCGCCCAAGGGCGCAGGACGTATGGTTCAGATCGTGTCTTAGCGTTGTGCGTTGCCAATTGATGATCGATCCATGCTAATGTCTTTTAAACTTGAATATGAAAATAACAGGCTACACCAATGCCAATACCAATACCGATACACTCGAGGATCGTTTGCATCGCATGGAAGCCATTGTCGGCGGAATAGTCGATGATGAATCAAAGGATGGCTCCGACATCGATAAAGGATCTCACGCTTCTGGAAGTGCGACCTCCTCAACTACATCCACCAAGCCAAGGCGGCGGAAATCAACCAAGAGTAACATAAAGCCGACGTCCATAAAGGCAACAGACCAAGAGTTGCAGCAGCAGAAGCAGCAACAAACTCGACAAATCAAGCCAGAGCTTCAACATAACCCTCCCTTACTTCAAGACTTCGCTCTTGATCAACAGCTCCAACAACAGCAACACCAGCTAGTCGAAGAGTCATTCCAGGCTCAGCAGCAGCTACAACATCAATTTATGCAACCACATCACCAACTTTCATTTCAGAACCATCTACTTGACAGGCAGCAGGACTCGAGTCAAAGTCCAGATAGCGGGTCCATCACACCCATGGACGATATACAGCACGTTGTGGACCCTCACCTTATCACTTCTCTTCATCAAGACTTGTTGAAGGAGAACCCATTCCAGTCATTTAACTCGCCCTCACCTATCCTCGGCTCAGAACATTCTCAAGGCGATCACGCTGAACGATCACCCGGGGTGGACATCCTGCCTCAGCTGGGCTTGAATACGCCACCATTACACGATCTCGATGCATTGGAGGAGGATATGGGGCATTTGACGTTGGACCACAAGGGGCACGAGCGTTATGTCGGCAAGTCCTCACCAATGTTCTACAATCGCCGCCATTGGGGTGGCTATGCTATACGGGAACGCGAGCAACCCGCAGCACGCAAATTTGTCGAAAACCCTGATTTACCGTCTCCAGGGCTGATGACCAGGCTACTCAACTTACACTTTGCGTATGTCCATCCGTTTGCACCAGTCTTTGTCTGGTCAAAGTTCTTGAAGCGACTTCAGAACCGGGACTACTCTCCCTCGTTTCTATTTCTGCTCAACGCGATGTTTGCTCTTGCTTCTCGATATTCGGACGATCTTTCGTTGAGGATAGACCCAACGAAGCCAGAAACGGTGGGCATTCGATTCGTGGACAAGGCAAAGGAGATTCTAGACACGATTTACGATGCACCCGATATGTACTGCGTCGGCGGGTTGGTGTTGCTGTCTTATCAACAGATGGGAACTGGAGGCGGGTATCGTGCTTGGATGTTCATTGGCCTCGCTATTCGTATGGCACAGCATTTGGGACTGAACCGCGATTGCATGAAGTTGAATCCACACATGCCTGTTCTGGACCGAGAAGAACGCAACCGAATTTGGTGGACCTGCTTTGTCGCAGACCGCCTCGTTTCTGCATCCTTCGGTCGTCCGCAGGTAATTTTTTTTTTTTTTCGTTTAGGGCTAATGCACTTTTCGTATCATTTACAAAGCAACAATCGACTGACCTTTTGCATTGATATTTATAGGGCATTAACGAGCACGATGTGGATGCTACATATCCTGAAGGCATTGACGATGAAAATACACTGTTGGAATACCGCCTGGAAAAGTCGGCACCAGTGATAACAGGGCCTTCACCGCACTCGGAAAAAAACTTTGTCTACATGGCCTCGCTAACCAGGATCATGGGTAGGGTCATGGTCAGCCTGTACAGTCCCTTGTCAAGGGCCTCATTACAGTCTGGTTCATCCATGGTCAACCCTACACCGCTGGAACAACTGGACAAGGAGCTGACGGACTGGCTTCTGACACTGCCGCCTTACCTGCAGTTTCGATCGGTTCAGCAGGAATCCGGGACATTCGTATGCACCCTGCATATGACGTTTTATGCGACGTTGATTCTTCTGCACCGACCTTACAGTCATCAGTCGCCGTACAACACCAACGAATGGTCGATTTCGCTTTCGATCTGCACCTCTGCAGCGAACAATACGATTGAAATGGCGAGTAACCTGATGAGAACAACGGATGATCTGCGGGATGTTCCTCGGCTGAAGTGTCTTTTGCACAGTGCGGTATTTATCTTTTTTACGGCCGGAATTGTCCACATCACGAATTGTACAAGCATGGATCCTGTTTTGGCGGCATCGGCGAAGCTGCGGACTGTGGAGACGCTCAGGTGTCTGTCGATGATTGAGGGTGTGTGGCTCAGCGGCAAATGGTGCGGGGACAATATCAGGAATTTGCTCAAATCGCGCAACATCGAATTGCCTTGCTCCTCTGAAGGTAACCTTTTAGTCTCCGTATATGTTATCGTGGATTACGAAAAATGTTTTGAAATGTTCGTATTTACTAATCGAAATAACGTATCCGCATCTTCTTTGCATAGTAGGATATAAATACACACCTCGCAATGGAGCGGATCCAGCTCCGGCATTAAATGGGACCAACCTGGCTCAATGGGACACTCCCCCTGCAGTGCTGACGATCCCGAAGGAACAATCGTTCGCGTTTGACGTGAATCAGATCATGGGATACTATCAGGCGCCAGGGATCCGGCACGCAGAACCCATGGGCCGTAATTCGAGACATTTCTCTCCAACGCCTTATTTCAGCCCAGGATCTCCACATCATAATCATAACCATAATCAGGTTCGGCCGCACCCGGGGTTGACACAAGGACATGGACCTCTCCCGCGACGACCGAGACAGACCAAGAATACGTCGCCTTCACCTAGTACGGCAATACCGCCCTCAGGAATTGCAGTACAACTGCCAAGTCATCCGGCCATGGAGCCTGCGTATTCTGGATCGTCGTCCGAGGCGATTGTAGCGGCGGCAGCGGCGGCGGGGTCTGTTTTCTCGGGGTCGCCAGTAGCGGAGACGGCCGACCCAACTACGTTTTATACGACAGCACCGTTGATGGATCCGTTTGCGGCACGTGGGACAGCAACAGTGTCGGTCGTGAATGGACTTTCGGCGCAGACGGCTGCTTCTACTGCTGCGGATACGTCGGGTCCATTGAGCATCTATCGGAACCCGTTCTCGTCAGCGGTTTGGAACCTTCCGACGTCGATCGATAATGACGAATGGATGCTGTATATGCAAAACAATAAGGATGGCGCGACCAGCAGCAGCGGCAGTATTAATGACAATGGCAACAGTGGCAGCAACAAGGGTCAGAATCAGAATGGTGGGAACAGCAGCAATATCAGTAACAGCGGCGGTGGAAATGGTAGTAGTGGTATCAAGGCAATGTCGTCGGATCAGGTGTCACCTACGTTGCTGGACAACAATAGTGTGAACTTGCAGAACGGTCTGACGGGCGTGAGCGCGAACACGGCGATCGGGAACCGGATGCATCTTCATCCGCATCCGCTGGCGCAGAGTCTGACGCGGAGTGAACTTTTGGGTGGGACAGGAAGTGAAAGGAGCGTCCATGGTAATGGCGCAGATGCGACGAACGCGATACAACAACAAAAACAGCAACAGCTGGGACCTGGAATGGCGACGCCGAATGGGGCGTTGATTGGAGGAGAGGGGTACTCGCCGCAGGACGCGTCACCTACACTGCAGCACCAGCATCAGCACCAGCACCAACACCAACACCAGCACCAGCATCAGCATCAGCATCAGCGCCAGCACCAGCAACAGCAACAGCAACAGCAACAGCAACAGCAACAGCAACAGCAACAGCAACAGCAACAGCAACAGCAACATCAGCAGCAGGTTCATCAACAGCTGCAGAGGCAACCGCTCGTGCCGTCGCAGAATGGGCCTACGGACTTTACGTATTTTATGAATAACTCGCAGACAGCGGTTTCTTCGCAGCCTTGGGATACGTAAGCCGTGTCACAGCGCAAACCACCACCACTACTACTATTCTTGTATACTAGCTTTGTATATTCATTATCATTATTTTTTGCATTCACAAAAAGATATAACCTCGGGAACAATCCCTTGCGCGAACCAAAAAAACGAAGCCAATAGATTTGCTATGCTAAAATCCTAGTTTTATTGATGCCTACACAGTTTACACTCGAAAGAAAGAAAGAAAGAAAGAAAGAAAGAAAAGCGTCCCCAAAAGAAGGAAAGCTAGAGAAGTTAAACAAACGATTCATTACTTGGAATCAATTCCTTTTTGAACTACCCGCTGCGGTCTCACCGGTCGTAATAGCAGTGTCAGCAGCAGTAGAATTAGTAGGCGACGAGGACTCGTATGGGTTGTAGAGCTCTGTGGATTTGGGCGGTCGACGATCAACGTCGTACACTATCTGGAGCCCTTCTTCGCGCCCTGTCATGGCAGCCACGCGCATTCGCCATGATTGTCGTTTCAAAGTCGTAGGATCCTGCGTCGGCGTCGGCGTCGACGTCGGCATCTGGGCGGTTGATTCCTGTGATGGAACGCCAGATGCTGCCCCTGCCTGCTGGTGATGGTAGTGATACTGATGCTGTGTTGCCGCAGAAGGCCTGGACCTCGCCTGATGCTGATGCTGATGCTGATGATGATGATGATGTTGATGTTGATACCGGCTCTGATTCGTATGCGGATGATGCACATGGGGACGCTGAGGATGCTGAGGATGTTGGTGAGGCGGTCGAGGCGGCAGCTGCGGGACAGAAATCCCCTGACGATAGGGTCGGTACCCATTCGAAGACGGGTATGGCCGCACAGCAACTTGGAAGAGTCTCGGCGGCACCGGTCTTCCGTCGCCTTCTTGTTCTCCATCCCTGTGGGGCTCCCTGTGGGGCTCCCTGTGATGGTGAGATTGGGGCTCTTGGACGTCTTCGTGGGGACGATAGTGATGGTGACGCTGTATCCGGGTTTGGTCCGCGTGATGGTGGCGGTGATGGTGTTGGAGGAATTCACAACATCGGGGCGGCGACGGAGACGGAGACGGAGACAGAGATGGAGGAGGTGAGGGCGGGTCCTGTATCGTTATCCTCCTTGAAGCTGGAGGAGTAAGAAAGTCGTGGGAAGATACAGTCGCATGCGTTTGCGAGAGCGTACGTTCGTTCCTCGACGCGAGTTGTGGCTGCTGGCCTGTACAGAAGGAAGGAACAGAAGATGTATGTGGACCATGATGGGACCCGGTCCCCAAAGACTGGTGGACCTGTGGACCATGAGCACGTCTCGACATTTCACCTCCAGCTCCAGCTCCAGCTCCTGTTCCTACCCCTCTCCCTTGCTGCTGTTGGTGCTGCTGGCACTGGTACTGATGAGGATGAGGATAATGTGGATACTGTGGCTGACCCGAATACCCCGTTGAATGATACCCGCCTCTCATTTCTGGAGCGTGCGGGTGGCTATAGTTGCGGCCACTGTGTCCATACCCATCATGCGAGCAGGGGCAGTAGTATCCATAACTCTCCACATGCTGACATGCGCAATATCGTGAGGCGTGGTGATAATGAGATGAAGTCGACGACGACGACGAAGAAGATGATGATGAAGATGCGTCGAATCGTGTATTCCCTGGATGCCAGAGTCCTTGGTACTCGTTGTGGTAATGTACGTATTGGTGCTGGGGCTGGGGCTGGGGCTGGGGCTGGTGGTAATGTCCTGGATGGCGCGAACTGTTGCCCATACTGGCGGTGGGGCAGAGAGCAGATGGATTGGCATCGCATCTTCCATTGCATTGCGGATAGACGTGTCTAACTCCCGCTGGTCCTGGGTGCCCTGTTTGGTGATGATTATGCTGATGTCGGTCAAAATAGTCGTATCCAGGAGTCGAGCGACCTGTCGATGATGCTCCTGGACTATGGAATCCATCACTGCCGCCAATGCCGCTTCCCATAGACAAGGCAGATTCCGATCGTGCGCTGATATCTGTCACAGCAGTTCCCGAAGACGATGAAGCCGTCGAACTCGTGCTCGGTCGTCTTACTAACCCACCTCCACCCTCGTTCTGTTGCTGATACTGTGCTCCCATACCTGGGCTTGGTCGCGACACCATTGACTCTGCTTTTGAGCGCTGATTGTCCTGCACGGTCTCCGCTGCTGCCTCGGATGGATCATCCATTGACACGGGCGATGATGTTGCCTTGCAGGGTTTCATCTCTTCCTGACATCCCACTATGGATCCCTTGCTGTGTACGTTGCGCTCGCAAAAGATGCGGGCCCTGGCTTCCGCATAAGCCTTTTCGCGTTCCTCAATCGAGGCGGGCCGTCGATGGGTGGTCGCGCTGTTGTTATTGTTGCCATATCGGGTTTCGCATGCACTGACGGGACGTGGTGGACATCGTTTGAGGACCTTCATTGGCTTGACTAACGGTTCATTGACTTTTTCCTCTTCCTCTTCCTCTTCCTCCTCGACTAAATCGCAGAATCGCAGTGCGGGACTAAAATCATTCCACACGCGACGGGGTAAAAAAGAAAAAAAAAAAAAAAAAGAGAGAGGAATGATTACTTTTGAATCCTTGGGTAAGATGTTGCAGACCGTCTAGAAAAAAGACAAAAAAAAAGGGAAGGAGGCAGGAAGACTTACACGGCCGAGTGCTCAGTCTTGGACAAGGTAATTCTCTTCTGCGACGGATCGACCTTCCTCGCCAACTGGAAATAAATGGCCGAGCGATGGATCATCATCCTATAATAGGAGTTCAGCCATGGAAACTCTAGCTGTTCCTGGCTATCATTATGCAAAAAAAAAAAAAAAAAAAATCAAAGTTAGCCGCTCCTATCGTATTCTTGACAGAGTTGAGTCAACAGGAATCATTCATTATCTGCTCAACTGTTTTCCGCTCCTCATGAACGGAAATGTCTTCCTTAGGAGTCATACCTTGTGTTCTCGATAAAACTACACAATTCTCGGTCGAGTTTCAACAGAAACAGCCGGTCCTGACGTTTCTTAAGAGCCCTCAACAAGAACTCATCCAGCATCCCCGCCAGCCCTAGCGTCGACGCCGATGTCGATGCCAATGCATCCGTGTCCATCTCGACATGACACGCGTCAAAATAACACCCTGTCATTTTCGCCGTCGTTGTCGTTGTTAGCTCCTCCTTGTTCTTATTCGATCCACAGATCTTCATCGCCGCTAACGTCCCCGTCAAACAACCATCCACCGATACGATCAACGTATCATTATCATTATCACCATCGCCACTCTTATTCTCACCCTCGTCCTCGTGGACTTTGCCAGGAACACCGATGCGCTTGGACAGTTTTGACCCCACACCAGAAGACTCCTTATCCTGAATAGGATCCTGTACACACAAGAACCCATGCTGCACTCGCGACAATGTCGACGATGGGACAGCAGGGGTATCCTGTTCCTTTTCTTGCTGGCAGTGTAGTCCCTCGGCACTTTTGTCCTTGTCGGGCTAATTTGGCGACAAGACGAGACGGAGTGTAGGGACGAGGGGTAGGGTAGGGGGGAGGGGGGAGGCGATCAGAAAAAAAAAAATGGCGCCAAAGCACAAACCCATCCTTCGTTTCCCCTCCCTTTGTCGGTGTCATGGTTCCTGAATCTGAATCAGACAGATAGAACAGACGGATAGACAGGTAAGGTGGACAAGACGGATGGGTGGACGGTGGTGGCAAAAACGAAGCGTTCTTCAAGTACCTGGTCCTGTGGTTCGATCGAGAGACTGGTATTGGACATGCCGGAGGAAAAAGAATAATAACGATATGAAAAAAGACAAGGAAAAGGAAAAGGAAAAGGAAAGAGAGAGGAAAGATAAGAGATGGCGAACAACTTAACCTTTTGGGCGTAGTTTCTTGAAAGAATACAAATAAAAAAAGGGTCTGATCGGGGATCAATTGACACCTTAAACAACAAGGAGATGGGACGTGGGATGGGATAGGTGATGGGAGAGTGTATGCACACGAGTTACTGTGGGCTAGCAGTCAAGCCTTGCAGGCGATAAAGAGAGCAGCAAGAATGGGTGGAGGGTGTGACAATAACAAGCCCACAGCAAGAAATAGCCTGACTGGAGTCGAGGGAGGAAGAGTGAAAGAAGAGGAAGGCGAGGTTCGGAATGAAAGCGAATTTACCCACCGGCGAACGAACTACGCATAGAAGAATAGGACGAAAGAGGAAGAGGAAGAGTCGAAGGGAGGAGGGAATGGAATGAGCGAAGGAAGTGGATGTGCGTCTACATGCAAGCTGATGCTTAAAGGAAAGGGTTCTAGTGGTAGAAAGGGACTAGACTAAAGGGAGGAGTGTGAGGCGAGACCGAGACCGAGACCAACAAGGTTAGGACTGAATTGGGGTATGTGGGGAAGGGGACGCACTATGTTGCGATGAGATTTGATCTCCACTTGTAGAAAAGTGTATTGCAGACTAGACTGCAGCTAGAAAAACCAATTAGGCACTGCCAAATATGTTATACCAAGGGGAGTGTAAAGATGAGTTAGCAGTAGGGGTAGGAAAACATACAGAAAGAGCAGCCACGACTGATGTGCATACTTCGAATATGTGGAAATACAGTTTGGATGCTCAAGTCCGAACACAAAGGAACAAAGAGGCAATTGAACAATGAGAAGAAAAAAGGCAATTGAGGCAGAAGACAAGAACAGGATAAAGACGAAAAAGAAAAAGGAAGCTCTTTTTAAGGCCAAGGCACGGCTGCCAAGAGCTGTTGCGCGTGAGCAGGCGCTAGATTGGAAGAACAGGATCGAAGAACGAAGAACATCCTCTAACCCTTTCCTAGACTAGCCTCGATGAACCAGAAAGAACAACGCAAGGAAGAAACCCAATGGGATGGGCCCAACGCAACGCGCAGCCAGCCAGCTAGGGGTGGGCGTTCATGAGTTCATTCATCGGCTCATTTTGCGAAGAAAAAGACGCGACCTGTATTTTATACTTTTTTTTTCCTTCCATCGGGTTCCATTTTCGCGCTCGGTGCCTCTACTCATTCATTGACGCATCATTTTTTTCCTTTACTCCAGACCAGTTGTTGCGCTCTTTATTTTTATTTGTTCCTAAGGCTCTCTACACAATCTCTTCCTCTCGTGTCTTTTGTTTTTTATCTTGCGCCAACAAAAGAGAGTTCGTCCGCCATGCCATGTGCGCGTGCATGGCGTAGCGTTCCATCATAGTTTTTTTTTTTTTTTTTTTTTTTTTTTTTTTTTTTCCTACGGTTTCATGGTTTCATGGATCATCCTGAGCGCGGGTGGTTTTCTTGCGAATTCAATTGGTTCGCCACAGACGCGTCTTTCTATGGTGCCTATAACGTAAGCACACTCCCACGAGCGCTGCGTGTCATTTTCTTTTGTTTTATTCAAACACAGACATTGGAAGCACAGCAAAAAAAAAAAAAAACGAAAACAAGAGGAGCAAAGTACAAAAAAAAAAAAAAAGCAATAACAACAAATAACAAGCAAGAGAAAAGAGGAATAATAATAAAAAGCGACAACGAACAAAGAAAGGATACAAAGGCGAGGTTGGTCCTGTGGCGCAGAAAGCACACTTCCTGCCCATATTCCGTTTGTTTTTCCCGGTTTTGTGGTGAAAAAAAAAAAAAAGATGATTGGATAATTGAATTAAAGTGTACACAGAATATGTAAATAGGTTGAAAGAAAATGCGATTCGTTTTTTGAGGAGAGATGGTTTGATCCTGGTGCGTCATTTTTTTTTTTTTTTTTCCTTTTCTTCTCAATGATCAACATTTCTCGGCATGGATAAGAGAAAAGACAGATCGTGAATCCATTGGCAGGCTGGCTACGGTGGGCTGAAATGGAAGACCCTCTAAAATCCCATGGGATGGTGATGATGCAATTGTCCTTGCGAGTGATGGTGTGAATGTTGGTTTGGGTGCGCATGTGGGTGAGGAAGCTGGTGCGGTTGATGGTGCGACATCGGGTGATGCATCGCTGCCATAGGGTGGGGCTGCTGCATATTCGCCAACATGGGATCGCAGAGCTGGAATTGGTTGTGGTTCTGTTGCTGGTTCTGGTGTTGGTGGAACGCCGCTGCTGCCTGCTTTGCGGCCTCTTCCTCCGCCTTCTTCTGACGTCTCCACGCCTTTCGAAGCTCCTTGAATTCTGTTGTCGTTGTTGTTTTTTCGTAGCAAAAATTCAGGTCAGTTTCGATTCATTACGATGCAGTCAAATATCCTAGGAAATTCGTCATCAAAGATTCATACCAGACGGGTGTCGCTTAGGTCCATGCTTCTGCATGTTTACATGCGCGTTCAAATGGTTGAGAGTTCCATACGCCTTCTCACATTCTCCCCAGTTGCAGACATAAAGTCGCTCGATCTCATCGAATCGTCGGCGGGGTCGCTTTTTTGTGTTTACGCCTGACAACGGTACGAACGAATAGGTCTTGCTCCCGTTTTGTCCATTCTCGCCTTCAGGAAGCCATGCCGATCCTATTGTATGCTGCGGCTGGTGATGTTGATGTGGCGATCCATATGTGTGTTGGTTCGGGACCATGGGTTGCGCGTAAGGCGAGCTGTTGGGTGAGGACATTTGTGAGGGATGATGCGCCATCGATGGAGCATGTGTGTGCTGAAGGGTCATGCCATCCATGTACCCTACCAGTGGAGAGGACCGCACCATGCTATGGACCGGGACCGGGTTAATACCAATCATGCTGCCCTGTGGGATTGGACTCCCCATCAGTGGACTTGAGCCAGAGTTCTCGGGACTAGTGAGCCCGTTCATCATTAGGCTGGAGCTGGTGTCGATTGATGGCACGAATGGGTATGTAACACGGCGGCCGTATGTTTGGTTGACGCTCATGTCATGGCTCTGTGCCATCATCGTTTGAGGAGGTGATCCGTGGCGGATAATATTGCTGGTTTGCATCCGTGAGGGGTCGTCAAGAAACTGATTTGAGGACGTGTACAGGTTGACCGGAGGAGGAGCGTCCGTTGTTTGCTGCCTGTTTTTGAAAAAGAAAGAAAGAAAGAAAGAAAGAAAGAAGGAAGGAAGGAAAGAAAATGGACCGCGAGGGTTAGAAGACTTGCTGGGTTTCTGGACTAGTGCCAACTTAAGTAGTTCCCAAACACCTAGAGGCGCGGCGGGTTGGGGTCCCATCCAAAGACTCCACGGATAAGGTTAAGGCAATTCATAATGATAACAGCAGGACAAATACAGGCAGAGACTGGCAAGGTGACGTGCCTGAGCCAGAGTCCAGTAAGCAGCAGAGAAGCATTTGTAAGGTGGCACTAAGAAAATGGGGAGATCGTGCGAACGACATAAAATGAACATTCTTAGATCTCAGCCCTGAATGATTGATGGTGTCTCCTTTCCGATTGCTTAGGACATGTGCGTCATTGAAGGGGAGGGTGGCAGAGCTGACGAGACATGAGATAAGGCGAGATAGAGAGAAAATATAGGTTGAGAAAGGGGAGGGGGAAATGAAGGACGGAGGAGGGGCAAATTGGATGGTGTGGCAGATATGATACTATATCGATGTAAGACGCGTGGGCTGCAGGCAAAAGGAGACGACATGGATGAATGAATAAAAAAGAGCGAAGCAAAACAAAGCAATGCAAGGCTAGGCAAGTATACGGGGTAGCGCCAATTCTGACGTCCTAGAAAGTGTGGGGCAGGGGGCGGGGGAACAGGCAGGTCGCATGGCGTGGGGTAAATGAGGACAAAAGGTGCGCGCCAGCTTACATTGTAATTGTTTTGGAGGGCAGGGGGGCGGTTCTCGGTCTGGAAAATTATTCCGGCGCTCCGATTCCTGTGGGTACAAAAAAGCCAGAATACACTTCTGCGGTTAGCCAATGGTCTTTGCCCTTCACTCGCATAGGGCGGATGTCAGGACCGGGAGATGTCTTTTTGTCGTCTTAAATAACTGCTGAGTTATCGAGAGAATTGACGGGGTGGAAAAAAAGAGCTGTGTGAAAGTGTGGGGATGTTCTGTATAGAGCTGGAATCCCTGAAGAAGACAAGGGGAAGGAAAAAGAAAACAAAGAACTGGGAAAAGGGTGTGCGGGCCGATTCACATCCACTGTCTCTCTCTTTCTCTTTCGCTTTCTCTTTCTCTCTATCTCTCTATCTGCGCGTCTGCTTGTGTATCTATCGGCATCGCTGTCGTGGTGTTGTTCATACATCCTTGAACGTCATGTTCCCTTTCACGCCGACTAATGACGGCAGTAAACAGGGATTGTCGACACTGCCCTGTCTTTCTCAGTCGTCTCCTTTGTTTTCCTCGACAGCATGTCGATATGATTGAAGGATTCTGGATTGAACGATCATCGGGCATAATTGACGGCGAAAAAAAATATATATCCCCATGCACACATACAAGGCCATGGGTAGCGATATCCAACAGCTGTGCTACAGAATACACGATAGGATGCAGCTCCATCGCCCCGGATCTACCCTAGCGAATGCTACTGCTTCATGCTACCTTGATACTATGTAGATAGGACCATGAAGCTCCTCATGCCCGGTCCATTTCTGATAATCGGGAACAAATTAACAACATCGCCACCTCGATGTGATGTGATGAAACATACTCGGACGCAGGATGAAATGGTAGTAAAACGGTGAAAATAAGTGTTGATTGCCCAGGTAAGGCTCCATGCTGGCAGATAAGGTGGAAGAAATGTTTTCTTTGCTGAGACTAATACCTTTGTCGTTTGAAGTCAATGAAGACAAAAAAATAATCCGGAAATGACTTTGTAGAGTGATAGTAGAATGGCGGTAGAGTGATGGTAGAGTGAGTGGAGAATATGAAGAGTCGAGTATAGTTTGGATCGTGTAGTGCGGAAGAGCGAAGGGAAGCGTGGAAGAGTGAAGGCAAGTACGAAGTGTGAAGTCTGCAAGCTGACAAGGAATTTGCAAAGGCGAGAATGGCTCGTGCCACGAATTTGATAGCTGTCGTTAAGACGTGAAGACAGGGAGGGCAGTGCTTTTTTTTTTTTTTTTTTTGTTGATAATTTCTATCGTTATTCTTCCGTTTTACAACGAGAAGATGCGAGAGTGGGAGAGAGAATGTATGTATGTGTGAATGTGAGGATGAAGCAGGAGATCAATAGAAGGAAGAGAAAGACCAACATAGGATGGTGAAGGTCTGGGTATATAAGTGAATTTTTTTGTTGTGCTCTATACTCTTGTTTTTATTTAGTCTACGGGTCGTTCCCTTTTTTCACAAGTGCTCGCATCAACATTTCAATCGATGGGTAACTGTGAGAACAGGTGCAGGACCAGGGAAAGAGCCAGGGAGCACTAAACGTTGCCTGCCAGCTGCCTGTCAGACTGAATTTGGAGGGAGATGGATACTTGCTGCCTGTCTGCCTGCAAGAAAATACAAGGGCCAAGTGGGCGTGAATATAGGGAAAGGTACACGGTTCATCAACTGTTTATCATGATGGGATAACATAGAATAAAGTATAGAGTACAGTCGAGTAGAGTATCTATGCCTTTCATTCACCCGGTAGATAATGGGTAAATGAGTATTCAATATTATTCATTCATGTCCAACAACTGTTTAATTTCCTCCCTCCCTCCCCCCTCTCCCCTCCCGTGCTCAACCGCGCCCCAGGTGGCCATGTCCATTTGCTCTCGCTCCGGCTCCCTGTCACCAGAAAAGCGGGAGACCTCTCTGCAGACGATTGCTCAGACATGTTGCATGCACTGATGAACGTATGTCCAATGTCGAATATAGCGCCCATCTATCTTGTGCCTGCAGAGCGTACGGCTGTAGGCATGAATTACATGTGTGTGGGTAGGAGAATGGGAAGATTGAAAGGGCACTTAATACATGTGGGATATCTATAGATTGTGGACATGCACATTAGTGAGGGATGAGGACGGCTGAAGCAAAGAATATTATGGACACGGATAGCAGATGTGCAATGGATACATAGACATGGCGAGGATGAGGATGGGCAGGGACTACGGATGATTTTGTGCGATGTTCAGCTGAATCCGTATGCTGGGTTGCGTGTGTGTTATGGGTGTCCCCAGAGCCAAGGTTTTATTGCAATTTTGTCATTTTATTCAATAATGAAGATCCTCGTCAGCAGCAGAGCGGAGGGAAGGGGACAAAGGGATGGACGAAATGTGAGCCTTGAGAGCCAGGCAATTTTTTTTTTATTGTCTTCATCACTCACGCTGACCGGCTGGCTGCCTCTACGATGACTTGGATTACCCTTGACTTGGTGGCCTTGACTTGATTGCCCGACTTGACTCGACCCACCTACCACCTCCACCACACTTCTCCGCGAATCCATTTGCTCTGTTGTCCCAAACGACGACAACACAAAAATAAACAAACAAACAAACAAGTAAACAGTAATCGAATATCCTCCCAGACATAAAAAAGATTTGGAGGGAGAACGGAGCAAGGTGATGCGTCGTCGTCTGTATGGCCAGCACAACGGCGGCGCTGTTCGGTCGTATCTATCCCGCGCCATTAAAGCATCTCGGCCTTCGTTGCAAGTCTCCAATCGATCGCGACTAATGCTTCTTCTGATTTCCCAGAGTTCTTTTTTAAGAGTATAATACAAAGCGTCAGGGCTTCCTGGGGCCTCATTCTGAATATGCTCAACGTAATTTATTGTTTTCCCCTCCTTCATATCCTCTGGAATTCCTTTAGTCTATTAGACGCCCAAGCCGGCTCTCACCAGCGTCTCTGTCAGCATCCACTTGAACCACCCCGACAGAAGCCCCCGTCAACATGATGGCGGCGCCCGACAATGAGATGTGAACACTGCTAGCTCATAGCATCCTTGTGTGATCATTCCTTTTGTGTTTTAGTAATAAAGTAATCAAGAGTTGCTCATAACGAGGTGCTTCGAGAGGGCGGACCGACAAAAGTCCAAAAATATCGACGCGCTTTTCTCCTTTTGAGAACTTGTACTCACATCTGAGAAGATGCTTAAGTCTGCCACCTTGATACAATCGTTTAATTTCCCGTTGACAGATGAAGAGAAGTGAGGTGTTTTCTATTTTTTATAATGCCAAGCCGATCTCTGCACAGGGCGGTAATGTAAAATAAGCAGCGCATTTTTCTCATAGATGCAGACGCAGGCGCCCCCTTCGAGAACCAGGCAAGGTGTAGGAAAATTGATGTAGTCTCTGAAGCCCTCGTTCTATGTACCGCAATGGTTACTTGTCAAGGTGCTTCTGTACCCACGCAGTCAGGGCTACTCTAATTGAAACTCTGCGTCGTCGCGTTCTTTCCCAGTCCTTTTTGCCCCTATCCCTTATCGCCCTCCCCGTGGTATATTTGACAGAGAGTCCTGTACAACGGCGTGCTTTTAGGGAACAGCATGAATGAAAGGGAAGGAGAAGGGCCCCTGGCGATGCGAACAAACAAAAAAAAAAAAAAAAAAAAAAAGAGAGCCATCCTTCGCTCTGTACCGTTTCTGACTAAGTAGGCTATGTTGCTGGCACGAAAATGACTGCTCTGTTGAGCGCTTTCTTCTCCTGTAGTGCTCGCTTAGGGTTTTGTTGGTAGAGTCATTCTTGGTGGTTACACCAAGTTCGTCATCCTGCAGGTGCACTTTTTAGGTTTTGGTTATGTTTGATGCCCGAGAGCAACGCAAAGGGAGTCTAGCGTATATGTGTTTTTAGTTGCTCAGAGGACAAAAAAGACCACAGGGCGAGGAAGAGACGGAGCAAGCGAATGTGCGATGGATAGAAAGAGGGGGAGGTACACATGTGCGCTGTGTTACCTTCCTTGGATATATGAACACACTACAGAGAGGACCGCGATCATCAATGCATGGTCCACAGGCAAGCACACATACATCTATCTAAAAGATAAAGCAACAACAATCGTCCAAACAAAGACAACGAAACGAGGAGATGTTCGCTCCTTTTGCGAATCAGGCTTACTTCTGGGGTTTCATTTTCATCTGTTACCAGTGTCAAAGGCGATAGATCAATCAACGTCGGTCGCAAAGGGATATTACCGATGAACATCCGAAGCTCTTTGCGCAACCTTTATTACTATGTACTGAATTACGACCTAAATAGACGCGCCGAGACTGTAGTTTGAGTTATTTTTCTTTTTTTCTCACACATCCTTTTGTTGTATGAACAATCTGCATCACGTACTCGATATAAAGACATTACCCTTGCCAGTGTACGAAGCCCTTTACCTGCCGTTGTTACACTCGCTATAGGACATCGTTAATGATGAGCGAGTTTGAAATGAGCATTCTCTAGCTTCACCCAGTCAACCCGAAAGGCATGCAAAAGCAAACCCTTCACAGCATGCGCCCTCTGGGTTGGCTCTGTTATCCTATGCGGCGAAGACGAAGAGTCCATGACAACATCCTACGCCCACGATGACAGCATCATAGAGAGTGTTTATGTATTCCTGCAACCCATCTTTTTCTTGCGTTCTCTCTGTTGCGAGTTGTTGGCTGCATGGTTATGTGTCAATTTGTACACAAAAAAAAATCTATCAGATGAAGGTCGTTTCTCTCCAAATGCAGCTCCAGTTCTTTTTTCTTCACTTCTTCATCTTATCTGTCTGCCCTATTTTTTTGTTCCGCACCAGACAGATTCGCGATCCGATATCCCGACGAAGCAAAGGTGTTGATCATGGCTCCACCTTTCCTCCATTCTTTCCTGGCGCATTGTAATATGTAATCCCAATATTTTTTTATTATTATTATTATTTCACCCTTTTATCTCAACATGGTTTGCTTAAACCCAGGGCGGCACGATGAAGTCATAGAAGAAGAAGAAGAATGGAAGATCGGGGAACGGAGCATGATCCCCATCACTGTCAACTTGTTTGTTCTCTTAAGAAAAGTATATGTGGATAAAATACATACACACACACACGCACTATGCGCCCCCGTCCAACATATTTTTTGTTTTTTGTTTTTTTTTTGTTTTTACAAGACCGACGAGTTCCTCACGCCTTCTGGCAGCTGAGCAGGTTATCTCATCTGTTACTGGCTTTTAAGGTCGTCTGCGAGATACTCGAGAAAAATAATGACCGAGAAACACAACGAACCGCGTTTGCTTAAATAGTCGCTGCTGGAGCAGGAATGAAGCCAGGCTTACAACATAATGTTTACGATGGTGCTTTTTCTCGATATCTTTGCTCTGGATGAACCATCTTCCGTCTAATAAGGTTAGCCTGAGGGTGAAACATCGAGGGGCAAAACTCAAAATAACGCGTGCGCCCAAGGGTGATTCTGTGACATGATCAAAATTGGGCGATCCTCGTCCGAAGTAGTCTACGCCATGTGCCAACACATTGTTCGCAGATAGTTGTTTTTATGGGTATGCTAAGTCAAAGTGAGACCAGGATGGGTGAGACCAGGGTGGGTGAACTGATTTGCAGCGACCCACTCTTATCTCGACCTCTGCGTTCAGTTGCTGCTTGCTAGAATCTCTCGAGACGTCTCGTCTTCTCCTCTGCAGTCTCCAATTCGACCGAGTACCTAACTACATCCTCTCCATAACACCACTATCAGCAACCAAAAAAAAAAAAAAAAAAAAAAAAAAAAAGCAATATGAATACATAAAATGTGTTAAAGCAAGGAGCAGCAGACAATGCTCTCTGTACGAAACGAAGGTCTCTCGACTTACGACCATGGTGACGCCGATGAGGCACCCGATTAAGGAACCCAGGAGTGCGGCTCCGTACATGGTATCGCATTCGGCTGTGCCCAAAATCTCGTCATGTTCGATTGCACATTGGACCAAAAAGCGGTCTCTGTGGACGACCGTGAGAAAGAGAGTCAGGACTGTGGAGCCGATGAACATGCCTATCATGATCCACCATGCCTTGGCGAACAGCCGGACTTTTGTGGCTGATTTCTACCGCATCGTAAAGCGGTTAGTATTAGAACACCGTGGTAACAGCAATCAATTATAGTTATCGTCGTCGTCGTGGCCATCTTTGTGCTGCAGTTGCTGCGCCCGTTGCTCGATCCCTCCACAGGAGCGTTACATCCTGCCGAACATTGAAAAATGATTTCTGAGCTGACCGATATTTATATCTTTTTGAGTACGAACATAAACAACAACAACAACAACAACAACATAACAATAAGAAGGATGCATCCCCTCTATCCTCCTACTTTTGACTCCCATCATCCTCTCTTGCTTTCAATCCCTTACTCCCCCACAAGTCCCTTCATGTCCCTTGCATGAGCTCACGTTTGTATAGATGTACTATTTTTTCCATTTAAATGATCTATGAGTTAAAACAAGAACGAATGCTCAGATCTTTTATTACCTTGTAGGCAGCGTAAATACCAAAGGTCCCCAGAATGCCTCCCATGACAGAAATACTGCCCGAGATATACGACATGGTGAGCAAGTCAATGCTCTGCTCCCCCAAGGCAGGCCAGCCCTGCGTCGAGTAAAACAGGCAGCTGGCGACAGATTCACACAGCTCAATGGTTTTCATTCCTGCCTGAACCAAACAAAAGTAGAGGCTAGATAATCCAGAGGTCTGTTCATTATTGTTGGTTGGTTAGGTTTTTTTTTTTGGAAAGAAAAATGAAGTGTGTTTAGCGCCGGCGCAGCATCAACAGCATTGGGCATATCCTTGAGGCCAGGGGCCAGTGACTATTACGCTAAAAATGCAGTTTACCAAGAGATAGCAGGCGAGTGCGAGAAGGTGGCTTCGACGGGACATGTACATGCATCCTTGTTTTGACGTGGGCGGAGGTGGGTTCAGTTCTGGCGCTTGAGTGGGTGCCTGTGCGTGGTGGCCATCGATCGAGACAATCTCGAAAGAGCTAGAGTGTTTGGACTCTTGCATATCGAAGTCGTTCAAGCAGTGGGATGGAGAGGAGGTGCTTGCGTGGTTGTTTGCTATGCCCTAACTGCTGAAGCGGATGTGCTCCCGTCGGATGCTGAACGGCAGATGATAGAGAGAAGATCAAAAGAGTAGAGAATGGACGTATGGATGCAACCAGGAAGAAAAGATACCGCGAGAGCAGTTGCAGTGGTGAATGAGAACAGAAAAACAGTAAAAAAAAAAAAAAAAAAAAAAAGAGCGGATGCAGATGTGCAAGGTTCAGGTTTACAGCAGATAAACGATAAGGTACAGGAGCAAGATGGGTCCCAAAGGGGGTCTGACAGAACTATCATAGCAGGATGTATCTGGCTGGCTGGCTGGCTGGCTCTGGACCAGGAGGCGAGAGCTTCAGAAAAAGATGGCGAGATCCTCGCATGTGTGCTGCATGCATGCTGCATGCAGCCCTGATGGTTATCTGCGGTTGGGACACTGCCAGGCGGGCTTTCCTTTGGGAAGAGAGGGGATGTGATATGGAAACGCAGACAAATGCCTCCGTGTTTTCTCTTTCGCCTTCCGCACCGCGTTTCCGCAACAAGTCAGGGCGATGCAAAAACGGTGTCTGCATCACGCGAGGAACCCCACGCGCGTCGCGTCGCGTCGTGTCGCGCTCCCGGTCGCGTTCAAACACCGTCACTTTGTCCCTGGAATGGGTGCAACCCGGGGGGTGCCTGACTTCCTTACGACACAACGCTCTTTTTTTTTGGTGTCGTCATTGAGGGTCCGCTTTACCCGTCCGAGGAACCATTCCCCACTCTTTTGATCTCATCATCTTCGACCTTCATCCTCCCTCCTTCATTCCATCATCCGGACCAGCCCCACCTCCCCCTTCCTAGACTCTGGCACGATCACCCGCCGTGTCAGCAATCAGCACAAGGACACGCGGATGAACTACCTCACTGCTTGGGCCACGGCGCGTCAGCTCCGCGTTTCCCCACGATTGTACTCCGCTATCCCAGGGACCAGTAACTTTATCGGACACTTTCACAGTCAGCCATCGACTCTTCCTCGCCGATTCAAGGCGCCCGCCTACGAACACGATCTTCGATACCGTGTATCTGTCGTCAGTGCCCCCACGGTGATCCATTACCCGAAAGTCGTCTCGTCAAAGACGGAGATACCCCAACAAGCGCTATCGATCGCCCCTCCCAACAGAATCAGGACGAGGACGAGGACTAGGACTAGGACTAGGACTATGAAAAGGCTCTCATCCGTGCAGCTGCTGGTGCACCCTAATCATTCTCCGCCAGTTTTCTCACGACCACTTCAGCGATGCTATTGTGCAACCACTGACCATGTTCCTCCCACGCTGCCTACAACTGCAGCATACCCGGCCAATTCCGCACTTTCTTCCTCAGCGCAATTGTTTAGACCGGGCTCAGGGTCCACACTAAGCCAAAGATCAGGAACAGGATTGAGGCTGGAGACAGGATCAAGGTTCGGTCTATCTCAGTCCTTAGGGCCATCGTCCACGTCCCTGCAGCAAGCACGCGCCTTTGGATGCAGCTCTGCCCAAGCGTACGCACAACCCTACTTTGCGATGCGAAACTCTCAAGGCGAGACCCTTCGGATCCATCTAACAAAGTCTCGCGACTTTGTCGGAATACGATCCACACGCTGCCAGCGCACATACAACCAGGATCGATATAAAGTCCTCGTGCTTAACCCTATGACTCCTTCCGGAACTATATCTCTGTCCTCCATCACCGATGGAAGCAGTAATGGCAAAAGCAGTGGCAGCAGTAGCGATAACAACAACAACAACAACAACAGCCAGCACCGCGATCCCGCCCACAATTCTCTACAAAGAGGCACCGAGGGCCAACAGATGGATGCAGACCAGAAAACGCTCTTCTACTTTGCTATCTTTGACGGCCACGGCGGCTCCCACACCGCCGACTATCTGACCGCACATCTGGACGAGTATATCGAGGATGCGAAGCCGGATATGGTCCCCGAGGTTGTGCGAAAGCTGCGCAAGCTCGGAGGATACTTTCGTTCGTTTCGACCGCATTTTTTGGAACCGTTTCTCCCATCAGATTTCGAGGAGAAGTATGGACGAGCAGGGAAATCTATGGCGGCGGAAAGGGCGAGACAGCAACGAAAGGTGCATATCAAGGGGAAGGGAGGACAGGTGAAGCCGATGATCTTTATTCCGCATCCGAATGCGACGGAGGAGGAGCAGAAACAGGAAGTCGAAACTTTGGAACATGAGGCTGCAAAGGCTGAGGGAAAGATGAAGGATGGAAAACAGGATGATGATATCCCAGCAGCCGAAGAAGCACGATTGAAAACGAACAAGGACATAGAGCTGCATGGGGTCGAGGATGAGGACGAATATGACGAGGATGAAGATCCATTGATAGTTGAAAAGAAGAGACAGCTGAACAAGACCTCGCCATTACCTGGAGGTACTACTTCTTACTCTGGATTAGACCGATCCGAATACGAGCAACTGGTCGTCAGGGAACAAGACCTAGCTGCTGTAGCGGAAAAGGAGAAGCAACCAGAAGTGCCGATCCCGAACACCATGACCCTGGAGCAACGCTTATGTCTGTCGTTCTTGGAATGTGATACGGAACTCATCCAAAACAAATACGGCGATGGATCCACGGCATCTGTGGTCATTGTGCAATCGAAGGGTGCCTTCTGGGAGACCAAGGACGACCTGGACCTGATTGTGGCTCATGTGGGTGATACACGCGTTTTGCTGTGCGAGGCCCCTCGAGGCGAGAGCATCCAGCTCACGACTGATCACCATCCGGATGCCGTTGTTGAAGCTGGTAAGTGGACAACATTTTTCTCTATTACGTCCGCATAACCATCCAAGTCGTCTTATTGATTCTAATTTTTTATTTTTATTTTTCTTTACTACTTCTGTTTTATGCACTAGACCGAATCCGCAAGCTGGCAGCCTACGTGAGCGCAGACTCATTTGGCGAGAACATGTTTCTGGGCACGGTAGCGAACACACGCGCGCTGGGCGATATCGCCATGAAGCCCTTTGGTGTCTCTGCAGAGCCTGAGCTCATCCGACGGACAGTCAAAGCTACCGAGGCCGCCTTCTTGGTCTTGATTTCCGACGGCGTCTCGAGCGTCATGAGTAACCAGGAGGTGGTTGATTGTGTCAAACTCGAGGAGAACCCGACCTTGGCTGCCGCCAATGTATTGAACTTGGCAGAGCTGCTGGGCGCAGAAGATAACTGCACAGTTTTGGTATGTTTCCCCAAATTGTTTCGTTTTGGTTATGTTTATGTCACTTTTCGGCTATTGTTCCCTTCTCGTTGCATGCGCTAACTATCCCATACTCTCGCGAATATATTTCCTGGTATAGGTCGTCAAGCTGCCTGCATGGGGAGCAAAGATGCCAGACTTGTCCAAGGAGCTGCGAGATTACCGCTGGCAGAACGAAGCCCAGCAATTACGGGCCAGAAGGCGATAGACAATTAATATGCACTCCCCAACTTGTATCATATTATCATTAAACCCCAAAGAGTCGCATCCTCATGTTTATGGGATGCGAACAACTGTGTGGCTCTTTATTGTAGTTCTCTTCTAGTTCAGGCAAAGGACTCTGACATCTCAACGTCCTGCATATACGACGGATCAGCGCCAGCAGATGCTGCCCGGGCAGCTTCTTCCTTAACAATCTCCTTGACACGGCTCCATTTCTGAAGTAGCTGTCCCTCACGAATCCGTTTCTCCAGCTCTCGATTTTCTCGCTCATAGTCCTTAATCATCGCCTCAATGTTCTTCTGCGCACCGCTGCTACCGCCTTCACTCATGAACCGCTCCCGGAACAATTCCGTTGGCATCGAACATTTCGCATCCTCAGGGCGCAGCAACAGCTCATCCTTGTGTCCCTCAGCCCGATAGATGACAGCATAGGCCCTACCCATCCACGAGCTCAGTAATCTCTCCCGGGCTTCCAGATCGCTTACTTCTTCCAGCTTCCAGTATCCATCCTCGCCTGCAATAAAGATCCGACGCCAAATGTCTTGCAGCACATAGGGACGACGGTTCTCAGGGATGTCTGCAGCGTGCAGGCAGATGCCGAGGGATGCGTCACATACGTCAATGTTCGCAATCTCAGGCTTTTGCTGCGTCATGAGAACGTCCAACAAATCCTCGGAGCTAATGGCCTGACGATTCAGCAGAGATTGTGCCGACTTCAAAAGAGCCTAGTGGTTGTCGCACAAAATTGCAAGGATGAAAAAGAAGACATTGGTGGTTAGACATGGTACTGGTTGTAAGGCGACCATCCAATTGTATTAACGATGAACAAAGTCCCGTATACCTCACGCAGCATAGGTTGTTGTCCCAGTACTGACAATTTGAACTCCTTGAGGACTGCCTGGACCTTCTCGTCAACACTCGCAAGTGCCCCAACGTGCTTCTCCCACTCATCTGCGACATACGCCTGGATCGTAGCCATCTCAAGCTCCTCGTTATTTCTGCTTGCGTACTTCATCATGTTCTCTGCATTGATACCCCCCTCCTGCTGTTGCTCCTGTTGAGGAAGGCCCGCCAAGAAGAGGAGTTTACTCAGACTGAACATCGTCCTCCGGCGATCCACGTTCATCTCCAACACTGCTCCATCCTGAATCCTCTGTGACGCCACGACATACCGCCTGATCTTGATGTCGTGCAGCCATGCTATCTCGCTGTAATCGCGGCTGTCCAGATATACCGTGAATAAGTCGCTATACTTTTCACCCACATCAAGCAGTGTTGGAAGTTGGTCTAGAGGGGTGAATTGCAACAGATGAGCATACATATTAGTCGCATGATAGGAAAAGCAGAGAAAATAAATAATAATAGTAGTTGGACTGTGCTTCGTGGACAAAGAACATACCGTTGTCATAGTACCATTGGAACAAAGCATTCGCAAACTCCTGCTGATACTTGGCAATGTAGCTTGTGATCTGCCTCTCTTGACCAATGGAAAGCTTGACAAGCGTTGTGAAATCTCTATAGCGCTGAGCGAGCTGTACTGCGGACTGAGTCTTCTTCAGCTCAACTATGCAATGTTAGAAAAAAGTAGGAGGCGTCAGCTATGGCCACACTATTGGAAGTTTTCTGTTGCCGACCATATAAAGACCACCCTCGTGATATTACCTAGTGGCGTCAAGAGCTCCAGCTTGGCCTCATCATAGGTATTGACTGCAGCTGCGATCGCGATGTTATGACTACTTGTTTGGGACAACCTAAATGCAGAATTCAAGAAGTAGTGCGTTAGAAAATGCAATTAGATCCGCCTAAAGACCCTATAAACAAACGCTGACAGATGTCGCCCTACCCTTCCAGATACTGAAGACGCTCAGAGTGCGCCTGTAATGTCACATCGGCGAGATCGCAAAGCTGATCCTTGAGTTCAGAACTTAAGTGTGAAGATCCGCCAGCTCCACCTCTGTCGTCCATGTCCATAGCGTCGATTCCTGACTCACGATCCGATTTGCAAATCGAAAGTGTTGCCATGTATTGCGCAGTGAGAGCCTTGATCACATCCTCCGTTGCTATGTTGTTTGGAAGGACGGATGATATCGTTCGTCAGATGTAGCTCATTTAGCTCTGGTCATCGCGACAACACAGATTGAAGGTAGCATACCTGTCCAAGGCTCGATGCTGCTGTTGTTCTTCAGGGCATAGATCTCCACATGCTGCTTCCTATAGCTCCAGGCTGAGCGCAGGCTGAGGACCAAAATTCTATTGATATCTCTCGTAAGCTCAGCCTGCTGGCCAGCCGATACCAGGGACAGCTTCCTTGCTGAGCTCTGAAGATGAGAAAGCAGCTCCGCCAAGCTGTCGACCTAACATCATAATCCATAGAGTATACGTTAGCTAGTGCTCATCCGCAATCAACTCAAGTCCTTCAGCGAAGCAAAGGAGGTTCGGTTCCCCTTACATGGTATTTAAGGAAAAAGGAAATCGAGTCTTCCGTGGCATGGGCTCTGATTTTTTCCAGACTTTCCGCTGCGGCATCATCCATCACTGGCTTGAGATTTGTCTTGGGCGCTTTGTTCTTGTCCGTGGCCGCCAGTTTGAGCTGGTACTGAGTCCAAAGTGCATTTGCGGCCGCCAATTTCTCAGCACTCCAACACAGCTTGAATCGTGTATCGATGGAGAGGCGGCTCGCCATTCCTGCAGCCCGAATGCTCTCAATAATGTCTTTTGTCTTCTGGTAGCGCTCCGAAAGTCTGGCTGTCAAATCCTTGCCAGAGTTGAGCAAAGTCGCGTGTGAGTTCAAGATCTCCCGACTGACGTTGAGCGAGGCCTGGTTCAAATCACCGCCATCGTAATGTGTAAGATCGAACGATATCGGATTGTTTTTCTTTCCTCCAAAGAAGACCGCCTGCTCCAACTTGGCCTGTAGCTGCGCCGTCAGCAGTCCCTGTGTTGCCCTTGGATCGTCCGAGGAAAAAGAAGGTGTGCTGACGCCGTCCAGATGAATATGAATGCCCAGGCGGCCGCTCGTCCTACACACAATGGAGAGCTCACTGCTGTCTCCCAATTCTTGACCACGCTGCTTCCACTCCTCTGTTCCAAATCCAATGATCCTATCGTTCTTGAGTGGAACCAGGTCTTCGAATTCAAAGTTGGGTAGAGATGAAGTAATGATGACCGCCTTTGGCATAATGATGAACACACCCGGTCCTCCATGGGGCACAACGAGCTTAGGTGAAGCCTCCGGCCGAAGATCTTCCTCCTTTATAAGTGCGAGACACCGCCAGTTAGTCTTTTGTTCACAAAACGAAGGCATATATTTCTGGTAGCGCGCAACTCTACACAACTTACTACTGAACGCTGAATATATTTCACACTCTCGATATCAATGGTTGTGCCAAACTGCGGAGATAGGGTGAAGAGCGCACATGAGAGCGGTGAAGCCGCAGTCTTGATGGCAGTGTCGAAGAAAGTTGCTAGGACAAGCAGCTTGCCGTTCTTAGTATATTCGATATCCAACAAGCGCACTCTGGGATCACTTCCCATTGGCAATGTAGCAGAATAATCCCGAAGAATGCGTTCTGTGATCTGCTCCCTGAGTGTGACCTCTGACTCCATGGTGCATTCGCCTGATCGATAAAGATGCCACCTGAAAAGCGATCTCCGGGTCATTACAAACAGATCCCATCGTCCATGGGGGTCCTGAATCCTGGGTCCCGATGTCATAGAAGTGATTTTTTGAGAAGTATCCGGTCCTTGCATTACTCCGATCATGTTGAAAATCGATGCGATGGCCCCTCCACTCTTCCCAGGCAACTGTGCCGATGTCAACGCGACCGATCCGAATTGCTTCCTGATCGAGGCTTGGTAGACGTTCGCATATCGCGTTCCGAGGTAATATCCCATGGGCTATGGACGAAGTAATTGCAAAATGCCATGAGTTTCAAATGTTCATGCAGTACCATAGTGAACCCGAACTATGCCAAGCCACATAGATCACTTACGCCTGCGCATTCAACATGCGAGATATAGTCGTCCTGAACCAGGTTGATCTTTGTATCCGTGTGCTGGTCCACGTTGGAAAGACTTAGGTCAATGTCGTTCCAGTACCAGCATGTCCCATCTGGAGAGCATGCTAGGACGCCCGAGTGCTGATCGTCTGATTTTGTGATGGTGACCGCAGGCAGAAGGACCGATTTATCGGGTGATGTGTTGCTGTTAGGAGGCATTGGCAAAGCGATGCACATAGGTGGCGACCGATACGTGGCATCCTAAAGCAAGTGTAAAAGTAGTGCAGAACTAGAAGTAAGTAGTCGTAGCAAGCATAAATAAAGCTTTCAAGTAGGAGATATCAACACGCGATACCTTTTGAACGGCCCAGATATAGCATTTTGTCTGAGAGATAACGATGCCAAATCCTGAATCCAGATCCATCTTGGCCGTCATGGGCTGCGTGTAGAAATCTGTCTCGGCAAGAGAGGCGTACCAATAACGCGTAAAATATCAGTGCTCAAAGCTTCCACTTTTCAAAGCTACAGGGCGATCACCAGGCGCCATGAAGCAAGATCTCCCTACCTGTTTTGTTCAGGGCGCTTTCGACCTCCCTTGGCAATGGTCCAAAGTATGCGACCAAAGTCCGTTCATTCTTGGAATAAATCGAATCCTCGTCAATTATGCTATTGCCACCGAACTCCATGATATGACGCGATTCATTCTCATTGATGGTATCGCCAGTCAGAGGTGCCCATGAACGTTCAGAATCAGTGCCAAACGGTGCGGCAAACGACGTGTCCCGACTGAGTGTCCGAGGCAGAATTGAATCCTCGACTAGTTTGTCCTTGGAATTGACTGGGATCTGACTTTGAAGCCCGCTCCTTTCCCTTGGCTTAGCAGCCGTGTTTCCTTTGGGTGCCTTTGCCGCGAACATTGCTGTTGAATGGTGAAATAGACTAGACTTGGAAAAGGACTGATCTTTTTAGTTGCGAGAGATGGGTTGGATGAACTGGGTCCAGCGAGCCCGACTTTTGCCCGCTCTCCTTGTAAAATAAGAAGGTTCCTGTTTTCTGGAGTGCGGTGAATGCAGACAAGGCAGAAAGATCGGTAGTGAAGAAGACGATCAGCTGGAGAGGCGAAGCGAACAAAGGTAGCGCGCGTTCTGAAGGGCTAAAAGACGATTTTCATTCAGTTGTTAAACATGCAGACATGTAGGCTTCTGCGCCACCGAAATGTGCCTCAACTGCCTTTGGAGGCTAGTTGAGAGAGAGATCGCCTTACTCCTCTTTCACTCCTCACTGCCCTTCTTTGCACCTTCATCATGTCTCACAACATCTGGCTTGCTGCTAGTAAGGAAACAGAGGAGCAGTGGAAGACTCCATTGTTGATTCGCTGCGAATCTAGGTCCTGTTGACTGATCCCTGAACACTTTATGGAACCGTAAAAAAAAATAGGCGACGGTGACCTCGCGGCCGTTAAAAAGTTTGTCGAGGAGAAGGGAGTCTCAATTGATGCCCAGGATGAGAATGGATACTCGACGCTGTAAGTGGGGGCGGCTTCAGGAGGCAAATACTCATGCAGCGGATCATTTTGCCATCACCTGGGTTCAGCTGTACCCTCTCCAAGATCTGCCTCACTCATACTTGATGCGCCTAAAAATATGATAGACATGCCGCAGCATCCTATGGCCACATAGAATTAATCAAGTATCTGCTGGCGAAGGGCGCCAATGTCAATATCCAGGATCCTGATGGTGATTCACCTCTGTTTGTTTGCGAGACCGTCGAAATCGCAGAGATCTTGGTCAACGCTGGAGCGGACGCCAAGCATGTCAACGAAAACGAGATGACCGTAAGACCCTCAAGGAAGCATTGGATATCTGCAGATGCCATGAGCTGCGCAAAATCATTGATCGGACAAAAAAATAAATTCGTCTTTCGCTTCCTACTCTTAGGCCGCTGAGAACGCTGAGGAGGAGGAGTGGTTCGAGGTCGCACATTACTTGCGCGAGTTGACTGGAGTGCCCCACCCCGACAAAGATGTCGATGAGCTTGAGGAGGACATGTCACATCTTTTGGAAGAAGAGGCCGACAGCGATGATGATAAAACCGAAGAGCAGGATACCACAGAGAACACATACAAGGACAGGATAGAGACTATCATGAAGGCAACGGAAGCAGATGGCAAGGATCGTGATGAGGAGCTTAAAGCTGTGGTTGCAGAGATGTTGGCCACGGCTGGCCCCGAGGGCGCAGCCGCACTTTCAAAGGAACTTCAGGCACAGGAGAACAAGCAATAGTTTTCTATACACAATACATATTACTCGTGTTTAGTGCGAGCAACAAGATCGTTCTTTTCGTTAAATTGGTATAGTTATTATCCACATGGGTTTAGGGGTCAGAGTTCGCGCACTCTGCATGCTGGATTGACTGGTATTGAAGCGCTTTGAACGTGAATGGCGATAACCACAGCTGTAATCGAAAGTGTTAGAATTTCATCAGATTATCAGTTGAACGTATTCAGCTTAAGAAAACTCACTATTCCTGGATACTACAATACCGTCGTTTACGTGGTATGGGATCTCTTTTTATCCCTGTCTGCTCAGCTATCCCCACCCTCTTCTCCGCTGTCCTATCCTGCCCCACTAGTCGTGTCGTCGCTCACGCGGTTTGAGGCCTTTTGTTCTTTGGAGCTTGCTCGTTCGCTGCCACGCCTATTCCTCCACGATGTTTCTGCAGCTCCTTTGCACGCTTGTCAGTCTCTATTTGCTCTGTGGGTCGGTACGCCATGCGCGTAGTATGACGATGTGCCACCCTTAGATCTGCTCACCAAAATTCTTTCCACAGCATTCTGGAATAGATATTGTTCAAGCTTCAATTTCAATGCTACTCAAGGTCATTTTGTATTGGATATTTGGATATATACAAGTCAGCTTAACACCGTGGAGCATACTGCAACCTGCCTTCGATGCCACAGATGCGCTTCACTCGCTGAATGTCTCCTCCCATACGCTCAATCAACTGCGCCCAGTAAAGACTGCGAGGTTGAACTGGACGGTTGTGAGATATGACTCTCGTTCGAGGCGCCTCAAACATAGGACGTGAAGTCAGTCCTCCTTTGAATCCGATAATCCAGTTCGTTGTGCCTGGTGGGTCCTGAAAACAGTTGTTATTTCCGTTGGCTGTGCAGTTGTACACAACATGGAAAGCACCTATGGAAAGCGTAAAAATGAAATTGCGTCAAGCCCAATACTACAACACCGCATTGAAATCCTAAAGAAATGGACACAAAGCTGCAAATACTTACCAGCCCAGCCTTGTCCGGATCCCATCCAGCTTCGCTGTCGCACGTTCAAGGTGTTGCAGGTGATGTTGTCGTACAAAATTCCCATGGCAAAACGCTCGTGAGGTCCCGTATCATTGTTAGCATCAACCCCCGTCGAGTCAACGAAAACGTTGGGTCCTAGGAATTGAAGTGCAAATATGAGAGAAATAAAATCGGATTAGCATGCGGATGTATCTAAGTGCCCTTGATAACACTTCAGCATAGCATCAGCACATACCACAAACGCGTCCCAGCGTAATAAAATCATGACGAGCAGCATTGGTGAAGCAGCGCTTAACAAGACCCATCTGACCGCTGAGATTAAACATGTACCGACGGCCTCCTTCCGAAGGCTTTGAAACCGGATTTAACACAGAGCAATCCTGAATAGTTACATATCTGGACCAAGCAGCGGCAAAGATACCGCTTGCAAAGCACATCGTTGTCACATCAGCCACCCAGCCGTTGATAGTGTTGTCGACCAGAATGGCATACCATCCATGGTTCTCGTCTTCAGAGCTGTTCCGATCCCAATCACTAACAAGACGCAGGTTCTCAACACCGACATCCGAAATTGTCGGGAACTTGTGGATGAGGTCATAGATTCGGGCTGGAGGGTACTTTGGATCCAGACACATCACCATGGGTACGTCAATGATAAATGTTTTCGTTGCCTGGTCAATAGCGACAATCTTGCGCTCGAATCGAAAAGTAAAGGACTTCGCTGTCCATTGTGTTGAGGGTTGCCCGTTGGGTCGTGGCGGCAATTTGTCCATACCGAGATCGCAAATCCATTGGTCGCAGCCCGGACGTTCGATCTAAAATAGGGAATATAAGGGTAAAATCACGGTTCAAAATCCAATGCTCCATATTTTCGTCCACAGCATGTTCATAACAGGACTTACCACAATGCGATCACCAACAGCATATCCCTTAGTGTCTAGTACGGGAATGTGTGTCGCTCCGCAGGGAACAAACACACCAGAACGAGTGTATGTATCGGGCTTTCTGCTCCCTTTATACCCATTCGTTGGCATCATCTCTCTCGTCCTGGCTTTGCAGCGCTGTGTCTCCACACGTCCCATGTCGGATGTAAGCATCCCGTTTACCAAAATGAAGTCGCGCTGAATGTCTCCGGTGGCGATGATGATCGTTCCCTGCTCATCCTGACCCTCGCCTCTAAGGACAACGCCAGAGGCATTGATGATGAGTGCACCGGCAACCCGATAAGTTCCTGCCTTTAGCAAGACTGCGCCCCTGACACGAGCACCGTCCTCACCGACGCACTGTAATGGTAAGGATGCGACATAATCGATTGCTTCCTGAATCCTGCAAGTATCATCCGCGCAGAGGTCAAGAGAAGGCTCGACTACCATCTGAACAGGTATCATTGGAATCCTGACATGTCCCTCTCTATAGCCAACTCTAGAGAAGTTGGGGATAGTGTTGTTGTAAGAGTCCGGCATCATTAAGGCGCTCAGGTCACCGGCATCCATTTGCTGCGACCCTTGATAAAAGGGCGGTGCATGAACGGGCCTATTTTTGAAACAATTACGACAGAGTCAGCAACAATGACCATCTTTTTTCGACGAACGCCAAGGACCAGAGTAGGCGTGAGTATTTACTGCTGTGAGGGAAAGTGGCCCTGCGGCTGCTGATTTCCTGGGTACTGAGAGGCAACCATGGCTTGGTGTTCAGCAGTCTGTGAGGGGAAGGATTGCTTTGGAGGTTGGACTGGAGCATTATTGGCCTCGGTAAGATATTCTATGGAGCCAATAAAAAGTGCATGTTAACACAGAATTTCCAAGGCAGAGAGCTGAGCTTTTTCTCACACCGAGTGCCCAGCAGCAGGTTTACCTCGCATCCTGTTGGCGAGCATTCGCCCTGCACGCTTGCCGATCTGCTCAAGACTCATGGCGAGGATGAATGCGAGGACTAGGAGAATAAGGAGACAGCTATATGGATGAATGGTGAACAAATGCTGTGGTAGTCGAATACAACCATATTAGAACTGTGATTAGTAGGTATTCGTGGCAGGCAGGCAGGAGAGAGTGGATGATGCAACCCATATCAGAGCTTAGACGGCACTATCAAGCGTTGAAATTCTCAGGGCGTTCTCAACTCTGTTAAGACTGCGTTTTGCTGGGCCAGACAACGAGACCGCATCCCTACTGCACAGGCGACCCGACATGACTCGTCAATCGCCCATGTCGAGAAGGTGATGCATTGGTGAAATGCTGCAGCAGGAGGTTTAGAAGGAACGTTATCTTTACCTGTTGTTTTTTTCTTTGTGCTCAGGTTCGAAGTGAAGAGGAATAAAATAAATGAATGGGACGCCATGCTTCCATAATTTATATAAGCCGTATTTTTTTTTTTTTTTCACTGATATCATGCAGCTGCTAAATCGAGGGGATGTAATCGAAATCAGCCGACGTTTACCCGCGCACTTTTGTTGGACTTGGCCGGAGTGAACAGTTCGGAAGGAGGGAGAGGTCATTTTCATTGCGGGGGCGTCGATGGTAGCGGCCCTCTCGCTGTATGAACTTGCGTCTGCCTCACAGCACTTGCAAAAGCTATAGTGCTGAACGTCGCGACATAAAACTTTTGACTAGAGACGCCTATTCATTTTCAAATACAACCGCTGAATCGAAGTTTGGAGCGTATTTACCCGTCCTTCTACAAACCAATGTTCAATATGACCTCTAGTTCAAAAGCTTTTGAACTTCAGTGTTTTCTACGTGCAGTCGCGACCAGATGTCCTGCACTATACGACATTCCAAAGCGTCTATGCGACTTTGGTCACTCATATCGATGATGACGAAGCATTATTTGGCACACAGTCAAGCCGCCTGCAAGAATACTGCCCAGGAAACGTTTGCCGCCTCGCAGAAAGTCTTTGCGGGTCTTTTGCAAACCCCTTTGCAAATTAGCACACTCCCTTCGTCCTCAGTTCACGCCGCCATGACCTACGACAATCTCTGGAAGCAGTTCAATTATCTTTCTCAGCGGTACTCCCAAGTGCAGAAGGAGCATGCATAAAATTAACTCTAACTTATTGTGATCCCTATTAACTTTTGATAGCGAGGTATCGCACTATCGATCAGTCTGCCCCACACCAGGCAGGGGCTGCAAGTGAGGTGCGCTCTACCCTATCGCGTACTAAACCCCCGCAACACCCACCGTGATGTCCTGTCATCCAGCCCACTCGACTCAAGGAGCATGAGCCGTCTGAAACAATGAAACAGTACACATGGAAGGCATGGGAAGAAAGTGCCCGAGAATCCCTTGGTGGCTTTTTCAAGAAGAGCAGAAGAAGAGGAGAGCGAAGAAGGAGGCAAAGACATGGCAAAGAGGAAGGAGCTCTTGGCAATCAGGCTTAGACGGGGGATAGAGCGTGAGAAGAAAAGGATCGAACTGGAGGTGAAGAAGTCGTTGTGGGAGAAAGAAAAACTGGAAGCAGAATCGAACTTCTAGTTTATGACGCGGAAGGCTATGCTAGTGCAGTCAGCCATGAGCAACGGGCTCAAACTGGAGGGTATCAAGGCCATCATGGCCATTGTTAACGATAAGTAGCTGGAATAAAACTGTCTTTATAACTAGACTCTATAGCACTCCTCGCTGACGATTGGTTTCGAGGGTAGTCTTCTTCAAGGTCTCTCTAAAGTTGTTGGCGCCCCTTGGTACATCATTGTTTTCGTCAGTTCTATCTGCAGCCCCATCCTCCAGAAACATCTCCTCCCATGCATCGCCTAGTTGTGCTAGCATGTTGTGGAGTACACAACATGATGCTGTCCATTCAACGAACAGACACATGTCCTTTACATTCCGAACTCGCTGACGCATCTCCCGCAGAGATCCCCACCGAGACTTGAGCACCCCAATGCAGTGCCCGTTACGGACTCTAGACTTTGCGAGGCAGAAGTTGAAATCCCTGTTCTCAGACAAATTTGCCGCCGGTGCCTTGTAAGGTGGAATACAAGTTGTAGTAAGGCCGCAGGCCGAATCCGCAAGCAAGTACTCTCCAGGCGAGAAATGAAAATGAGGTTCCTTGTATATATGCATCCGCTTGAACACAAAGGAGTCCGTACATGGTCCTGGGCAACCAAGATGCACCCCAATGATCCGCTTATCTATATCGCAGCTAATTTGCATAGCAACAGAGTATCTAAAAAAAAAAACAATTTAAAAATTAAGAAAACTGTCTTCAAAGGATTCGCCAGGCGTGGAAGTAAGTTCCTGTTCTTTCCGTCGAAATATGCTTCTCCATCGATGGCTGGTTTTTGGGAAAGGGGAATAGTGGTTCCACCGATGAAGCCTACACAGCCTGGAAGCCCTTCTCTATGCATCGCTTGACCAATCTCCCTTCTTCGTATCTCATCTGGCCATGAGACCCACTGGCCCCTGACTGACATCAAGGCTTTTATGACCCGCTTGGTGTAAAGAGTAACCGTTCTCACTGCAAGACCAGCAAGTACCTGTTCACCATCACAGATGAGCCATTTTCAGCACCGCCAAAACGAGCCAGAGCTATCGCGATCTGCCAGGCAGGATGGAGCTGCGCGCATCTAGAGTTGTTCGAAAAAACAAGGTGGTCCTCGAGTTGCCTCACAAGAGCGGCAAAGCCTTGCCTCGTTGTCCTGAATATTGACCGAAACTCGTCGTCGTTGAGTGTTGGAAACGTTTCGACGAAAAAATGATCATCTCGATGTCGCCTAGTACGGTCGTCAATGAAGGGAGACGACGAGATGAATGCATATAGAGCCATAAACTCTTCTGCTTCCTCATGGTCGTCGTTATCGTCAGCCAAAAATACCGCCAGTTCCAGGTCGCGAAGAAGCTGTTTGCGTTCGGAGATTTTAAGCATGGGTGAAAAAAAAGGGCATGCTTCGTTTGACTGGGCGCTGTTTTTGTCACCATCACATCCGTATTTTGAAGATACACCTGCCCTCAGGCTGGTGTATTTCTGTCATACGTATTGTCGTCAAATGCAAGCCTATTTTGACGTACGCATTTGGAAATACACATCAAAATTACTGTGGCGAGGACAAGAGAAAAAAAATGGAGTATTGTCTATGCGAATGTATTATTATGAATTGAAATCAGTTGTGGATGCGTAATAAAAAAATGCGTTTCTAAGAACCCTTGGCCCTGGAATCGGTACAGACATACAGAATAGGACATTTCAAAGGAAACCGGGAGATCGTTATGGCTCGTTATGATGGGGTATATATGCGAAGATGAATGCAGACGAAGGAAAGAGAGAAGAGGAGGCAGTGGAGTTCTCGGAAACAAAGGACACTAAAGGGAAAGGAAGAACAGAGATAGAATGAGGGCTATCTTTATACTTTTTGTCTTTAGGACGAGTTTGGAAAATCGTTGGCCTTGGGCGCGTCCTCCGACCCCTCGACAATGGCATTTCGTCTGCGGAAGGTATACGAAGACGGCTTTGGCCTGCCACCTTCGCTCTCGTCTCCCTCAACATCGTCGTTTCCTCCATCATTTCCTTCTTGACCCGGATGCACACCAGATGGAACTGGGCTGGCGCCACCTCCACGACCGCCAGCACTAACACTGCTGCGACCCCCTGTGCCCATTGCTCGTGATCCTCCAAAAACATATGTCGACCGCATCGGGCGTTGATAAGTGTATTCGGACTCGTAGTGTGCATCACAAAGCGAAAGCGGAGAGCCAGGCAAGTCCGCCCGAAAAGTCGCTGGAGGAAGCGGTACTGGACCATGGTGCTGCTGTTGGCATGATGTGAACGCGTCAGTCTTTGATCCAATGCCGAGATGGGCCTGCGCTGATACAGATGAAGAGTCTGTGAGGGAAACCAATCCGCCCGCGGATCGGCTTTGTCCATTCCAGGACTCCTCAGTGGAAGCCAAATCATTTCTTCGGTTTTTTGGAGCCGCAGCAGAAGGCGCACAGCATGCCGCCTCTTTCATGTGTCTAGGCCGGCTAGAGGAACACGACGACAGGGCCCACAGCGCTTCGGAGTGGGGCTGAGTCGTGTATGTGTAAAGGAGCTCAGCGGCTGTAAGGTCCTCTCGTCGATAAAGTTGCTGCTTTCGTACGGAGAGGCGTCTTGTGCGAATGACGTTCTTCTGTGGGCCCAAAAGACCAAGGCCATCATCGTAGATCCGGTTGCAAATGCTGGACATGGTAGTATGTGTTTGTGTTATTTGGCTTGTGCGACGGTCCCTAGCGAGGGCTCTGGTGTAGACAGGGTAGAGAAACGTCTAGTTGAGAAAAGGGAATAAAAGAGCATTCTGAGGTTAGCTTTCAGCTTGCACGCTTTTATGGAGAGACGAAGGGCTTTAGACGTGGTTATTGGGACCGCTAGGAGCCAAAGGAGCAGGGAGTAGAGACTGAAGGAAGTAGGAGTGCTCCCTCGAGTATCCTTAAAATGAAGGGTAATGCAAAGAGGAAAGAGAAGGGTGCAGAGGACAGACGAGAACCGAGATCGTATTGTTACCCTGCAATGGCAGCTGTTAACTGAAAGAGAAGAAAAGGCCCGGTGTAGGGTGTGTGTGTGGTGGTATCGTGTTGAAGGAATGCGGGATAGAAGGTATGGATCAAATTGTCGAGGCAACAAGACAAGACGCGATCTCTCGAGGTCGTGGTTTCCGCCTTTATATAGATATGTAACAGGTGCGGAACGAACGTGAAGAGCGGGACCATCTTCAGTAGATGCAGTCGAGCAGTAAGTGCATAATCGGCGGACAAAATGAAGGAGAGACGAGCCCGTAGGACGATGAGGGAGAGGAGGGCGGCCGTGTCGATGATGCGTTCGAAGGGCACCGACTCGGCGATGCTGTCACATCTTTTCCTCCCCGGGGCACCAGCGTCGTCGACAATTGACGACGGATGTCATGTATGACGAGCAAACGTTAAAAATAACGGTCGAGGATCAAGCAAGACAGCAGGACTCAGGGCTACGAGGGAACATTTGTGTGTGCAATAAACCCGCCCGAAGGGATGTGACAAAAGGGAGGAGGACTCACGTTTTTTTCCTTTGTCGGTGTTAATGCTGTCCGTCGATGGGGACGGGAATGCAGAAAGGGGAGAAGAGGAGTGAGGAGGCACAGAAGAGAGAAAAGAGAGAGATCAAGAGGTGTGATTCAGCCGTAGAGGGATCAAATGCGAGGACGACAAAAAGGGGGCAGAAGCAGCGCAGGAGGAGAAGTACGAATGGTAAAGAGGATTGAGGAAATGCAAACGAGAACTGTGAGAGAGGAAGAAAGAGAGGAGATGGACACCATCTGCTGCATGCTCAAATACTTTTTTTTTTAGTTGCTGCAGGACCCAAGAGACCAATGGACCCCGTCGCCACCAGCTCATCGGCCTCATCATCATTATCACCATCTGTTAGCTGTCGTGGGTGTTTGTTGTTGTGTTGTTGTTGTTGTTATTGCATTACAAAAATACTCTTTTGTTTTACTAATACTTTTACATGCGGAGCAAAAGCAAATGAGTGAATGAATGGGATAATCAATCAGATAGGCATTGAGCGCAATTAAAAAAGAAAGAATAGTCTATAGACCATGTAGACTATGCTATGCACCATTAAACGGCCTTTGTTTCTTGTCGCTCCCCGACGGGGGAGCAGAGCAGAGGACGGGACACATCTTCTGAGCACCCGCCATGAGCTGCAGGTCTCCATGTGTCGTGCTTTTATAGAAACATAGACACCAAGCAGACCCTGACGCAGTATTCATCCGTAGTCCCAGCCAAAAAAGGGAGATCTACAGGCGATTGTTGGTTGATATATCTGGATGTATCTCGTAGACATCCGGCAATCGAATTACTCTCCACACTCGCCTCTGATGTTCCCTTCCCCTTTATCGATCATCACTCTCACCAATGGTCCGATAAAGAAAGAAAGGATAGCAGTAATGAAATAATAGGACTTCTCAGTCTACAAATGAGCCTACATTCTTATTTTCATTTTAGCGCCGATAATTTGACCACCTTGCCTTGAAGACAGCGCCGAGCCGTTGGGCAACAAGGCTATGTGCGCCCCTCCTCTAACAATATGACACATGCCGAAAGCATGGGGCAACAGTTAAATGAACGGAACTGGGTTTAAGAGCGGGTGCGGTGTAACCATCACCGTTCATTTCCCATTCTTCTTCCACCTCTTCTTCCCCCTCCTCCTACCCGCCGCCGCTCACCGCTCATGCTGAAGTCAAATGCCATGTTTTCTTTTTCCCTCCAAACTGGAAACTGGAGTACACACAGACACAGGTACACTCGTGCTTATCCTATCTCTGCTGATGTATATTCTGCAGCAAATGTAACATCGCAATCGATCGGCTCAGCATTCGCTGGCTGGCGTGTTAGGCAACTGAAATAAGCACTGCATTGTACCTGAGCTCTGCATTAAATGCAAGGGTTGGATGGGGCCCAAGATCACTTATTGTGTAATAGCCTGGGGCATGCTGCAGTCGCGGCCATGGTCCTCAGCATTTACCATTAGAGGGGAGACCAAACGAAAAAAAAAAAAAAAAAAAAAAATAGATGCTCAGAAAAACTTATTCAGTGCTCGACAAACAACAAAGTAACTTGTAGCCTTATTCATCGCTGCTCTCGTTTTTTTTTTATACATTTTACAATCCACGCCATGTTAAACCATGCATGCTTGCAGCATGCGGTCCATACACCCATATATTTTTTTTCAAGATAGCTTTGCCTATCAATCATACCAATCATCGCATGGCGCCTTGTCACCCGCCTATGCGGACCATACACTTACAATAGAAAAAAGAGAATTAGAAAAAGAAACGAAACTGAGATTGTTTGATTCAGTAGAGTGTCAGTCTTTAGATACAGTACCCATGGTCTGCCGCATGTCTGCATGCTCGCTCATGTTGACACAAAAAACAACAATCCTGCATAGGGTGACCTGGGTAACCATGGGCAAAACCATGCGCCGGACCGTTGCACCCCGTTCTTGTCCTCCTACATCTTACTCTCTGTTTCCTGAAGTTCCCGCGCTGATGTACATGTACAGTAGCCAACCTATCCTCGTGGCTATCCTGATGCCATACTTTGAACGTCTCTCCTCCACAAAAAAATAGAAAAAAGACGTAATCTGCAAAAGAGTATGCCAATCTCCCGCGCATCTTTGATATTTCCTAATTGCTGTCTTGCCTCATCTACAAACCTGCAATGGTCAAGGGTCCTCTTCAATATGTAATCGTTGGTTGACGTATAAAAAAAAAACGTGCTGCACGCACAGCATCATCAGAATCAGGGGCATGTCTTGACCATTCGTACCTTGAGTATTGTCGACCATGGCTTTCAAAAATACACTAGCGCAATCAAGAGTCAGGGGGTGGTCTAAAGGCCACGTTTTGCTCGCATGGCATTTATCGGGGAGGATTGAGCACTCGCAAAAGCTGGACATGATTGAAAATTGGCTAAACGACAGAGCAGCTCAAGAATAACTTTTTTTTTTGTTCTCGTAAGGACGCAAGGTTCAAATTGCGAGGCAGTTTTTATTAAAAACCATCCGTTTTCCATGCCAGCCCATGGTTCGCAAGAGAAGACAGAAAAAAAAAACTCAATTGCTTATATACTAAACAGGAGTAAGAGGATGGATCGGGGTCTTTGGCCTTTTAGACAAGCTTTCCGATCAAGAGACACTCAATCTTTTGTCCCGCAGCAACACTGGATCGTTTGGAGGTCCTTCCTGGGAGCACCATCAGACTATTGGCACCCAGCATCGTTACCATCCGACTACTCATCTGATTCTTGTCCGTGGACTGGGCTTGGATATGTCCTTCCGGTGTGACAGAGACGATGGCACGCTGGTACTCTGGTCGCTCATCTAAACGAACGTCATGCGTAATCTACGGCAACACAAGGGACATGCATTTTGGTAATGACGCATGAGTACAGATGCAAGATTGTGTGCAACCACTGCCCAGGGGCATCATCAATCGAATCGAGACTTCCATGAGAACATCTCCAACGCTCGCCTGCGTCCTTACCTCTGCTTGGATGCTTGGCCACATGTACTTTTCGTAACCCGCCAGCTTTCGAAGTGCAGGGAGAACAAACAAGTGGAAGGTCACAGTTGCTGAGACTGGATTGCCTGGCAGACCAAACATGAGTCTGGGCTGTCCGCCATTGGGATTTGGAACCGTAGCGAATGTTGTCGGTTTTCTATTATTGAGTCAGCGGAAACATAAAGCCGAGAATGAGTAACATGCAAGCAGAAACGGGGAGATTGTCGGATGGCGCAGACTAAACTCTTTTGCGATGTATATGTTCTGCGTACCCTGGCTTCATCATGATGCGACCAAAGTGAATGGTTGCACCGATCTTTTGCTCCAGAATGGGCTTGAGGAGATCCATCTCTCCCATGGAAACACCGCCGGTAGTGACAACAATGTCACACTTTTCTAATCCGCTCCTCACGGCGGCCTCCAAGGCTTCAGGACTATGTTTTGCATGATACATTATTCTTAGTAAGGCGCAATTATTTTCCCAGTGTTCTGCATATATACTTTGCAGCCCATGGTTTCAACTTACCTATCAGGAGCGATACCCAAGTCCAAATGATGGAACCCCGCAGCTTTTGTGGCGGCAATGAGCGTTGGTCGATTGCTGTCGCGGATCTGTCCCATTTTCAAAGGCAAAGCATAGTCATGGTTGACGACCTCGTGTCCAGTCGACAAGAATCCCACCACAGGCCGTTGTCGTACAAGCACCTGCAGGTTAGACAACAAAAAAGGGGAAAAAAAAAAAAGATTGTGCCACGTTTTAGTTTGCCACGTGTATTGAGACGTATATCCCGCGCGGATGAATAAAAGTCCCAAGATGGAAGATCTGCATAAAGGGATTGTTTGTGTGCATGTGTGCAAAAGTGCATGAATATGCAGAGCAGTATGCACCCTCAACGTTACCTTGCGAACGCCAATAGACGCCAAGACTCCAATCTCACCACCGACTGCAGAGACGACTTGACCCTTTTTGAGCACCGTTTGGCCCACCTGCACATCTGACCCGATTTCTCGAATTGCTTCGCCGCGGCGGACCTTAGCCAGGATCTCCACAATCTCCTCGCGTGTTCCGTCCTCTGACGACTTGATTAGCTGCGTATCTTCCACCATCACTACAGCTGTGGCGCCTTCGGGTACAGGTCCTCCTGTAGTAATTCTTGCAATCTGTCCCGGGAGAAGTCTCGTCACTGCGCTTTCCGATGTAGCAGCCGCAATCGAGACTGCGGTCACTGGATATTGACCTGGACCATCGGCGTCTATAGCAACAAAAGAGTAAATAATCCCGTGTCAACAAAATATAACTCGTGTAGGATAGAGAGTTGACAGTACAGCACATACCGATGACCGCGTATCCATCCAAAATGGAGGCACGATATCCAGGAACTGCCTCGACTGCCACGACGTCCTCATCTAAAACGGCTCCAATCAACGCCTCGTCCACAGGCTGTTCCACAGAAGAAAGTGGTACAATCCTGTCCATGACAGCCTTCATGGCCTGATCCATTGGAATCAAAGGATATGGTGACTTGCGAAGCCTTCGTGGTACTAAATCCCAACAGATATACAATATGATTAGTCAATGAAAACAGTCTCTGCCCTCAACGCAGAATCATATTCTGCGTCCTCGTTAGGCCTACCAGGTGTATCCAAGCCGAGCGAGGCAGCATCCGATCTCACTTCTCTGTCACTGTGATGGAAACAAGTATGTCCACCGTGCCCGTGTCCATGTTCATGCCCATGACCATGCGAGCTGCCAGACTTGGTATCCTTATCGGCAGCCACACCTGAGGGTCGTGGTCCTCCTTGCATTTTCTCGTGCACCTTCTTTCCTGTGCCCCCTCTCACGAGATCAACGGCATGCGGCAGCATCTTGGACAAGGCTTCAAAGTTCTCCTTGACTGCCTTGGGACTTCCAGGGAATGTAATGATCAGAGTCTGACCACGGATCCCGGACACAGCTCTACTGAGAGCCGCGAATGGTGTGATCTGGATGGACTTTGCAAAAATCGAGTGTGTAATTCCTGGCGTCTGTTTCTCCAGAAGCGGTTGAACAGCCTACGTAGCATTTAAAAAAAAAAAAAAGCAGGGGTGAGTAAGATGTTAAAGACAGAAAGCAGCCAGGAAAATAAAAGAACCATGGGCACCAATGGAGTACTGTCGGCGTTCTTGCAAGTCCATTTACCTCTGGGGTACAGTCCCGGACGCCAAAGCCCGTTCCACCAGTGCTTAGGACAAGGTGAAGATTGAGATCGTCGCACCATGCGGTAATGGTTTTCTGAATGGTTTTGAAGTCGTCTGGTACGATCGCTCTCGTCTGGACAGTATACCGTGGCTCCGCTTCGAGCAATTGACAGAGAGCGGGTCCGCTGGTGTCCGACGCAGGATCCAGTGAAGCCGTATCACTGACTGATCCGTCCCGGAAAGAGTAAGGCAAAATGAGTGTTGAGTCAATTAGTCAATTGAGAGCAGACCCAAGACGCGTTGGCAAACGGGCAAGTGCGCAGACACGTTTTCTATAAGCTCCAAGAGGCCGAGCTGGTAACAAATACTTACTTGTGAGGACTCCGACGCGCAGTTGATCAGTCATTTGATGGAATGAAGTGGATGTGATTAAGAGAGGAGGATGGTATGCAATGGCACAGAGAAAAGTGGAGAGAGTGCGATGCGGAGAACTCTATTCGGCGTCAAGACTGGGTCATGACCCCCCGCACGGCGTCACATTTTTCGCGCCACCAATCTCTCACGCGTCGCACTCAGATATCGCACGCTTATGAACCAAATATTGCTGCTGTTCAGGTCCCACTTCAGTTAAAAAATAAGCGTCAAATGATATCGAGAATTGTTCTTAAGCAATCTGATAAGCAAATGGGCCTACACCAAGGAAATGGCCCTAGCGATCCGAAGACACCTTTCTGAATGTTGCTGGAGCACAACCGGATCGGCTCTACTGCTTTCGAAAAGAAGAAATGGATAGATGTTTGCAAGCCATCAGTGCGAATGCACATTTTTCCATTACTTTTCGTCCTTCCTTCGCTTCATTCTGCAGGTGGCCTTTTATAACAGGTGCAAATGAGCCTGGTGGAAATACGATGGGGTTACTCGCGCTGCCTATTCCTATATTCTTCTGCTAGTTGATAAACGGGAGACCTGAATCATTGCGCGGGCACCAATCGGTACTTATTTGCAAGGCATAAGGTTGACGAAAAGCAAAGCGGTTGAGGTTCTAAACTTCTAATGAGGGGGTTATGTTGCTGTTGCTCTACACCTTCGTTCAATTGACCATGGACCAAACTATGTTCCACACTCACATCTATCTTTTACCATAATTAATCATATCTTACAAGAAGCTGTACATTTGATTCTCTGCTCTTTATTCTCATGATTAAAAAAACAAATAAGGATCAAGGATATGGAGTTTTCAAGGTTGCTCAAATATGCATTAAGCCAGAGAGGATTTACTCGTCATCCTCATCACCACCAGCATCCTTGCTGGCAGCGGCAGCAGCACGCTTTCTCTTGACACGACCGGCACGTCCACCACCATAGGGAGAGGTGAGGGAGAAATCGATGTGCTTCTGGGAGTCGAGGCGGACAACGAAGGAGGGGATATCGACGACCTGTTTGCCGACGCTATTATTATTCAAAGCGATTGTAGTAAGATAAAATCAGTCAAGTATCTTTCCTCTACTATAATAAAGCTAAAGAAAATACAAGCTCCTGAATAATACAACGATAATGATAGCAAAAGCCGTGGCACATGCCAAACTTACCGAATGTGACGCTGGCGGATCAAGACACGGGCGTGGTGGATGGACTTGGCAAGACCGAGCTTGAAGACCTGGGTCTGGAGACGACGCTCCAAGAAATCCTCGATCTTCAAGGCCAAGACGTAATCGAGCTTCATCTTGTCCTCATCCAAGACACCGATACGGACCAGACGGCGAATCAAGGCGTTACCCTCGAACAGACGGCGGGGGTCCTTGTCCTCGAGCGTCAAGAGCTCACGGGCAGCACGACGGATGTTGGACAGGGTGTAACCAATGCGCCAGATCTCGCGCTTGTTGCGGAGACCGTACTCTCCGACGAGCTTCAACTCCTGGTCGAGGCGAGCGGCCTCGAAGGGACGACGGGGAACCTTGTAGGTCTTTGAGCAGTTCTTGGGAGCTCCGGAAGGCACTGTTGTTGCGGTAGTGGTGGGTAGTGGTTGGAAGTGGTACAAGTGATAATGTGAAAGAATTGGGCGATTAGTCCATTGTTTTCAATTATGCTGATATTCCTGCTTCCTTGAAACGACGCAGAGAACTGAAAACGAACAAATGCTAAGCAAAGGCGATGTGGGATCAAATCTCTGGCATGGATCGAATTGCAATTTCGAAAAATCAAAATCGTCTCCATGCCCCCCTCTGGTGAGATGATAATTGCGATGATCCCCAGAAAAGCCAATGCCCTGTGTTCGTCCGTCCCTCGTTGCTCTTTGCTGGTCCCTGTGGTATCATTTCGTTTGCGAATTGAAATGCATATGGATCCGATGATTACTGGTTGAAAGTGAAAGAAGGATCCAACTCTATTCGTCAAGCTGCCCTTCTTGTATGGATGGCCCAGGAAAAAAATTGGCCACACAGAAAATGCATATCATGTGACATCTTCGGGTGCACCCACCGGTAATACCTCCCGAAGGTGCCTGGGAAAGGAAACCAACCACCTTCACTTCTCTCATCCCTTCCCGGCAACGACATCTCGCCATGGCGCACCTTGCCCGGTCAACTTCCTTGCGCAGTCTCTCTCGCGCCTGTAAGCTCTTGAAAAAACCATCGCTTCAATGTCTCCCTTACTCACTCTATTTGCCTCGAGTATGAAAGTGGTCTATGAGGTCGTGGCACCCGCGTTTTTTTTTTCTTTGACCCTAATTACTCCGCTCCATTTTTCTTCTTGAACAAATTCTTAGCACAACTATCGCCTGTCAGATCGTAAGTGCTTCTCATCTGTCTCCGAGATACTTCTTCTACAGGAAATGGCTGCCCCCAATTGTCGTGCCTGCTTTTCCCCCCCTCTAACACGCGCGCGTTCCTTGTTTTTTTTTTTTTTTTTTTTTTAATTCAGATCATGGTCGCGTGCGGTCGTTTCTCAAAGCCGGTCCTACTCCGCGGCGGCACCGAAGACTCAGCGATCCTCAGTCTCTTTCAAAACGGTCGTGGCCCTCGGAGCCGCTGCTGCTGGCGCTGTCTTCTGGAGCCAGATGCCTGCAGTACGTCCTCAATTGATCTTTTCGAGAAGAACCCCCTCGCAGTGTGCAACTAGGCTTTCAGATTGCTAAATCGAAGATTTGTAACGTCGCGATGTATTACTAGACGAAGCAGGCTGAATGCGAGGCACCCAAGAAGGCGGAAAAGAAACCCAGCAAGACTGCAGAGGCTGATCAGAAACGTGTAAGGGACTTGATGACACCACACTGACGACGCGCAGTTGCATATCGTATGTGCTATCTAATACGAATTACTTATTTCTTCATCTACGATCCAGAAACTTGAGGGTCTGACTGAGGATTCACCCATGCGTCTGCGCATGGAAGCCTTCAACAAGAAACTTCAGGCTGAGATCACCTCCAGGATCGAACAACTTGACGGTGAAGGAAAATTCAAAGTCGATCAGTGGAATAGGGTCGAAGGTGGAGATGGCATCTCCATGGTTCTCCAGGACGGCAAGGTTTTCGAGAAGGCCGGCGTCGGTGTATCCGTCGTGTACGGTATGCTTCCACCCGCGGCTGTGGCTCAGATGCGCGCCCAGCACCCCAACATTGCCACCACAAAGGAGGCCATGCCCTTCTTTGCCACCGGTATCTCCTGTGTGATGCACCCACATAACCCGAATGCGCCCACGGTCCATTTTAACTACCGGTACTTTGAGCTAGGAAGCGTCGACGGCGGCGAGCCTGTTTCTTGGTGGTTCGGCGGCGGATGTGATTTGACACCGGCGATTCTTTATGAGGAGGACGCGGTGCACTTCCATCGGGTCATCAAGGAGGCCTGCGATAAGCATGATCCGCGGTATTATAAAGACTTCAAGAAATGGTGCGATGAGTATTTCTATATCCCACATCGGGGCGAGCGTCGAGGTGTCGGTGGAATCTTTTTCGACGATCTGGACGACAAGAAACCAGACGAGCTCTTTGCGTTCGTCCAGACCTGCGGCAAGGCTTTCTTGGATCAGTATGTTCCCATCATGGAGAGGAGGAGGGATATGCCCTTCACGGAAGAGGATAAGCTGTGGCAACAGCTTCGTCGTGGACGCTATGTCGAATTCAATTTGGTCTATGACCGAGGCACCAAGTTTGGACTTCTCACCCCCGGAGCGCGTATCGAGAGTATTCTGATGACAATGCCACTGACAGCGAGGTGGGAGTACATGCACGAGCCAAGCCTCAAGGCCCACGGCCGGCTCATGGAGGTCCTTCGCACGCCCAAGGATTGGATTCCTTTGTAAAAATGGAGCGCTTAGATTCCATTTAAACGTACGCCGCATCTTGTAAAAACATATAACTTCAGTTATCATTTTAGAGGGCATAGTATTTTACAAATGCACCAGAGTTAAAGTACAATCGGAAAAAAAAAGTGAATCCATATCTATTTGTCGACACACAAAAAAAAAGAAAAAAGAAAAATGCATAGAGATCTACTGCCGATCCATGGTCTTCCTTCCTGGCTAAAAACAGCACCCTTGCTGAATCCCATTCTGTTCTGTATCCCGTAATTTTGTCCGCTTCATGTGTTTCATGTTTTCCTTATGCCTTTGTTGAAGTTGCATCAAAGACCTTGCCCTCCTTCGCTGCACCGCCGCCGAGCGACAATTCTCTGACTTTGGCCTCCAGATCCGCGAGCTCCCACTTGTTCGAACTCAGGACTTTAGGAATATGACGGGCAAGGGCCTTGCTCTTGAAGCCCGGTGTCGTCTTCACCTCTTTCAAATTCGCCTCGACGATTTCCTTGATCGATCCGGCCTTCCCTTCTTCCTGTCGTGCCAAGGCCCTGAGCAGCATCTGATTCTTGAGATCGCCGGGTCCGTCGATCAGTTCGATAACGGCCACGGGTGCATTGTCACCGAACCGGTTACCGAGTTTGTGGATGCGCGTGTACCCGCCCTTTCGGCTCTTGAAACGCTCAGCCAAGGGACCGAACAGCTTTGGCAATGTCGTCTCGTGTTCCTGTCAAGAGAGTGAAAATTGAAACGAAGGGGGTTGGTTTAGCGCGAGGGAGGAGTTTTTACATGGGTGCGATGAATGTCCTTCTGGATCCTAGCTTTTGCAATAACATACTCTGAGGAAAGATGCAGCCTGGACCTTGGCATGCAAATCACCGCGCTTTCCGAGGGTGATCATCTAGATAAATCGTACAATTTGCTCCTGTTAACAAACATTATGCTTTTCTTCGGAGAATGTAAGCGTGTATCCTGATCCCTGTCTTTCAACACGGCCAAAGAGACAAGGTTGAGTCAGCTGAGAGCATTGCTACGACGTGTAGCTGTTTCTCTTGCAGTACCTGGTCAGCAAGGGCCTTGAGCTCCTGAGCTTTTGGAAGAGTCGTCTTGATACGATCGTGCTGAATCAGCTGTGTGACCAAGTTCCGGAGCATCGATTTGCGATGCGACATCGTCCTGTTAAGACGGCGAAAGTGTTTTCCATGATGCATCCTGTATTATATGAAAGTCGGTTCGTTGGGAGAGAGAGAGAGAGAGAAACGATGGTCGGCACTGGAGCAGGGTCAAGGGTTGCTTCAGAGTAGGGTTCAAAAGGTTCAAGGAGCAGTTCCTGCCCCCGGTTTGTTTACATCATGTGACGTACATTTTAGAGTTTATGGTTCAATGCAAGTGGGAGACCATGGGCCTTTCTTTACTTGCCATACTTGGCCAGCCAATCCTTCTTCCACTGACTATCCTCCTTAGGAACGACCATAAATCGTGCAATACCGTCTCTGAGGATATACTTCGAATGCGAGAGCACCGTTATGAACTTGACGTTTGGGCCGACCTTCATCAACCCCAAGTTTCCACCACTATCTTCCGTCTCAAAATACGTCTGTACTGTCTCAGGCTTATACTTGTGCTCCGGATCCCACGGTGCCGGTTCATAAAAGATCTCGGCCAACTGCTCTCCAATCGCATCCTGCTCATTAAACGCCTGAATAAGATCCGACTCATTATGCTCCGGGTACAAAAAGAACGTCGGAATCGTCAACTGATCCAAATCCTGGTCCAACTGAAGCTCGTGCGGATGATCCGGTTTGAATCCCGGAGTCGCTGCCGTCTTGATTTTACGCTTCTTTAGTGCAGTCTCGATTATCATCTTTTTTTCCCGAATCTTTTGTTCCCGCAGCTCCTTCTCTCGCCTGATCTGTTCCTTGCGATCAAATTCTGCCTGGATCTTGGCCCGCTCGTCCTTGACTGCCTGATTATCGGGCTCGGCATTCAAGGCATGGTCGCAACAGTCAATGGCCTCGGGGTACATTTCTAGTGTGAACAGAGCCTTGGCGGATCGGAAGAGGGCCTTGACATTCTTGGGGTTTAGCTTAAGGGCGTGGGCGCAGTCGGTCAAGACCTTCCTGTAATTGCCTGCGGCGCATCCAGAATAAAGCGTCGAAGGAGAACCATAAAAATTGAGTACACGGCAATGTTATCCCTTGCAAGCAATTGGTTCCTATTTGCTTGTCAAAGATCACTTCCTAAAAGCCCTTACCGAAATGGAGGTTGCAGGCGGCACGGTTGACGTAGAGAGTCTCATTCAATTTGTCGTCCTTGCAGAACACCTCCAGACCATTGGTATAAAAAACAAGGGCATCCTTGTAGAACTTCTTTCCTTGCTTAAAACAATCGTTTCCTTGGTTCTTAAAGTTTTCGGCCACCTCTACAAATTCGTAGGAAAGGTGTCAGGGTCGGTCTCGCTCTCCTTCATGGCTTAAAGCTGGTTGCTGGTAGCAAGACCAACCGGTACTATAGCCAATTGTACTACGGAATCACATACTCCTGAAGCCAGCCATTACCTTCAGGTGTTCCATCGTAGGCGAGATCCTGGAGCGCCAGAATAAGAGGGTTTTCGCTGGCGTCCTCGGGCAACTTGTTCATGAACAAGGGGACTGAATCCATTTCCTTGAGAAAGTCGTTTTCGTCCAGAGCCCATTCCGGACGAGCGGGTCTCTCTGGTCCCGGTAAGGGGATGCCGGTTTTTGTTCTCCTGATGCCGTCCTCAGCCATGGTTGGAACGAATATGAAAGTGGAGAAAACGGGAAGAAGGAAGGAGGGTTAGTGTGCTCTGTAGAAAGAACGACAAACAGTTGTGTTTTTCTGAGACCTTCTTTTCTGCGCACAGATGATAGACAGTCACCCTTCCTAGGAACTGTTCTCAATGACTGCTCTGGTCAACGATTGGGTTATCTGGTTATTGGTTACAGTGGTTATTAGAACGAGCCTCTTTTTATTTTGCAGCTCCTTCTTGCTGTCGCCTGCTTCCCTATTAGTTGTAGGTCATGTACTTGGGCGTACTGCTGAACTTGGCATACGACTTGATGACCTTATTCACCGCCTCTAAGAAATCCTTCTCCGTCGCCACCTTTCTCCTCGCCCGAATCGCAAACATCCCCGCCTCTGTGCACACCGACCGCAACTCCGCTCCTGTACTGTTCGGGCACAGCCTCGCAATCAACTCATATCGAATATCACGCTCCACACTCATCGACCGCGCATGGATCTTCAGAATATGTGCTCTTCCCTCGAGATCTGGGAGTGAAAACTCGACCTTACGATCCAAACGACCTGGTCGCAGCAATGCTGGATCCAATGTATCAGGTCTGTTGGTCGCCATCAATACTTTAATGTTTCCACGCGAGTCGAATCCATCGAGCTGGTTGATCAACTCCAGCATCGTACGCTGCACCTCATTGTCGCCTCCTGCTCCATCGTCGAAACGCGCGCCTCCGATAGCATCGACTTCGTCAAAGAAAATGATGCATGCTTTCTTCGTCTTGGCCATCTCAAACAGCTCTCGCACCATACGTGCGCCCTCTCCAATGTATCTGTGAAATAATATAATTCGAGCGTTAGATCAATAGTATCCCGTAGTTATCAAGCTCCGCTTAGGCAGCAAAACATTACTTACTTTTGCACCAACTCGGATCCAATGACACGAATAAACGTTGCATCTGTACGATTTGCTGCAGCACGAGCGCACAGCGTCTTTCCGGTTCCAGGAGGTCCATACAGCAGCACTCCCTTGGGCGGGTCGATTCCCAAATTCACAAAACGTTCCGGCTGCAACAATGGTAGTTCGACCACCTCCCTCAACTTTTCAATCTGCTCCTTGCATCCTCCAACATCACTGTAGGTCACATCGGGCTTTTCCTCGACCTGCATCATCGTCACCGAGGCATCGATCTTAGGTGGCAATGGGATCTGAATATGATACTTTGTGCGGTCCACTCTGTCATAGAAACAAATATAAAATACAAAGAGAGGTCAGTCAGTAATCATTGTGGGGTTACCTTCTTGCGTGATAGCGTGCGTTTGCACCTTTTAGATACTTTGTATAGAATCTCTTACCCAACTCGAATGCCCTCGTCAATATCGGTCGGGGAAACCTTCTCACCCAGGCCGACGACAAACTTGGCGATCTGCTTGACATTAATCACATACTTCGCTGGTTCATCTCCTGTTGCCTGGATGATCTTTGTACATCTTGCAACCTGTACCCAAGTCGAAACCGAAGGTGACGAAAAAAAAAAAAAAAAGTAAATTGATTTCATGGTATTAGGCAATGAATCAGCTGTCGTGATCCACAACGCCTGTTGCCAGCCGTTGCTCAAAACCGTATCTCCATTGCTACTGTCTTCCGTACCTGCAGCGGCTGCTCTTCTCCCATGCGCTGCTTGTCTGCAGGAATGTCCCACAGACTCGGCGGTGCCAATCCTGTATCCGACTCTTTAACGCCAATCTTTTCGTTCACGCGCTTCTGTGCATCCTTGATATCGTTCTCCAATTTCTTCAAGTCTTTGGCATATGGTCCTTGACCCTAATGAAGCAGCATGAGGTTTTAGTTTGAACACGGTCAACGACGACAGATCAGACATCCAGACAGGCAGAAGAGCCGCGCAAGAAAAAGCCATATGAAAAAGTGATGGTCCGGATGTACGACGCAAATCAAGGAGACATACATATGTCTTTAGCAAAGCAATATCGCCCTCATCCAAGGCGACGATATTCTCCATCTCCTTGTCATCGACGGGCTTGTTGTCTATGGCCAGAGAAGGTCGGTCGAGTCAGTCAGCAAAATAAGTTTTTGGCCACAAGCGAGTTCCTTAGTTTCCTGGATAGCGCTCCACACACGTCAAAGCCGTATTTACATTTCTCCCAGTTCTCTTTTGGTGGTGCCATGATGTTGAGTTGTTGTTGGGTAGCGTGCTAATGAGATGCAGTTCGTGGTGATGGCGGTCAAAATGCTAAAGCGAGGATGAAAGGAAGGTTGATTCACATGCACTGCGTGCGTGGCATGCCTTATTGTCCCAAAAAGGAAGGAGAGGACGTCATGGTTATTTTTGACATATCTCACGTGATCGTCGACTCCATATAGAGTCCAATTAATTCGACAACTTGTGGCTGGAGAAATTTGCGTTTCGAGGGCAACTCATCGCACGTATATTTTCAAGGACCAATTAAAATACAGCACCAGCATAAGCGCTGGGACTTTCACCATTCCCGCCCTTCTCTCATCGCTCACTGTTGCCATCACATACACATACACGCACATTACACACACCTCTCTCCTTCGACATCACAACAGGTAATTGGTCGTCCTTTGTCAAATGCTACACTTGCCTCCGCATCTTTTTCGTCTACCTGTTCCTGCTAAGGAGCTGTGGAGTTGAAGACCGTTCTCGCCACAGCCAAAGGTGAGTTGCCACTTTCGAAACGACCGTTCGGATTAGAAAGCGGTTCCTTTTGTTGTTCTCTCGACTGAATGTATTTGCACATTTTGGCTGTTATTCTCTATGTCGCTCTCTGATCACGACCGTTCGGATTGGAAAGCGGCCCCATCACCTCCATGTTTGCACGCGCTGTATATTTTCTCCATCGAGACTAACCATGTTCCAATTCTCAAACTCCCATCCCCTTCGCTCCTGTTCTACACCCTTTAGCCTTTGATACATCCATTCGACCCACTGTCTCTGCTTTCCTGTCCAGGAAGTAATCGCACAATGGCAGGATTCCCTACTATGGATAGGCTTATCGCTGTACGACCAGTTGTAAAGGGTGTAGACAGCTTTTTCAACGACGTTGCAATCCACGGACCCCGCTCACATTTGCGAATTATGCGAGCACCACGAGTTGGAAGGACTACGGAAAATCGATCGACAAACTTCGACGGTCAAATACCTGTCTGAGAGCATTTGCCGCTCAGTGCCATGAATGGTTGATTGACCCCAGCAACGGAGACGCACTCGATATTGCGCGCCTCCGCCTTGCTGAGAAGTTAGCGAGTCAGAAGGTGCGCCTTGTAACAAACTGTAGTAATCTCCAGGACTCGCTAAATATGAGGGCAAGCCAGAGGACCTTTCAGGATGCCTCAACGGGTAAGGAAGAAGACCAACGAGTCCTATGGCTAATCAACCTGATTTTGCTGGCTCATTTTTAACAGGATCGTGTTCATGCATTTCCTTGATAGCGGTACCAGCCTATGCCTCGTCCTCTTCCGCGCATGTCCCTGATCCAACCACGCATGTCCCTGATCCAACCTTTTCATTACCCTCTCATGACCTTGACAATGACACTGAACCCTCGACATACATCCCCATTGCTGGTAGGCTATTACGCTCTGGGGTTTCTATTTCTTTTCCTCGGAGACTTGAACCCCTATGCTCACTATCCTTTGTCTCTTTGTACGCTCCCCGATACTCTGATAGAGTCTGTACAAGTTGGACAAAAGCACCCCCGTGACCCCTTCGACAATGAGGATGCCGGTCTGCTAAAGACTCCTAGGAACAGATGTGAGTAATACTTTGACAGAGTAGGCCTACAGAACACCTTGCCTCTTTGTGCTTCGTGTATCGGCTGCTGACAAATTTTCCTTGTTTTGTTTTTAACAGCCCCTTCGCGTACGGTTGTTAGCAGGTCTGACGTGTTGGACACAGGACGGAATGGATCACCAGCACCGTCTGCTTCGCGTGAGTGCCCCTTCAGGACAGCAATGGCACAAGAGACGATGAATAGACTTCACCGCCTGGACAACCTGCTCCTTCTAAACCTTCCCTACGAGATTCTGTTCCATCGAGTCCCTCCACGGAGTTGGCGTCTGGCACAAGGGTCGACATACAGCCTAGACTGTCGACATCCATGTCAAACACAGCACAAAAAGGAGGAGGACTGGAGAAATGTAAGGAAACCCCCAGCAATCGACTCGACTATTTAGGTTTTGCTTCCTGAGCAAATGGACTTACTTCTCTCATTCTTCGTGGTCTTCATTCTCATCCTCTCTCTAATAGTTTTGACCGGACACAGCCTGACGCTGGAGGATTGTGAGTGGACTTAACTTTATGCCAAGGCTTCATGTTTTCAAACTGACACTAACGTATAAATGACTTCATTTTTTATAGTGAATCCCCCGTGATACTCATCGCCTGACGATGGTAGTCAAAGCGATCTTCATGATGTGACGACGCCAACAAATCCACAGCTCCTGCTTGGCTTGGACCTGCCCTCGACCGATCCAGATGATCTGAACTTTTTTTCGGATCAGGACCTCTATGAGCCGACCACCAAGGTATATGCATGGAGTTATCTTGAGGGGAGTGGACGACGTGACTCGGATGTCGATAGTGCATGGATATACAACAACACAGAGGTTGGTCGCGATTTGATGGATTTTAGGATCGTGTCATACAAGAGAACGGCGGCTTGACGGAACCCCACGAGAAAGTGTAAGTAACCTTGGCTCCTTGGACTTCTACTGGAGGATGCATTTATGCCGAATGTAAGAGGGAGCACGAATGAATCGGAGCCTTCTAATTCCTTTTGAAACCATGCTTTGCACAGGGCGGTGAACTTTGTGTTCCTCGTTGAGGGGGGTCACCAGACCAGAGGCTTGCATGCTGAGATTGAAGACGAGTCGTGGGCCGCACTCTGTGAAGCGACGAGGGACCAAGTGGACCCACTCCCAACAGTTACTGTCGATGAAGCGCACCAGTGGGCGCACTTGCTAGCACGGGAGAGCTCAGGCTCATTCAGAGCACGTTTGAGAACTTCGCCGCCCAATGACCCAACCCTCCAGTCCATCTTGAACTTGATGGTCAGCAGTGGCCAACTCTGGAGCGACCAATCGTGCAACGAGGACACATACCTCAAATCGCGGCTAGGACCTTTCCTAGAAACGTACTTGAGCAATATTACGTTCATTACGAGTGGCTGGTAAATAGTACTAATGCTCTCCATGTCAAGTTACTTGATTGCTTTTTGTGATGCTAATCTCATGCCCTTTCATATTTCATAGGAGCAGACACAGCAGGATACTCGAAACATAGACTCCGATCTGCTCGTGCCCGACTTCGCAACCATGACGGTGGCCAGACAGAGGGAATTATCTATAGTGCTTTTGGAGGGAAAGGTCGCTTCAAACAAGGCTTTTCAAATTTGGGACGACAGGACCAAGTTGGGTCAGGAGATGAAGCTCGCGTTGGACTCGATCTTGATGCTTCTTCCCGAGGACGACGTTTGGGTTGTTGGCATACTCGTGCGTGGTATGTTTGTGTTAATCGTGTTGAATGTATTTGAAAGCCTCTCATCTCTTCCATGTCACTCATGTTTTCTTCATCTGTCTATATTTTTATTTATCTTCAGAGCCTCTGGTTGAATTTTTCAAAATGCAGATACATGCCGAGGGAACATACATCATGCGCCGGTTTGCGGTTTGCTACATTGCAGCCGATCCTATGAACATGCTCCCCATCATTACCATGATGGAAGCATTTCAACATGCGCTGGCAAAGGTCAAGAAGACGGTCGCTGCTATCCGCCGTGTCAAGGTTCGCCCGAGCACAAGCCCAAAAGTTCCTCTCTCTTGGGTCAGGCCGTCTTTCAAAAAGCCAAAAATGTCGCTCGTCCTTGATGGCGAGTAACAATGGGATCCGCTCATCTACTGTTCATAAAGTTTGTGGTTCAGTTGATTAAGGCTGCCTTAAAAGCCCATGGGTTCTATCGGTTCACCTAAAGAATGTCTTTGATATGATCTGGATCTGGAATCTATGCGACCTATCCGTGGCTTCACAGAGTCTATGCTTTGTTTGTCGTAGTTCAAGAAGCAAACAAACGCAGCAAAAAGTGAATAAAATGCAGATAGTACATGTATGTATCGCTGCCACTTAAAAAGCATTTCTTTCTTTTTTCTTTTACTGACTTGGTTTATCGTGTGTGATAATGAATGACATCTCTCTTCATATCATCTACATAAGTCAGACCCACATTGAATTGCCACGTTCTATTTGGTTCATTTCTACAAAATTAGACGTTTATTTTGCGAGACGAAAAGGACAATTTCTCGCGCCCTAGGCAATACATGAACGGATAATCGTCTCAAGATATCATCCATCCTGAGTCGTCATCATCTACTTAGACAAAAACAAAAGAGAACGTTCTGAACGTCAATTCAATGACTCATTGAACAGTCCACAGGTGCGGTGCAACGCGTCAACATCTACTTACTGAGACCAAAAGATATACTTCCAATGCTCTAAAATAATGCGAGCATTCAAATTCTCTGCCGTCTCCTAGCTCTTGCCAAGAAGAATGTCAACGTCCACACAGAGGCCACCACAGGCGTCAAAGGCGATTCGCTGATTCCTAATTTTTTAGTATATTTATTCGTACAGATGTGCATGCTAATGAATAGGCGAGGGTGCAGCGAGTCGGCTTGTTGCTTGGGTCATCTCTGTGGGCGTGATCGGCACCTGCTGTGGAGTGTGATACCTGCCGCCGTCTGAGCTATTGTCTGGATCATGTCCTTGTCTATATTGCCGACTGCTGCCATTCTTGTGGACATGATGCTGCTGTTGCTGGTGCGCAGACTGCGGATGCGAATGCGAGGAATGCTGCTGGCGCTGAGGATAGTTCTGATCCTGCCTGTAATCCCGTGTGTTCTCTTGTCTGTGGTCCCGCCTATGCTCATGACGAGGATCGTTCGAATTGTGGTGCCTAAGGTCGGTCCTCTGATGGGCCGCTCTGTGATCACCCTCTTGGCCTCCCTCTCTCCGGCCACTCTCTTGGTGAGTATGGCTGTGGCTGTGCTGTGCCCTCGACGAGCCCGATCTCAATTCTTGATGGTGCTGTTCAGGTTGTCCCCGGCTATCATGAGACGTGGAACTGTTGTATTGATCAGGTGCTGGTGATGCTGGCAGTGCAGCTGGGACCGACGGCGAGGGCTTCTCGTCCTCTGGATCTCTGTTTGCAACCTCCTCACACATCCAGTGCTTCATCAATTGATCGCCATAAGTTTGGAGCTCTTCGATTGAGATGGCCAGCGCAAAGTTGTTGAGCGTCAAAAACTCAACCTCCAGCTGGTTCAGTTCTGACACAGGTAGTCCTCCGACCTATAAAGGCGTGTTATTGAAGCAAAAGCAGGCATATCGTGTGGGTCAGTAAAAATGAAAAGAAAGTGTAGTTGTCGATTATTGCCTCATTGCATGCAAGACGGGGGGGTATGTGCTGCGAAGAGTTCTTTCCATTTCCGAGGAGTGTCCCGCCTTGTTTGTTACGAAACGTGCTCCAGAAATAACAAACCACTCCCGTGCAATTAAGGTCAAAACGAGTGCTCTTAGCTAATCACGTTTTCTGTTCCAGCACAGTGATTGCACTCTTTGTGGCCCGCATATCCGCATATCCGCATATCCGCATATCCATGCATAAACGACTCGCGTTTGCGTTGCTCTGCGTTGCATTACGTTCAAGGGAACTCCACTCGAGGGGACCGACTCATTACCTTGGCATACCGCGAATTGGTGAAAAAGACGTCGGAAAAGTATTTTGCAGACACCATGATCCCAGCAATAATAAGGCGATGGATGTTGTAGCTGTCGATCGAGAACTGTCGCCCTTCGCCGCCCGTGATCTCCTCCACGTTCCTGGCCATCCTGTCGAAATAGACCAGCAGACTCAAAAAGCACTCGTTGGCGCAGGGACAATACTTGAGAATACGTGTCAGATACGCATTGATGCTAATGGAAGGGATTGACCGGGCGTGAAAGCGAGTGAAGGAGGTATGAATCTGATGCTGAGCTGGTGTCATGACGAGCGGTGTCTCTGGCTCTGGCAAAGCTTGTTTGATCTTGTCATTGGCGGTCGTGATTCGCTCGAGCAGACTGGCGAGCATCTTGAGGGTCGAAGTGACCGGGTGGACAGACAAATCTAGGGTGTGCATCTTTTTTTTTTTTTTTTTAAGAAAGGATTTGAATGAGCGTTAAGAATAATAAGAGGCGAAACCAAGGAGTAAAAGAATAGAAGAATAAGAAAACAGACAGGCAGAGGACGTAAAGGGCAAAAAGAACACAACAAGACGAACAAAGGCTCTTTATACATTTATTACCTTGCAGCTTCTTTGATAAAGATATATACCAGGAGGGGGGATAAATGAAATACAAGAAGGGGAGACAGAGAAAGAGAGTTGACTCTTCACGAGTGCGATGGGATGAGGAGGATGCAGATGTAGACGACAAAAAAAAAAAAAAAAAAAAGGTGGCGTGCGTTGTATGTGTGCGTGTAAGGAGGTACAGACAATTGCAGCGTAGGCAGTCGGCGAGGAGCGAGTATAACAATGGTCCCCTTCTGCTCAAAATCAAAACGCCTAGGGAGTTAAGCAGGAGTGAGACTAAGAGCAAAAAAAGAGAGAATCAGAAGAGCAAAGAGAGCAAAAGGAGAGAGAGAGTGAGTGACACAAATGAAGGGATGGAATGGAGTGGAGTGGGGTGGAGCGGAGTGATGGGATGGAGGTGATGGAAGATGATGAGGTGAAGCTTGATGGAAAGGGGCATCCAGCAACGATAAACCTTGACTAAATTGGATCAAGTGAGGAACCAGTAAAAAGCTACTTCTACACAAACAGGGTTGAAGCATGCACTTGTAAATAGCAGGAAGGTAGCGATGTCATAGAGCTGCACCCTCGCAACCATTTCACTTCCTCTGTCCCACCACGGATTCACAAAGCCGTAACCCTGTCCAAACATCCACTATCTAAGGATATACAACAACAACGCGTTTGAGCTGCATATTCTATCAATATCTTAGGGAGCTAAAGAATGGAGCCGGGGCTACCTTTGCAGATCAGATCAGATTAGATCGCTCCTTCGTTTCATGACAAGAATCGTGGTTTATTACTAACAATATCGGTGGTCATTAGTCCTGAAGGTGTGGGGTAGTGAAGGTGCTGCATCTGATGCATCACTCAAGCAATAGGGGTTGCATGAGCGACAGCATCAGTTCCTGTAGCAGAGCTAGTCGGCGGTAAGCTCGCCGTTAGATTTCTCGTACCCCGCTGCTCGATCTCCTCCAGCGACATACCCTTGGTCTCCGGAATCAGGAACGTAAACACAAACCCAAGACCCATAATCGCCGCGAATATGCCAAGTACCTGCGGCAAGAACGCGTGGTCACCAGGCGCACCACCAATTTCGACCAGCTTGTTAAATCCAAATGTCGCCAAGATCGCGCCCAACTTGCCGGAAGCCGCAGAGATTCCATGCGCAGTCGCACGCACGCGTGTCGGAAAGACCTCACCAGGAACAACAAACGTCGTCGTGTTGGGTCCAAAGTTGAAGAAGAACTGTGCCAGCGTAAAGATTGCAACAAACAGAGGCACAATCTTCTTCAATTGGTAAAAAGCCGTTGACAGGATAATGAACAGGATTGTCAACATCGCAAAGCCCATAAACTGGATCCGCTTGCGACCCATTTTGTCAATGAGAAAGACCGTGAAGTAGTATCCGGGCACAAAACCGAGGCAGGACACCGTCAAGTTACCAAGAGTCGTCCTCCAGAGATTATCGAACACAGAACCATCGCCCACGAAACCCATGGCGTTGAGGACATAGGACTGGTTCAGAGAGATGCCGTAGAACGCAATGTCCAACAGAAACCATGTCGTGGACGTACCGATCAGGATCTTGAGATTTTGCCAATGCGAAAAGTACTCTACGAACTCGCGGTGGTGGGCGCGCTTGGCCTTTTTGCTCACTGGCACGGACTCACCCTCGATGGCCTTGCTCTCGGTAGCGTGCGCGATAGCCAACTTGGCCTTCTCAACATCGTTCTCGACATCCATAGAATATCGGGGTGACTCTGGCATGGTCAAGCGCAGGTAGACGGTCGAAGCGGCAGGGATGCATCCAACTCCAATGCAGATTCGCCACACGATGTCCAGGTTGTCAACGTCTGCAATGATTGCTGACTTGAAGCAAGCGAGGACGATGAGAGTAACAACCGAGGCCATCAAGTTGCCGATGCCTTGCATAGAAAATATGATCGACATCATCTTGCCGCGGCGACCTGCGGAGGACCACTCGGACGTAACGGTCGCAGACATGGGGTAATCTCCACCAATACCCACACCGAGGACAAACCGCCAGAAAGTAAGGTACTGGATGACTGAAGATCCCTTGGCATTGGAACCGGACATGGCACAGCAAAGTGTACCCAGGATGATGATCATTAACTCGAGTCCATAAATCTTTTTCCGACCGACAGCATCGCCAAGGTATCCAAAGACGAGCTGCCCGACAAGGGTTCCAAAGGAGGCCATGCCTTTAAGGGACCCTTCGGTACCCGCGGGGAGATGGTTATTGTTGTCCTTGAAATAGACATATCCAAGCATAGGGACCACCAGGTTGATGATAAAGACATCGTAGGCGTCTGTGAAGAAACCTGTGCCAGAGGTAACGAGAGTTCGGATCGTGAACCAGTTCCAGGAACGTTGCTCCTCTAGGTCAGCGAGGTTGCCTTTTGGGACAATGGTGACTGGCTCTGGCTCTTCTATAGTGCTGTAGTCGTGATCGACCCCGACATCGGTCTTATCCAAGCTGGAGGATACTTCGGACATTTGATGTGTTTTGGGTGTGATATTTCGAGCTGGATTTGAACGAGATGCGATTGATATATGGATAGTGTGGGAGTGTTAAAGAACGGTCTCCGGAGGACGAAAGGTGTTTTGTGAATTGGGTGTGGTCGCTATTCACAATAGAGCGACGAAAATGAGAGGAGGAGGTATAGACGATGGTGTGCTATGGAAAGATTGAACACGAAGAGGTCAGATATCTGGGCTTATATTGGGTTTCTATAAGCTGTTTGAGGGCACAGTATGTCACGATTAGCGTCTGGTTGCTGTACGTTTTTCTCTCCGCTGGGTCAAAGGGCCGCCAATGACGAGTGTACGCCTGAGCTTGGTTCGACACAAGCTTTACATCCCAGGTAAGGACACCCCCAAAGGAGAATGCAAAAAGCGCAAAAGAGTGTAAAGGATTTGGGAGGAAAAGTACTGTGACGAAAGAATAGGCAGTTGCCATGGACACCATCGAAGAACCAAAATATGGTTAGCGCGGATTATTTTATTTTTTTTATCGCGTCGCAGCAGCCCAATCGTCTTGCACCGTGCGTGCATCCGCCGGACTACCTGGCCGCTGAGCCCAGCGATCGTAGTGCGACAGACAAACGGACGATGGCACTATGCATATGTATGTCATTGCTGGTGTCGATGATCATCGCCTAGGAAAACGCCCATATTTTTAGTCCCTCTTGAGCGACATCACAAATAGCAGATTGAGAACCGAGTCATGTTCGTTCGTATCATCCAACTCGCCCAATTATCTATGTAAAACTTATCGAGGCGCCGTAGCGCCATAATGACCATAGATATGCCCTAGACGATCCTGGCTACGATATCCTTGAAGTATTGATAACAATAGAATTCAAAGTCAGCTGGACTGACGAAGGTCCTTGGATGTAGCCTGTAGCCATAGCTACTAGTCGTAGGACTCATCTATATTGTCTAATATACATTTGCTGTGCTAACCCTAGGATATGGTCAATCGTCCGCCGCTTTCTATAGCAATGTCCGATGCCCTTCTTTTCGCATTGTTCTGAATCGCGGCGATATCTCCAAATTAGTGAAGCGGCTTCTTGGGCCCAAGGACCTGGAAATGAGCAAGATACAGCATCACTATGTTCCAGTTGCGGCCATTTTCTACTTGCTGTTTTGAGTCGTGGTATGGTTTCGGTCATTTATTCAATAACAGGTGTATCTTTTGGCGACTGGAATCGGACAGCGACTGACTCCTGTTTTGCTAGTCCTAACATCCTTCACCATCACGACGTACACACAAAGCGTAGACTGCTGACTTTTGGTCGACATTCGGCCGAAAAAGGGTCGCTTCAACAAGGTGCCACATACGACGCCATGTTTGTCGGCATGTAAACATGATGTCTATTGTTTTGGTGCCAATAGGTGTAGTCTCCAACAGTGGATAGGACCACACCAGCCACGGCTTTTTTAACACTCAGCGGCCAGAAGGTATCATGCACTCCCACGGAGTGACCCATTGCAGTTGACATTGCGACTGGGGTCAATTTGCACCTCCTGTGAAGCAATTAAATAGACTCCTTATATAATTCTCGTCATCTTACCATCTGTTCCTTGTAGGCATTAAAGGAACTCAATAACACAGCTTAAGGGAGTATTGAAGATTTGACAATGATGCAAGTAAATGGAGTCGAAGGTGTTGCCTACGCAGAAAGATTGGCACTGAGAACGCATTCGCAACAAAAATGTATCGCAGGCAAGGATAGGGGACACACGTGTGCGACAGGAAAAGCAGTTGTAGGATGATTAGATGTTTCGGGTCGAATCATTGTTACAATAGACGAAGCGCCCTGCTTTGTGGATAATCAAATGCCTATGGTGGAGTCCCAATACTCCAAAAACCTTGCTTCAACCCCACAGGTCTATTTCTGCAAATGTTACACAGACAAAAAAAGGCGAATGAAAATTGATAAATTGATGGCAGCCGGTCACCTTTCTGCTGTTCCTGGAAAGCGACAGAAAAGACGAACAGACGAAATTGAGCTACAAACCCACCACTTCGACAGGGCACCTGTTGTAGGGATACACATGGCTATGACGCGGGCAAGCAGGCAGCGAAGGTAAGCATGCGAGTGAAGAGTCCGCAATTGGTGCGCCCTGATGGTCTGCTCTCTCGCTCCCGCCCTCACTTGCCCATTTTAGACTGCAACCGGTGGGCAGCAGCCGTATGGTTTCCCTTATTTGTGAATGAGGTGAGAGCAATTGCCCAAAATGCCCTCACCACGAAATGAAATAAAAGAGTATTCTTTCATCTCGCACCTCCTCTCTTTCTTCATCCCCTCACACTCTCTCGTCCTCCTTGGCAACCATTGCCGCTTCACTTACTCACGATTCCCTTGTCAGCTAAAACAGTACTAGCCCTTTTTTACCCTCCATCCCCAATAGCTCACTCTCGTCAAATCTCGTCATTCACTCAGAAACCATGAAGTTCACCATCTCTGTCGCTACTATCGCCCTGGGAGCTATTGCGCTCTCTTCCTCGCTCGGTGCCGATGCAGCTCTCTCGGCCGGATGCAGTACCTACCTCAGCAGTCTGGAAGCGCCGACGAACCCCCTGGCCAACTGCAGAGTCTACACTGCCCTCGGATTCCCTGCCTTGACCTTTGCCAAGGACCATGACACGCCCAAGCTGCAGAAGGCCCTCACCAGCTACTGTGCCACTCCTGCATGCACTACTGAACAATATGCGGGTGTCTATAAGGCGCTGCAAACGAACTGTGCGGCTGATATGGTTACAGACAACCAGGCGACCCTTGGCACTGTCATGTATATGTGGTAAGTGTCAGATTAAATCGGAAAAACATGTTGCACAGCACCGCAAAAAGCTTTGCTTTTATTTTTTATTTTTTAGTGACCAGCTTCATTAATGTCAATATATTCGACTCCTCCTTATGCCTCAGGTACATGTCCCCCGCGCAGCGAGAGGCCGTGTGCTTCCAAGACGCATCCAAGAACAGTAGCTGTGTTGTTGACTCCATCAACGAGATGATCGCCCGCGGACAACTGCCTGACGCGAACCCGAACGAGGACGACCTGTACGGATACATCCAATACGTGACCCCGATGATGAGCCCGACGGGCACTAATACCACGGCTTTCTGTACCTCCTGCAACCAGCAGATCGCAAACATCTTCTCGAACTACTACACCAAGACCCCCGCGCCCTATACGCTGAACTTTGCGCAGAACCTAACCAGTTTGACCCTGAACACGAATCTGATGGATCAGTACAAACGTAACTGTGGAGCAACTTTGGGTTTGCCCTCGGTTGGTGGAAATGGAGCCGGAAATGGAACCGCGCCATCGGGAACGTTTCAGCCAACGAACTTGACGCAGTCTGGAGGCAAGACTGCTAGTAATGCAGCGTCGGGGGTGTCGTACTCGATGGGAGGAATTGTCGCAGCCCTCGCAACTGTTGTTAGCGCTTTGGTTATGGTTTAGGTGAGGTGTTTTGATTAGAGCTCTTTTGCATCCAGATTGCCACTAAATAAAAAAATGAGAGTCCAAGAGGACCTTGACAGGTGTCTCTTATGGTACAGCGTGTCCCATGAGCGCGGACACGGATGTACTAGGGACTCTTGCGGTAAGACGGCATCGTTCTGCTAATAGACGTCTGTACTCGTCCTGAGGATGGGTAGACTACACAGTACCTGCATGTGGTCCGCATCCACAGCTCGTCCACATGCCTGTGTGGGGTGTATAAATATATCCAGGCTCATTCATTTTGAAGGAAAAAGAGAGAGAGAGCTCCCGAGGAAATGTACATCTTGCGCTGCCATTTGATCATTTTAATGGGTCGCACACGTCCTATTATTCATTTTTCAAATACAGCCTACAGCTGCTGAACCGAAGTCTGGATCATTGAAATGCGGATTTATCCGTCCCTCTGCAACCCAATGTTCGCCGTTTGTCAACATGGCCTCTGGTTCAAAGGGGTTGGAGCTCCAGCGTTTTCGACGGTGCAGTCGCGACCAGATGTCCTGCACTCTCTAGCATCGGATGCATGCACACGTCCTCGCATGGGCTACGCAGCCAAGCCCGGGAACACGGGGTCCCGTCGCAAAGACGTCTTCATGGGACAGCACCGTGATATGTATGCACTAAGGGTGCAGCCAGTCCTGGAGCAACTAGACAAACCCCCCACTCTAAAGTGCGCATGCGCTCTCATGCTATTTCTGCCGCTCACCACGCCATCAGCTCCGCATAAAAAAGTCATCCCATCCCATCCGCTTTCATCTCTTTTCTCTTCAAGACCCCCATCTACTCCTTCCCTTCCCCTAGCCCTACCTGGCCACCTTCCTGCTCCCCCCTTCCGCCCCACCAACACACCTGCCTCTCCACTCTCTTCCGCACCCTTTCCCTCGATCCACATACCGCCTAATAGACACCCGCCATGCGCATCATCTCCCTCACCCTCGCCGTTTCCCTGGCCCTTGTGGCCCTCACCAAGGCTGCCCCCTTGCCAATGCCTGCCCCTGCCCCACAAGACTGTAAGTCCTTGTTGTCTGGAACATCCTGTACCTAAAATGAACGAGTTCCAACGGTCGAATCTAAAAAAACCGGAATCTCGCACTTGCTTTGGCCCTTTTAATAGCCTCCTCTGAGTTCCAATGCATCGAAGATTGCCTCCGGGACGAGGAGGAATGCTTGCTCAACTCGAACATAATGAGCTCCTGCGTCCTGACCTTTGACGACTGCCATTCTCAGTGTCTGCCCGAGATAGTCTTTTCGCCTGCTGCCCCATCGCCTGCTGCCCCATCGCCTGCTGCCCCATCGCCTGCTGCCCCCTCGCCTGCTGCCCCCTCGCCTGCTGCCCCCTCGCCTGCTGTCCCCTCGCCCACTGTCCCTTCGCCTGATGTCCCTCAGCTGGACCAGCAGCAGCAACAGGAGGATGACCAGACCCTCGACAACACTCAGGTCGATCCTCTCGCCCCGGCCAAGATCGAGGTTGAACCTGAGCAGGAGCAGGAAGTCGACCCCAACACCGCCACTGAGGACCTGAACCAGACCCTGAATGGGGCTGGCGGTAACAACGATGAGTACCAGGATGGAGAGAACGAGGAGGTTCAGAACGAGGATGAGCAGGACCCTGGCCTGACTCAGGAAGAGCAGGAGCAGCTCGAGGATGAGCAGCAGCAACTGCTGCAGCAAAACCAGGACAATCAGCTGGAAACCCCTCAGACTGTCCCCGGAAGTGAGAACACCGAGAAGGAAGTGATCGAGAACCCTAGCCTGCTTGGTGCCCCCGAGACCGATAACAATGTCGACCCTCTGAATCTCCAGAATGCTCCCGTAGATGGAGACAATAACGAGGAGCAGCAAGAGGATTCTGAGAGCGGTCCTGAGACTAGCGAGACCGAGGACGAGCTCGACAATTCCACCGATCCTAACACCACCTCTCCTCTTGACGGAGACAATGACGAGGAGACGCAGGAAGTCCCTGAGAACGGTCCTGAGACTGAGAAGGTCGAGGACGAGCTCGATAATTCCACCGATCCTGACACCACCGCCCCTCTTGATGGAGAGCAGCAGGAGGATTCCGAGAACGATCCTGAGACTGAGACCGAGGAGAATGAGCTCGACAATTCCACCGATCCTAACACCACCGCCCCTCTTGACGGAGAGCAGCAGGAGGATTCCGAGAACGATCCTGAGACTGAGACCGAGGAGAATGAGCTCGACAATTCCACCGATCCTAACACCACCGCCCCTCTTGACGGAGAGCAGCAGGAGGATTCCGAGAACGATCCTGAGACTGGCGAGACCGAGGACGAGCTCGACAATTCCACCGACCCTAACACCACCGCCCCTCTTGACGGAGACAATGACGAGGAGCAGCAGGAGGTCCCTGAGAACGGTTCTGAGACTGAGAAGATCGAGCTCGGTAACCCTACTGAATTGGATCCCACTACCCCTCTTGGCGGAGATGACAATGATGAAAACTCGGAGGATCCCAGCCCCTCGAACCTTGAGGACGATCACGAGAACGATTCGTCTGATCCCGACTTGACCGTGGGCGGCGAAGATGAGGATGTTGATAACCAGCACAATGCGCCCATCAGTGGATTCGAGAATCCTACACCCGTAGAGGACAACGAGGAGAACACCGAGGAGAACACCGAGGAGAACACCGAGGAGAACACCGAGGAGAACACCGAGGAGAACACCGAGGAGAACACCGAGGAGAACACCGAGGAGAACACCGAGGAGAACAACGAGGAGAGCTACGATGAGAGCTACGAAGGAGATGAGAATAACATGGGCCAGGATGGCGATGATGAAGAGGGCGGTGACGATGATGATTCTGGATACTAAGGCCTCAAGTCTTACCTTTATTCGCTGCAATGACCTACATCCTGACATTCATTAGACTAAAATATACTTAAATATATTGAAAAAGGAAATCATTACAACCATTGCGTTAAGACCAACAGCAGAGAAATGAATCGCTGCTGGACCCCTGCGTTGCTCTCACTTTCAAGGAAGCTGCACGCTATCATTTATTTCACAGATTAAGGTATATAGTGTGATAAGAAGATGATTACGATGCATAGGCAAATGCCTCCGTCCTCGGTTCCTTCTTCATTTTTAGCGTCGGTCGTACCTCCTCCTTAATCTCATTTACAGCAGGTACACTGGTACTTTGCTGCCATGCCCTTGCGCCCACTCCAGAGGCCGATAGCGACTCCCTTATGGCATCCTCGACCCCCCGCCCATCAATCTCGCTCGCATCTTTTCTCTCGCGCTTCTCAAACTCGAGCCGCAGACGCTCAATCCTGCTGTCGTGAATCAGTGACGTTCGAGTAGCAATTGCGCTAGCGGTTTTGTTGGCAGAAGACGATGATGACACAGCAACAGGGTTCGCACCCAAGGACTTTAAAATCTGGGCAGCTTTATGCTCCATCATGGTCCTGGCGCCCTTGTACTCCGGGCCGTTGTAGCGGGCGCGGGAGATGATGCCGTATAGGGCACAGCCGAGTACAAGAGTACCGCCGCTGGCCATGGCGGTCATGCTCCCGAGGACCGCACCTCCGACAGCGCCCAGTGAACCGACTGCAGACATCGACCATGCCACAGTCTCGGCCTATAAGAGGAACACAAACAGAGCATACGTTGACGGTTAATTGCGTGTAATAAAAGGCGCTCCCAAGGATTGGATTTGTATGGTCGTCGTGTACGCACCTTTTTCTCCGAGCGAGGGTCGAGTCGCTGGATGGTCTCGATCAGTTCCTTGATCATCTTTAAATCCTCACGGATCTGTCCTGGTACCTCCAGGACCTGCTCACTGATCCATGCCTCGGTCGAGTAGACAACCGCCTCGCACTGTGTCATAAGCTGCTCCAGCTGGTGATGAAAACTGATAACCGAGTATATGGACGAAGCCTTGTGGGCCGAGTAAAGTGACATGACCAGCGAGGCTGCGCCGACTGAGGCCATCAGCACCGGATTCGAAGCCATAGTCGATGCATCCGCATCCGATTTCTTGAGCAGAGTCGTCTTGTCAGTATCACCCTGTTCGCTCTTGTCTTTGTTGTTGCTGCTGTTCTTCTTCTTGGCTGCTGCCTCTTCCTTTTCTTTCTGCTCCCGATCCTGTCTCCGTTGCTCCTCCTCCAGCTTCTTAACCTTCTTCTTCTGAGCCACAAGCTCCTGCTCCAACTGCACACGTTCCTGGCGGCGAGCGTCCAAGTCTGCGCGGGCCGTCGCAGCATTCTGGCGCAGTTCCCGCTCCATCTGTTGTAGTCGCTGTTCCATCTCATGCATCCGTTCTTGCTCTCGATCCCGGTCCTGATTAGCTCGTCCGAACCAGGAAGATTTCTGGTTCTGCTGTCTGTAATTGCTGGTGTTTCGGTCCCGATCCCGATCCCGCTCCCACTCCCGTTCGTCATAGGAGGATCGGCCGTAGGAGTTCGATGAAGAGGAGGCTGTGCCCTGCATGTACCGTCCTGCGAGATAGAGTCCGTTCTCGAGGATCTTTTGTGTCCCTGGACTAGAGGCCATATTCTGGAAGGTCGAGAAGTAGCCTGATGAGGTCTTTGTCGACTCGGCTTTTGGATCCTTGTCCTCGTCCTTGTCCTTGTCCTTGTCCTTGCCCTTGTCCTTGCCCTTGTCCTTGCCCTTGTCCTTGCCCTTGTCTTTGTCCGGGTCGGTTGCTGAGGAAGCGCTGGATGCGGAGGAGGGCACCGGCATGGGTTCCTGGTCCTGTTCGGAGCTCTTGGAGAGCTGGGAGAGGATGTGGGGCGTGAAGGCGAGGAGGGTTGAGACGGGGGGTACGAAATCAAGTGTGTCGGGGTCATAGAGCTCCCGTGGGAAAGAGATATCGTCAAAGAGAATCGACGCCATGATAATGGGAGGACCACGCTGAGGTTGAGATAGGAGGATCGAGTACGGTGAGGGAGGCGGGAGTGAGAATGGTGATAGCGAAGAAAAAGATGGAGAGCGAAAAGGAGTGAGAGACCAAGTTGTGATATAAATGACGACGGGGTTGACATGCCAAGACAAATTTGAGGGGCACAGAAACCTTGCTTCTAAAAAGGGAAAGAGCGGTAGAAACGTGGCACCAGTGAAGACAACCTCGTAAGGAACTGGCGTAGCGTTTAACATGCGTGGGTATCAAGACCCTTGCTGGCAGACTCGCTACACTCCTCATGGTGTCTATTCGTCAGGAAGAGGGCGCTGGCTTGATCTAAAGCAGGGCGGTCTGCAAGCGCTACGAAAACAAAGAGGCATAGTGATGAAATTACTCGAGCAAGTGATTGTTCCGGCAAGTCGGAATAAAGGCACCAGAGACTCCGAATGCGATGATTCTCTAGCTCTTGAATGAATACAAGTTCAGGTTCGCACTCGTGAGTCAAGAATGGGTCGCGAGGGCTGCAAAGTTCATGGCCAAGGAATGTTGGTAGCGAATTTAAAAGAGCAGCGCAGCAAAGGCGCAGAGATAAAGTCTTACAGGTGCTTAAGACTGACGGAGGAGAGGATGTCGTCGACTTTGATCTACTATATACGGCGCGATGATGAGCCGTGTTGTCCCCGCTTCGCTCTTGTCCTGGATGCACACAAGTCATGACAAGAAGAGAGACGGAGGGACGCAGCGTTCGAAGGTAGGTTGGACAGAATAGCTGATGAAATGTGGACAGACCAGGTAGAGGGAGTGTCTTTTACATGGAGTTGTTTTATCGGGCATTGGCTATCGTTGCTCTGCGATTGGTATGTGTGGGTTCTCATAAGGTTGGGGTGCAGCAGCATAGTTGGGCTAAGTAGCCTGGACTTAGCGTGCCTTGTGCGCATACCAATACACGATACGCGTGTGCTTGATTGGAACGAGGCCGAGAGTGTAGACATAGCACAATGAAAAAGAGCAGCGTGCAGTTCATAGATAACTGTCGTCAAGGATCTTTATTGAATGCCCTATGATTTCTCGCTCTTTTCCTCAGGGATGTCCTGACCTTGCTGGACTAGCCCTTGTCCCTGTTCCTGCTGGTCTTCGAGTTGCTGTTCCTCACGCATTTTCTTCTCCATTCTCATCTCCTTCTTGTTCACCATGCGCTTCATCCCTTCCTCCTTTTTCCGTGCCCGCCTTGCCTCCTTCATTTGGTCCTTCTTTTGCTTCCTCTCTTCCTCCACCGCGAGCTTCGCAGCGATTCCTGCAGCGCCTCCATCGTTAGAGACATTGCCGTCCAGTCTGTTACGCTTCGACAGCGCCGCCTCAACAGCAGCCTGAGCCGCATGGATCTCGCCTGTTCGCTCAGGTTCTGCTCCGAACGTTTCAACGAACGTTGTAGAGAGCTGCTCGAATGTCCCATCTTGAATCGATTGACGAACATTGGAGAAGAACTTTGAATATTGGTGCATATTATGGCTAGAGAATGGGTAGAGTCACATATTAGCATATGTAAACAGATATAAAACTGTTATGAAATAAAATATATGTCGAGTATATACCTCATCAGCAGGACAGTGGCGAGCATCTCATGAGCCTTCAACAGGTGATTAATGTAGGCGCGGGTATGGCGCCCACCCTTGCATGCATAACAGTCGCAGCCTTCGAGGAGCGGCACAAACTTGTCCGCATGCTCATCGTCCCACAGGTTGATCCAGCGTTTTACTGTCGCATTTGTACCGCTGCTGCCGTTTTCATTGGGTGTGGCCGCTGAAGGTGCCCCAAAGCTGTAGAGAGATGCCTTGCCATCTTCTGTCAGTTGGAGTGGATACGAAGTGTCGAACAAGTCCGCACCGAGTGCGATCGCTCTCAGGACGTCCTCTAATATTTGAGTTCAATGGAATGATAGTGAGAAAAATAGTCCCCTGTCAGTCATTGCTCCGCTCTTTTTTCCGTAACAACAATCCATTTAGCCAGTAGTTCCTACCTGGTGCCTGCATGCCATACACTATTCTCGGCTTTTCAGTCGGCAGCTGGTCGATAGAAGCCTTGAGCAGCTTCAATACATCGTCCCTGGATCCTGGCAAGGCTAGTGTATCGATAATGAAGCCGTCTACGTCTGAACGCTTCGCTGTCTCCTGTGCGCTGCGGATTCGTTCCTGCTCCATCTGGGCACCCACCACATGTGCGAACACACTGACGCCAGTCCAAGGTGTCCCAGTCTTCTTGCCTTCAATGCCCAGTGAGTCCAGTGTCAGGTGCTTGGTCTCCTGCACGATCTGGTTGACAGTACCATATCCATCGCCCGCTTGACTCTGACCCTCCATTTTTTCCTTCCTCAGTTTCTTCTTGGCCTCCTCCATAGCGCGTTCCTCTGCCAGTGCATCGTATCCTTGCCTCTCTCTCAGAATCTGGTCCAGCCACTTGAGACTCCTATCTACGCTCTTCTTGACACGCTTTGATCCTGTCTCTGTGCCGATCAGCTTGCCTGTCTCTGTCTGGTCAAGATCCGAAATCGTGTCTGCAAATGCGGCGACGATATCAGGTTCGTAAGCTCGCACTACCTTGAAGTAGTCTTCCAACGTCAATTGGCGCACTCCTTGCTGGGTCAGCATGGACACATAGCGATTCGAGTTGTACGGAACCTTTGTATAGCGTGACGAGTCGCGGATGTCGCACATGAGAATGAAATCTTGCAAATGGAGGTATTTTGAAAGCGTGAAGGGCCATTTGTCGAATCCTGAAGGCTGGTGATCCTGCCTAGGATAGAGCATGGTCGAAAAGTTCGGGTCCAGTCAGAGCATAGCGTCGTGGTCTCATCAATTGATGCCTTGGTTGCTCAAAGAGAGACGTTTTTGGCCCATTTCGTGTACCGACAACACCCTCAGAATTCCGCGAGCAACTGAGAGTCCTTACATGATCTGTTCGATGCTGACGTTCACACCGCCATATCTTTGGAGCCGTAACGTGTCTGGTGTGAGGTGCGGGACCGAACCCTTGACCGTATACATAAAGCAACCCGGTGTCTCGATCACCCGCTTCGTTGCCACTGCAGTGCCTGAGAGGTCCTTGTCCATGTCTGAAGTGATAGTCGAGGGCGCTGCTGGGGCCTGGGTCATGGCCACGGTACCGCGGCGGGCGGCAGACAACTGGGTTGATTGCCGGATGATGTTGAATGTCAGGGGCGACATGACAGGGATTGAAGGATGGGAGGAGGATCGAGTGATCAGATTCAGTGTGCTTTGATTAGATTTGAAGTTATTGGGTGTTTTGTTACCCCTGGAGCTCATGCACACGATGCGCACTTTGAAATACATGCCTCAACGTGACTATATCCCACCTACCTCTTTTGGCTGTCCATGTAGCCTTTGCACTGTGGGATCTTGGGGAAGCGCTGGAACTAGGCATCGCCAAAAAAAGGGCTGCTTCGCCAGGCTACTTCTCTTATATGCGGCCACTAGTTATTTCTTCTGATGTATGCATCGTTTCAAAGAGCACCATGGTCGCGCCAAGAGAGACACCCAGCGAGATACAAGGTTCTAATTGATTTTCTAGCCGGATCCGTCAGTTTAGAGCGGCACCACCTCGCCATTACGAAAAGTCGGAGAATTCATATCTCTTCAGCAAGCGTGGGTGCCGCTCTCACTTGGTGCCCATTACCTCCTTTTTGGATCTTCCAGCGTCTCCTACTATCCCTTCATTTCCCCGTGGTCAGATTCGTCCAAACACGCTTCGCATGCGCTTCTCAGGCGCAACTACTGCACCCAAAGAATTAAAAGCGCACAGCTCTACAGTTACTGCATCCCAAAGGCGCTACATTAGCAAGGCATGTTAGAAATATCTGCGGACTAGTCTGTCGATATAATACATACTCAATTCATGATGAACTGGCCATGACCCTGACCGCTCCTTCTCCTTGACGCATGAGAAGCAAACGGAGGTAGGATGCCGCCCTGGATAAATATGTTGAATGCCGTCCATCTTCAAATATACGCATCTCTCTCAATTTTCCAAAGACCTTAATATCACTCGCAAACCAAGGTACGCATGCAGTTGTTGAGATATTCCTTTCCAGCTCAGTGACATTCGAACTTCATTGTAAATGGGATTCCAGGATATATGCCTTGAAAGCGTTTATCCCACTGACGCTGTAAACATTAATGTGCACCATAGATGTCATACCAAACGAAAGAGTAATGCTCTACAGTGCATTAAAACATAAAAAAACTGCATTGCATTGACCACCTCCGCACAGACAGAGAGCCGTAGCACAAAGCACAGAGATTGACTTTGACTTCTAAAACTTTTTGGAACATAGAAACGCCGACGTTGTTGTCGACAACACAAGCATGAGTAACACTAATGCTTCAATTGGCCGCCAAGGGCTGACCAAAGATCATAATGTGCGTGAACCGCGGATTATCATCATCTTGACCATGGGGTGTTGCTGTTGACTGTGTGCTAAACAGAAATCTTTGTGCAATTTCATTGTGACCCAGAAATCATTGTCGCTGGAGAGGAATGCGACACACAATTACGCGAGTAGCATGCAGCATGCTGCCAATCCTATTTTATCTTATGCAGGTACGAATAGAGACACTGCGGCCACAGCATCAACTGGGGCATCTATTCTCAAAATTATACAACGGGCTGCCGAAAGTCGCAACATTAACTCTCTCTTACCTATGTCGGCTAATACAGGAAAGGCTGATGATATACCCGACCAGCTTTCAACTATCGATGGGAGCTTCGAGTCAATTCACTACGAGGACAGATTCATGCCGATTCTGACAGCTTTGGCCAATAAGCAAGATCAGGTAAGAACCCAACCCTGAGCATCTGGAAATTTCAACAACGCGATACAGCAAATGCTCATGTATGCCGCTTTGCTATTGCTGAACGTAGCCCTCAGACAATGCCTCAAGGCGAGGCAGCGGCCAGCGCACTGAAATAGCCGACAGAATTGCAGCAATGAATTCGATGGATGACGGCAGAAGGTAGGCAACGTTGGAGCATCGGGTTGTTGCGTGGTTCTTTGTAATCTAGGACATCGATTTATAACCAGACATTCATCTTGTCTACCATAGAGAGCGCTCCGACTTGAAATCTATAGCTTCAGACAAGGGCTTCATAGCCCAGGAAAGCTATTGGCGAACAGTACATGGGTTTGAACCTTCGCCACTCATACTCCCTACGGACCGTCCTCGTCCAGTTCAACAATCTTTTGACGCAGCGCAACATCTAATCCGCATCGATGCTTCATTGAAGAAAGCACTGATAACCTTGAGCTACGATTACGACTTGAGCCTGGCCAATGTTTTGATAGCCGGATGGTCCGTGGTTCTGTCAAGACTCTCCGGTCAAACGGACATTACTATAGGCTATTCTGGAAGCAACAGCACCAAGTACATGACAGATCGCCAGGAAGTGGCCAATGCTCTTCCTCTGCGCATTAACCTCTCTGAACACCCAACCACGACACAGCTGCTTGATCACCTTCAAGGAGCCAATAATTGCATGAAAGAACACAATGGTTTTCCCATCCACAAAGCTATCCGCATTATGCAGTACCTACGTAAAACAGGATATCACCCATTATTCCAGGTCCTCTTCCAGTGGCATGAAGAAGGCGCAAGTACCATTACTAAGGACAAGAACGCAATTCATCTCGATCTCGAATTGCGTCTGCACCATGACGGCGACGAGATTGCAGGCAGTCTTCGTTACTCGAGAGCCTTGTTCAATAGCGAGACAATCGAGAGATATGCTGGATATCTCGTTGCCATGCTGAGGGGCATGGCAGCCAACCCCAGCCAACAGTTCACCGCTATCGATATGCTTTCGCGGAAGGAAAAGACGCTTCTGTTTGAAACATGGAACGAGACCAGAACTCAGTATCCTCATAGCCAATGCATTCACCAGTTGTTCGAAGACCAGGTCGAGCGGTCGCCGAGCGCCATTGCGTTAGTCCACAACGGCCGGTCATTAACATACCGTGAACTCAATGCGCGTGCGAATCGAATTGCTTATCAGCTTCGAGAATTGGGTGTCAGGCAAGGAGATTTTGCTGCGACATTATTAAACCGCTCCTTCGAGCTGGTCACGGCCCAGATTGCGATCCTCAAGGTCGGTGCTGTCTATGTGCCGATCGATCTTAGAGCACCAGTAGAGCGCCAGTCTTGGATCCTGACTGACTCTGCTGCGCGCTTGCTCATCACCGATGAGCAGACAGCTGTTCCTGCAGCCATCACCACTCCGCTGTTCAGGTTCACCACCAGCCTTACCCGCGATAGAGGCTCTGCACCGGATGCGTCCAACCTGAACTTGATCCAGTCCAGCCAGGACACTGCCTATGTGATGTACACCTCTGGGTCGACAGGTCTCTCCAAGGGTGTGCTCTGTTCCCACCGCGGCATCTCCCGCTTGGTCGTCAACAGCGGATATGTCGATATCGGACCCGAAGACCGTGTCGCGTTCGCCGCCAATCCTGCTTTCGATGCCAGCACCTTCGAGCTCTGGTCGCCTTTGCTGAACGGTGGCTGCAGCGTAATCATCGACGCCGATACCTTCACAGACCCCCAGCGCCTTGCTAAGGCTCTGGACCACCACCAGGTCACCGCGATGTGGCTGACCATGGCTCTGTTCAACCAGTACGTGCTGACAATCGGCTCGGAACTGTCCAAGCTACGGTACCTTCTTTGTGGAGGCGAGCAAGGCAACCTGGAGTCGTTTGCTGCACTCCTGCAACATGGCGGACGTGTCCGCCTCATCAATGGCTATGGACCCACAGAGACCACTACATTCGCCACCACATACGAGGCAACAGCAGGCGCAATCGAGCGGCTGGAGAAGCTCCCGATTGGGCGACCCATTGGCAACACACAGGTCTATGTGTTGGACAAACACGGTCAGCCTGTGCCGCTGGGAGTGGTTGGAGAGTTGCACATCGGCGGAGCAGGTGTTGCGAACGGCTACCTCAACCGACCGGAGCTCACAGCCGAGCGGTTCCTCCCTAATCCGTTCAGTCAGTACGCCGGCGCTAGGATGTACAGGACTGGTGATCTTGTCCGGTATCTCCCTGATGGCGACTTGATCTTCATGGGTCGCATTGACGATCAAATCAAGATCCGTGGATTCCGCATCGAACCTGGCGAGATCGAGGCACGGCTTATGGAGCATGAGCTCGTCTATGAAGCAACTGTGATTGTACTCGGTGATGGCTCTGACAAGCGTCTTGTTGCTTACGTCGTTTCTGAACCCAAGGACGACCTTGTGCACACTCTTCGGTCGCATGTTGCTGCGAGATTACCCGAATACATGATGCCGACCGCCATTGTCCGTCTTGACGCGCTTCCACTGACGAATAACGGCAAGATTGACCGCCGTGCGCTTCCAAACCCGGATGAGGACACGCTCGCTCGTGGGGTTTATGAAGCGCCTCAAGGCGAAACAGAGGTTACTATTGCCTCGATCTGGTCAGAGCTGCTAGGAGTGAATCGTATCAGTCGACATGACAGTTTTTTTGCGATGGGAGGGCACTCGCTGCTTGTAGTCAAGATGCTGGAACGCTTGCATCGTATTAGCTGGACAGTGTCAATCCGAACACTCTTTGAGTCCCCTACACTCAGTATTCTCGCACAGGCGCTTTACAAGCATCAGGCTGTGTCCGTTCCACCAAACCTCATCACCCCACAGACCATAGCTTTGACGCCCGAGATGTTGCCACTGATTGACCTGACGCAGGAAGACATCGATCGCATCGTCAGCCGCGTTCCGGGCGGGATTACAAACATTCAAGACATCTATACCCTCTCTCCTCTGCAGGATGGTATCCTGTTTCACCACCTGCTTGCCAGCGAGGGCGATCCGTACTTGTTGACATCTTATATGGCATTTGAGGACCGCGCGTTATTGGACCGATATCTAGAGGCATTCCAGAAAGTCGTCAATCGTCACGACATCCTGCGCACGGCTGCCTTCTGGCAATCTGCTTCAACGCCAGCGCAAATTGTTTACCGACATGCGCCTTTGGTTGTACTTGAGCAGGGTCTCGACCCAGCCAATGGAGCCATCAGGGATCAATTGAGCCAACTATTTAACCGGAATAAGTATCGCATGGATCTGAATCAGGCGCCACTCCTACGTTTTGCTTCTGCACAGGATACCGATGGTCGTTGGTTATTGGCACAGTTGATACACCATTTTATCTGCGATCATGAATCGGTGGGGATGATGAACGTCGAAATTGAGATGATTCTCGCTGGTAAGGAGTATTTGCTCACAGAGCCCAAGCCATTTCGAAGCTTGGTTGCGCAGATGCGCCTCGGACCAAGTCAAGATGCACAAGAGGCGTTCTTCAAGGAGATGCTACACGATATCGAAGAGCCGACGCTGCCTTTTGGACTAATAGAAACCCACAGCGATGGAGCCAATACCAAAGAGGCGCATCGTGTGATGCCTCGGGGTCTGAACGACCGCCTTCGCTTGCAGGCCAAGCGAACGGGTGTGAGTCTTGCTGCTTTGTGTCACGCTGCCTGGGCACTAGTACTTGCTCGAACCAGTGGACAGGATCGCGTGGTGTTCGGAACAGTGCTTGTCGGTGGTATGCAGGACGCTCAGGGTGATAACCACGCCTTAGGACTATCCATAAACACACTCCCAGTTCGATGCGACCTAGGCAGACACAGTGTTCAGAAGGTTGTCCAACAGTCACATTCACGCCTTGCAGCTCTCGTGGAGCATGAGAATGCTTCATTAGCACTGGCGCAGCAATGCAGCGGAGTCCCAGCTGGATCACCTCTGTTTAACGCATTGCTAAACTACCGCCATACAATACAGGCAGCCAGTGATAGAAATGGTGTCGCCACTGCCGAGTTTGTTAGCAAAGAGGAGCGTGTCAACTTTGAAGGAATCGAGTTCCTGGGTGGACAAGAGCGTACGAATTATCCTATCGCGTTTTCAGTGGAAGACTTCGGTTCTGACCTCGGCCTCACGGCTCAATGTGTCCATCCGATTGATCCTGTAAAGCTATGTGGATACATGCAGCAAGCTCTCCAAAGCTTGGCTGATGCACTCGAACGCACCCCTGATCTGTCCATTGATGAGCTGGAGGTGCTGCCTACAGAAGAGCGCAACATGCTGTTGCAGTCATGGAATAAGACCGACCTGTCCTACCCAGAGTCACTGTGCGTCCATCAGCTGTTTGAGTGCTGGGTGGAACACTCGCCAGACGCCGTTGCAATTGTCTGTGAGGGGCGGGAAATGACATATGGCCAACTGAATGCTTGTGCCAATGTCCTTGCCCGTCAGCTCATCGAACTGGGCGCCAATCATGGCGACCTAATCGCTACTCTGCTGAAACGCTCCTTCGAGTTGGTCGTCGCCCAGATTGCGATCCTCAAGGTCGGTGCTGTCTATGTGCCGATCGATCTTAGAGCACCAGTAGAGCGTCAGTCTTGGATCCTGACTGACTCTGCTGCGCGCTTGCTCATCACCGATGAGCAGACAGCTGTTCCTGCAGCCATCACCACTCCGCTGTTCAGGTTCACCACCAGTCTTACCCGCGATAGAGGATCTGCACCGGATGCGTCCAACCTGAACTTGATCCAGTCCAGCCAGGACACTGCCTATGTGATGTACACCTCTGGGTCGACAGGTCTCTCCAAGGGTGTGCTCTGTTCCCACCGCGGCATCTCCCGCTTGGTCGTCAACAGCGGATATGTCGATATCGGACACGACGACTGCGTCATCTTTGGCGCCAACCCGGCTTTCGATGCCAGCACATTCGAGGTCTGGGCTCCTCTTCTCAATGGAGGTCGCATGGTCATTGTCGATATGGACACTCTCACGGATCCACAGAGGATGACAGAGGTGCTGGACCAGCACGGAGTGACGGTGCTGTTCCTGACGACGGTGCTGTTCAACCAGTTTGTGGCTGCCATCGGGTGTGTCCTGGCTAGGCTGAAGTATGTCCTCACAGGTGGTGAGCAGGGAAGCATCGAGTCGTTTGCCGAGCTTCTGCAGTATGGTGGACGAGTGCGAGTCATCAACGCATACGGACCTACAGAGAGCACGATGATTGCAACGACATATGAGGCAACAGCAGGAGCCATTGCGTGCCTGGAGAAGCTTCCGATCGGGCGACCCATTGGCAACACACAAGTCTATGTGTTGGACAAGCGCGGTCAGCCTGTACCGCTGGGAGTGGCCGGAGAACTATATGTCGGTGGCTCTGGAGTTGCCAATGGTTATCTCAATCGGCCGGACCTCACAGCCGAACGGTTCCTCCCTAACCCGTTCAGTCAGAATGTCGATGCAATGATGTACAGGACTGGCGATCTTGTTCGGTATCTTCCTGATGGCAACTTAGTCTTCATGGGTCGCAATGATGACCAGATCAAGATCCGAGGCTTCCGCATCGAGCTGGCTGAGATCGAGGCTCGCCTAGTTGAGAACCCAATGGTCAGGCAGGTAGCTGTGGTTGCGCTCGGCAACGATAGTGACAAGAGGCTGGTGGCCTATGTGGTTGCAAATCCCTGTGAGCGACTGGCCCATACGCTGCGCGCTCACCTGGCAGGCTGCCTCCCTGAATACATGATGCCGGCTGCGTTTGTACGTCTGGATA